GCGACATGATTTTCAAAAAACCACAAAAAAAAACGACCCGAAGAATTGAGAGCACGAAAAGAGAGCAGAGGGGGGAAAAAAACAAACGCTGACGAAAAAAACATCGTGAACCATGAGAAGGCCATATACGAGTACTAAGCCCCCTATATAGGAATACATACATCATCATCATCATCATCATCATCATTACGAAGATACGTACGAGTATATAGTTCAACTGGCACTTGGACAAACAAGGCGATAAGACCCCGCGACCAGAGCACAACACTTGAGATACAAGAAATCACGTAAAAAGGAAACTGAAACTGACTGAACTCGAGCTGAAAACCAGAGAGGCAGAGTAGAGCGATGCAGATACAGATACAGATACTGATAGGCCACCATAAATGTTTATCTATAAGAAATGTGACAAAAAACAAGCGAATACAAAGCTGTCGAGTGGGAATGCTAAGGTTAAGTTTTCTGGGTGTACAGTAACCTAGAAACTGGTAAACTTAAAAATCAGAAATCGATTTAATATTACTCCAATCCCATAACTATATTACTAGAATAAGAATTTAAATAGGTAACCAACCTCTATCATCAGTTTTAGTTGCTAATTGATGGCTTTCTTTCATGCAATGCTTTAATCCGTTGGGAATTTTAGCGTCACAAGGGTGGAAAAGACCACCTAGATAAGCGAGTTATTTTTGTACTTCCTTGTATTCAATATTTTAAGTTTGAGGGGTCACATTTAATGCTTCTACAGTGTAGAATCCCTCTAACACAATAAACCTCGCAATCTACGATTACCAGATATAAAGAACAGAATAGAATAGATTGAAGCAAAAAATCAACAGAGGAATAATAGAATGGCTGGCCATTGAAGAGGCCAAACCGAATCGAACTCGACACGAAATCGGTTCAGGGCCTTTTTGACGTAGATAGGCCGAATGCCCTGCTGATACGCCAACCCGAACCGGAGGCTCCATTTATCAGCGTGCTTCAATATTACCTTCTTGACTTACTGATACTCGTATACTCCTATATATATTCGGTTTTATTTACTCCTCTTACGGAACAAGTCGGGAACAAAGGTTGAACCCTGTGGCATTCTCTTTTTCAGTGATAACAACTCAGCAGAGTTTGCAGAAAGGGCAAGGGGAAATTCAGCTGGCTGGCCCACGGTTTATTTGGTTTTCAAATGAGGTCAAAAGAAATAATAAAATTCGGCTGATAAGCCCTCGCAATCAACTATCGATGAATTGCTTGCGTCAGAGGTTATAGGTTTACACACGTTTTTTTTCTATTCCGGAATTTTTTTTTTACTAAAGGTCTAGACGTTCGAGTTTGTGACCCTTCAGCGGCAGCTGTTTGTTCTGGGTCACAAGTCTATTGCAATTGTAATTATTTGTATTTTTATTGGCTGCTGGTGTATGAAAAATGAAAAATAGTCACATGACATGTCGGCAGCTGTGTTTGCCACTACGGCGTATACGTATTATATCGCACCCAATGGCAATGAACTTTACCGCCTTACCGAGAACTCTCTGCACCCGCACTCCGCTTCATCACTTTCTACAATACGTATATATATATACTATATATACGATGTGTGAACGTGCTCGATGGTCGGTCCTAAGTTTTTCTATTAGTACTATTGACACTTGTCGACCCGACTGGCGACCGAAATGCGGCCTGTCACCGCACGGATCGCTCACAGATACTCAGATACTCAGTTACTCAGTTACTCGGATACTCAGGTATGGGCATACTCGGTGGGGAAAAGAAAAGAAAAGAAAAAAAAAAGAGAAAAACATAACGTCCAACTGGAAAAAGTCAACAGTGTCGCGCATGGCACATGTTTGGGTCGAGGTTTCTATCTCCCCCCCGATGTTTCCCTCCCGCGTTTCTTTTCTCGCACTGCCCTATCGGTGCGCCTTCCATCGTCATTATCACCATCATTATGATCGTGGGCATTCGACATTCGGCACTTAGCACCATTGGAACCAAGCGATGCCAATCAGAGGTCTATGGGGAGCTGGCTCGATGACCGCGCCAAACGGGCGAATGATCGCGGGAAACAGCGGGACGAATCTAGGCAAAAATTCAGGGAATACACAATGAGTTTATTAAATAATATAAATATTAGATCAAAACCTGAATAATTTTACAAGTTGATATACATTAATGTTCATTCTTTTTTTAGGAAATCTAGAAACTATGTAGTAAAATGATTTTGGGCTATTCAAGAAGAATTACTTTCTAGAATCCTCTTGATAAAGACATAAATATAGTTAAAGATCCCTTTCAGAGTTTCCGTATTTATTAGCATCATAACGATTAATTCGGTGATTGAAAAATGTAAGAATAATTAAGAAATGTTGAACGTCATTCGACAAAATCACGAGTTTTGAGTTTTAGAATGTCAAATGTAAATAGGAAAGAACCTTTTTAATATGCTGAATACCTTTACAAGTCATTAAGAACAATCTTTGTCTAATCGTGGCTTTGAATGACGTTTTCAAATCTGGATTTTTAGGCTACACGAGGAAAATTAATAAGTTTGATAATTAATTCTTGGTAACCTACGTAAATACTGAACTAAAAACTGGACTAAGCCAAATACGAATGTCTTTCACTCTTTCACCATTTCGGATCACATGATTTTGGTTTTTTAAACTCTGTTTCAAATATACCCGCAACTTAATTTCTATGCTAAACAATGATAAACTTAATTTTATGATAACGCATGGCGAACTTGTTAAAAAGCGTATACGAATATACGCATATTCCGGGCTCGAAAAAATGAAGGGTGAAATTTGATATGACGCAAGTCGGCAGGGAGCTTTCGTTTCGACCTGTTGACCAAGCCAAATGCAATCCCCAAGCCACGATTCTGGTTCTGTATCTGAGTTTTCGATTCGGGTTCCGATTGTGGGCATCGTAACGATCGTAACGAGCTTAAAACTACAAATTGTTGTTAATTTCGCTTGTAAATATTTCATTTAATTATTTATGCTGTGTGCTTTGGCTGCCAAACATACGAGCGAATGTATCTGGCACCGCTTTATATCTCTTTTTTTCCCTTTTTTTTTTTGGTATGGGAATGGGATTTGAGTGTGGTTTAGACTGGTGTGGCTTCCATCAATTTACACCTACTGGCTGAAAAGGGGTTTCGATATCTGGCCTATCCCCTGGTGTTCAGCTAAAGGTCAATGCTTGTGCACGCATCGCTACACGTATTTGCTTTTTCATTTTTGCCATTTAAATTACAATTAAATTATTTATGTACGAATCGAGGTAAATAGTCAACTGTGGCCGAGCGAAAATTGGGAATAAATGCCGGGGTAAATAAACAATTTTTGTGCGAGGGAAGTTGAAACCACACAAATACAATAAACATAAAAATAAATTTTATGCGAATGTGATATTGTCTTTGAATGTCTTTGGTATTTGAGATTTTATGTATATAAAGAAAAGGGTATATAAAGATAAGGGTTGACTCTTTGGGAACTTCTTAGATTAATAGAATTATCAAATGTTTTTGCATATAAAGTGTTTACATAAATGTTTTGTATTTTTTGAGGTTCAACCATATCTCTTTTATGAATGAACCGGAAGTTCAAATCTTCATAAAAATGTGGTTGAATGCATTCTAATTATATATTTTTTAATAGACACAAAACTTATTTAAATAAAATTCAAATTGAGAAAGCATGTTGCGCTGACAAGAAATTTGAATGAGATGGTCTTTAAAAGTTAATTGAGAAACCGGTCTCAAATTAAATACCAATAAATGATCGATAACCAAAAATTAACGATTACTGGTCAGCTTTCCTCGATTATTCTCATTTAACCCCAGAAGAGGTTCCCTTATCTCCAAGTAAAATGCGTGCGATTGTGGCTGCCACCCAACTCCCCCTTTATTTTATTTTTCGTCTTTGTTGCGACTGTCTGCTGGGTTTGCTGCTGTTTGTTTGTTTTCAATGACTGTTGTTTTTGCTTTATTTTTTCCGGGCTCTGTAACTGCTCGAATCGCACTCTGCCGTACTGTACTGTACGCAAAGTTGAGCTGCACCTCGTGGCCCCTGGCTCACCCCGATAATTAGCTTAGGGGTTCAACGATGCAGGTCAATGGTTTTGTTAACATATTATAAGTTATTTTAACCTTTGGCCGATTTGCATGCGCCGCCTCGGGAACCTCGAGCCTCGATTGCTTTACACCACACAATGTATTTGGCTCAGTCGACGAACAGTGCGTGTCATTGCGAGTTGTTCTTGGTTTTGTTTCCAGTTGTTCGGGGTGTTCTGGGTGCTTTTGGTGTTATTGGTGCTATTGCGTGCACAGTTCAGCGAAATGTAAGTGCCCGCGAATACCAAATCACTTCCGAAATAGTCAATTGAATGCTAAATTTGCTTCCTGGTGAAATTCGTTAATTGAAAAGCTACATATCATCATGTCATGAATGAAGGAATTGGGTTAGGTCAAAAGGTAAAAGTAATTTTATATACAAATAAATTGTAAAACAATATAGAAACTATGTATTAATTGAAAGACTTCAAAAAATTATAATTATTTCATAAAATGATTGTCATCTATTTGTGATTTATTATTTCCCTATGTTAATATATCTTAAAATTTTTAAAATACTGTAAAATATTATTACTGCGCTTAGGAAAAAAGTTGTATGCTTTAATTTTTTTGTATATAAAATAATGGGTGAATTATTTTTAGAGACTTTAAAAGACCTTTAACATTATTTATTTGTTAAATTATTTCATTCTATTATTCAATATATTTTTGAGATTATTGAATACTGAATAATAATGTTATTTAAATCTATTGAAATTACAAACTTTATTTAGTCTAATGAAGGGGTTAATTGTTAAGTTCAAGAATTTTGTTTCTAAGTTTAGGCATTCATTGAATGCTAAACACCACCATCCTTTGCACTCTGCATTTCGCACTCAGTGACTAATGCTTATGCCACTTTTTTTCTATTTTTTCCTATTTACAGGTAACGCACCCACCGACTTACTGCAGCAGAAGCCAGCCAAGGCCACCACCGCGATTGTGGGCGGTCGCAGCGCAGCCCAACCGGCGACCCACGACGACGACCATCAGGCGGCCAAGATCGCCGTGACAGCGGTTACCAAGCGCAAGCACCTCGAGCGGCTGGCCAGCGATTTGCGCCAGCAGCTGGGCCAAAGGGTCAGAGGTCACCAGCGGGAGAGTCCCGTTACATTTCCCACCATTGCGGAAACTGCCAAAATGCTTAGCGAACGATCGCTTTTGCTCAGCGGTTATGGAGCAATTGAGAGTACAGCTAAGAAACTAAGTGAAGCGGCCACCGGTGGCGGTGGCGGGGGGGCGGTAAGTCAAGCGGCCACGCCCACCACCACCCACCTGGGTGCACCCGCCTCCTCAGCCTCCTCTTCTTCTTCGTCGGGAAGTACCAGCTGTACCACAAATGCAAATACCGCATCGGTGGCAGCTGCCTATGCAGCTCTCTACTTGGAGAAGGTCAAGAACGAGAAGTTGGACAATCACAAGGATGCCCCGATGGTCACCATTCACAACAACAACAATAACAACACCATCAACAACAACAACAGCAGTAGCAGCAGCACCAACAACCATCAATCGAGTCAACAACAACAACAACACAGCGTCAAAAGGGAGCGATTAAGTCCAGGGAGCAACAGCAGCAGCCACAACGGCGAACTCACCGTCAGCTCATTCGCCAGGTGAGTTTACAGTTATATAAATTAATCAACTTAAAAAAATATAAAATATAAGGATAGGAAATATTATTTTGTGGGTTTTAATATATTAAGTATACCATTCTAATGACTTAGTGAAGATATTACAATAGGTCTAGTAAAAAGTATTCCATTATTTGGACATGAAATTCCAAGCTTTATTTATGGTTAGAATTAACTGATTTGGTTCAAACAAGCACCATTTTTTCTACAATCGATTGCCATTTTGATGGTAATTTCATGATACCCCTCTCATAAAAACCTTCGTCCTTATTTGCAAAATACTGAGCCATTTATTCTTCAAATTATGGATTACTTTTTACTTGAACTATTACATACGTACATAAACTAATGGGAAAAGAAAACATTTTTTTTGTTCAGAAATATAGTACAGTGCAGTCCTAATATTTTACTTCATTTGCATTTCCAATGTTATACCTAAAATCCTTCAAATCTTTGCAAGCCATTGCATATTGAATCACTTATTTATTGAATCATAGATTCGTGACATAACCATGACCTATTTGCTCAAATGAAAATGATTCAGCTTTTAAAGGGAAAGGCAAATGTTTTCTAAAGTTCAAATTAACCAAAAACCAACAGATCAAATAAAGATTTATGAAATGTAAAAGCTATAAAAAGGCGATATATTTTTTTTGGTATATATAAACAATCATTGCTTGCAAAAAATTAATTTGCTATAATAATAATTTAACGTTTACAGAATGAACTAATTAGATTGAGCTTTAATGGAACCAATTCCTATTTGGGTTTGGTTTTCTCCTCGGTCGGCGGTTGCTCCTTTGCGTGATCCTCGTCGTCGTAGTCCGCCATGTGGCACTGTTCACTGTGCATGTTGTTGTAGTGCTCCCTTCGCAGTTCGAGGAACCTCATCCTCCGCCGCTGCCTCTGCTCCGGCGTTTCTTCGCTGACACCAGAATCTTCCGGCAGGGAAAGGACAACCGAGGGGGCATTTGAGAGATCCGGTCGAGGGGTATTAATCGGTCGCAGAATCGAAGGCGATATGCTGATTGCATTGGTGTCAATCGATTGTCGATTTTCAAGATTCGCCAGACCTGAATCATCCTCACTGGTTTCATCGTCCAACTGCTCCGGCGCCTTATTTCTATCCTTCTCCGACATATTTCAAGCACAAATGTTTCTTCAGTTATAAGTCACGTAAATTTCACAGCCATGTTTGCAAGGGAAATAGGTTCGATTTTCCCATCCTCATCCTCCTCCTCCTCCAAACTCGTTTTGTGGACTATTTATCAAGCGGATTCGACGGCTGTCGACGCCTGACAAATTAATTAACATTTTAATAAATTAATACCTCGAAAAGAAACCAAATCGATGCGGCTTCTGTTCGCGGCCAAGAGTAAATTAATCAAAAGCCAGAAACAAAAAGCAGCCAACACGAGTGTGTCTACACAAGAGCACGCTTTTGCTGTCAAAAAAAAAAAGAGGCAATAACAAAGAACCAACGCCAAGAAACTGAAGCTGAGAAACTGAAAAAGAAAAACGAGTTGAAAAACTTGAAATGTAAATACACAAATAAGACGAAAAATTAATAAAGACTCTGAGATAAAGGCAAAAAGTGATTTGACAAGCGAGATCAGCAGCAATTAATACGCTCAACTAAAATTAATGGCGTTAAAGATTAAATATTAACTAATATAAATAAAGGCAATTTATCTCGGCGAAGGCGAAAAAGAAACCCAAAAAGCGAGCCTAAGGCCTCAGCGCAGATGGAAAGATACAAAGATACATAGATACATAGTTTTTGGACAAACGACTGACTGGCTGGCCATATTAATATTAATGAGACATGCTAGACTATCGCCACCTGAGGTGTGGACATTGAGTGTTTTGGACTCGGACTTAACATATTCGATTCGATTCACATTTGGCCATTCGTGGGTTCCCTAAATTTCGCTCGGGGTGGTCGGCCAAAAAAGATTGGATTAGCCGCATAATATTCATCATTAATAACTTTTTATCCGCAAATTAGTTAAGGTTATTAAGTCAACTTGCAGATGCCTTAATACGACGTGACAAATGAATGCCTCAGGGTTGGCCAAAGATCTCGTTTGATGATTGTGTTTATATCATAAATATGTTTTTTTTTTTCAGATGGTCGAAGAATTAATGCAAATTTCATGCCGATTCTCACCTGTCGCATACATCTGATTAAACGTATCTCAAAGCTGGAATTCCCAAGCTTGTAGTTCTTCGTTCAACTTGATCTTCCTCACTTCCATTCACAAAAATTCGATCTCCGCTTCATTCAGTTTGTATTTGACCTTTAAATGCTAGTTTTTTTTTATTTATTAGAATATTTGCATATTTAAATAAGAGTTGTAAAGGCATTAAGAAACTTAAGAATGGAATTTCTAATTGTGGGTTTATAAAAGCTTGTCCAAAAAGGTGCAGCATTATACATATATCATGTATCAGCATAACCCGACAAATTTACCAATGTTTTTCTTGCTCTTTTGTCTTCTGACTTTTGGTTTTGCGGAACTTTTCGTCAACCAATTCATATAAAAATTTAAATCAGTTCAGACAGTGCGTTTCAGAATTTTATTTATGAGTTTTTGTGAGAAAAGGTTTATTAAGTTTCAGTAAGTTTTATTTTTTGTTTACATATCTTTATGAGAAATAAATCATTTTAAAGAACTTGATACTAATTATTTGGAAAATAATGTTTTATATATTTCACAACTATCTGACAGTAAATCTTTATGGAATTCCTAAAAGTCTTTGGATTACTTACAAAATAACAATGATTAAGCAATGTGGAATAGAAGTCTCTGTGAAGAAGCCTTGCTTATCTTATATCTTATAAATAGTATCTGAATTTGGGAATTTTGGTTGTAAACTGTGCGTTTCGAACCGCACTGTATCCACGCAGACTTATTTTTATTGGGGACCTATCGAGTGGCTTGTGTAGGCGTAACAATAGACACCATTTGCATACCGCGGCGGGCACATGTTGCCGGTTGGTTGTATAATAAAAACCAATTAGGCATGCCACCGATCTAAAGATCTGTTGCCTGCTGAACAACCAGAGCAGCCAAACCAAACCGTTAGGCACACATCGAGATTAGCCGAAGTTTTTGGGGCTGGGGGATCAGCAGCAGTAGCGGTAGCCAACATAATCGCCACCATAAACCATTTTTTCTTGCCTCGTTTCTTTTTTTTTTTTTGTCTTGTTGTTGTTTTTGGTTGCCTGATCTGGTTGCTGTTCAAACAATTGCCAAGAACAAGCAACAAAACACAACTAAGTAGCTGCTACCAATCGCCAAAGCAATTTGCAATAATCAACATTTTTAACAAAACCGAAAAAAAATTACTAAAAAAGATAAAGCACACAAAAAAAAAAAAAAAACGAGACAAAAAAAAGAACAACAGAGTTGTAAGCAGCAGAGGCAACAACGATCGCCAAACGAACAAAATAACAGCAAGCTCAGAGAAACAAAAACAAAAAAATCGTCAACCAACAGATCACGATAAATCAATGGCAACAAAAACAACAACAACAACGAGAGGGGGTAAACAGGGTGGAGGAGGGAGAGGGGGTGGAGCGGTACTGGGTAGCTGGGCGGCAAGCTGCTATATATAAATTTGTGGCGCAGCCTCCGAAAGAGCGACACGACATGACCAACGACCAACGACCAGCGACGACGACGTGCAGCACGAGTTACTCTATTCCGGCGGGGCCATGCCACAACCACCTAGCCACCATGTGGCAAGCCACCAGAGGTGTACAGCAGTTGGCTAAAATAAAGACTTCAAAAATTATTTAAGTAAAATATTTACAACACAAAAACAATATCTAACCTTTTTGTGTAGTATTCAATACCTTGGTATATATAACTTTGCATATCTATGATATTCAAAAGATATTCAAATTTAATTGCTTACATAAATGTCTCAATCCGAAAAATTATAGCAGAATAAATAACAAAGAATATTGTCATGTCGAAAGAATAAATATGTTTACCTTGTCTAAATAAAAGCAATGAAATGAATATAACAGGATCAAATCTCAAATTCTTGATCAAATTTTCCAATTTCAAAAATAGTTTTCAATGAGGTGGAATGAATGTCTTAACATGCTGCAATAAAATATGACATATTTTTTGAAAATTTAAATGGGTGTAAGATTTTTACTATGTTGCTAATTATTATATATTATATATATATTATATTGGTTAAAAAAAATATTTTGTATACATTTGCACAAATATTTTATTTGGGAGAATCCCAATTAATTTATTTTATATTTTTATTTCCTCTTATATTGTTTAGTACTGAGTTGTTAAACTCTTTAGCCTAAAAAATACTCAATTTAGTAAATGGCATAGCCAAAGTGCCAGCTCTAATGGCATGCAACACATCGCTCGGGTCGAGCCGAAATTGAGGCAGGCACTTGCAGCTGCCACTGGCTGTGGCACGGTGCAACTTAGGAGGTGACCGCTGCCACCGCCGATCTGGCCAGAAATCTATGCTGATTATTTTCCTTTTGGCCAGCCTTACCTTGCCTCGCCTCGCCTCGCCTTGAGTTGCATTTACTTGGCTCGTGTTGCAAGTGGGCTCTAGGAATGGCTAATGGCTGGATATCGAGAGGGTTATGCCGGGGCAGCCAGCGACTGCGCCATGTTGGTGGCATGTCTCTCCGGCGGTAGTTGCATATGAGTTATGGCCATCCCGACCAGATTGCAGTCCACAAATGCTCGACATTGGTTAACACGAATTGTTTCGTTTCGATCCGAGAGCATCCAAAATGAAATTGTTTGGAAAATGTTCGCCGATCGACCGAACAAGATTTGAAATTACCAAAAGAATTATGGATAGATAACAAGGAACATGGGATTAAAAGTAGGGAATAAATAATTCAGAGAATTGTGAAATTGTTTTGAAGAATAAGGATACTATTAATAATAAATATAACAAATAATAATCTTTATAAGACCAGCTAAATTTTCTACAATTAATTCATTCAGTGGCTTACAATTTTATTTATTATCTTACTAGTCTAAAATTTACTTCAATTGCATTTAGATTCTGGAATCAGAAAATTAACCAGACTATCTGCTTAACCAACTGTAGTTAATTTCCACTTGGAGTGAACTTTCCCAGAGTTCTCACATGGATACCAGTTATTGGACTCCTTCCGCTTAGCAACTCCTTTGGAAAAGAGTTCCCATGTCAAATCGCATTTGTAATCGCATTATGACCAATGCCTTGCCACTTCGGCAAAGAAATTAACTAAATATCAAACGTCCAGATGAAGTAAATTGTAGTCGCACCTGCTTGGAAGTCTTGGAAGCTCTTCTCTGCCTTTTTTTTTCTTCTTAGCAGAGAAAATCTCACGGAAGCCACTCATTAGCATGTCAAAAAAGTGCCAAGAGAACTTTGTTCGGTTGCGAAGAACTCGAAGATTGACAAATAATCCAATTGTGTGCGACACCTTTTTCGGTTGCTGAATGAGAACTCAAGATAATTAAATATTAATGCAAATTTATGAGAGATCATTGGGGTGGAGTATAGTAAATATATCACGCTGATGTCACACTCGAACTCTTATGCAAAACCTGCTAAATGTTGTCTTTAACATAACTAATCCATATGGGTTTCACATATTTTTTGTTGATTTTATTTCTAATATTTTGTTGTATTTTTTTCTATTTTTTTTTTGTTGAACAGATCTCGCAGCGCCACACCCTCTTCGTCATCATTTCGCGGTGGCGGTGGTGTCTCACCCAGCCAGCAACAACAACAACAACAGTCCCAGCAGCAGCAGCAACAACAACGCCTTAGTCCGCCCAGTGGCCCATTAGCAACAACAACAACATCAGCTGCAACATCAGTTAGTGCAACACACATGCCGCTGCACAATTTGTCAACGAATTTGCTAAATAGCATTCAACAGGCTGCCAGTCAGCAGCAACATCGCGGCAACAGCAACATCAACAGCGGCAGCAGCAGCAGCAGCAACATCGGCGGTGGCAACAGCAACACCAACAAGGCGGAGAATGCTGCCGCATCGAATGCCACGGATTTCTCCACCCGCAACTATTCGGACATCATGCGCTGCCTCGCTGCCAAGTACAACAACACAAATCCCAATGAGTAAGTTTTGGATCGAACTTTAAATAACTTTATATCCTTATTAGAATTTAATCACACGAGAAGAAAATAAGTATTTACTTTGTCACATAAAAATAGCTCTAATTAGGTTATTTTTTAAAGTTCCCAACAGATTTTAATATTCATTTAGTTGTACTTCATAATCTGAATCTCGATTTAATAAAATCTTGAAATGATTTACGAAGAATTAATAATATTTATTAAAGTTAACAAGCGTTGATTTAGGTTATTTCAAAATCATTATATGGATAAAACTAGACTTGATATATTTATCTAGACTAGACTTGATGTATTCATCTATCTGAATAGTACTATCTGATTTATAGAAAGCCAACAATCTTTTAGTTTAGCTAATAATTTTTCAATAGAATAGTTTCTATAAACTTTTTACATTTTTTAAATACTTTAAGCCGGCAAAGATATTGCCTACTAGACTATGTTTTTAACAAGAGGAGGGAACTAAGAATTATAAAAACCTTATGGCTAGATAAAATTAAGGCTTTTAATAATAAATTAAGAAATCTGAAACTATTAAAAGCTGTGTTGACTAACTTAACCGAACTTTCCTTTCCGTGCAGCAACAATGCAACGCGTCGCAACTCCTACTACGACAGCGGCAACAGTGGCAACACTTCAACGGCAACTGGCAGTGGAGGCGGAGGCGGAGGCGGAGGAGGAGGAGGGGGAGGTGGGGGATCGGGAGCCACAACCTCTGCCCCAAGCACCGCCCTCAAGTCGGCGAGCAGCAGCACAAGCAGCAGCAGTTGCAACACCACTTCCACTGCCAAGAAGCTTTCCCCTTCATCGAATTCGGCTGCGAATGCGGCTGCCTCCAATTTGCCGAAGGAGACCAAAGTGAGTGTGGCCGGTGGTGCAGGTGTGGGTGGTGCAACAGCCACTAGTGGTGGATCGTCCCTCTCCCAACTAGCCCCACCACCCACCGCCCCCTCGCCCACGGAGCAGGCCAAGAGCCAAATGGCCGCCGTGGTGGCAGCGGCCAGCGTCTCCCCGTTCATGACCAACTTTCTGCCCTTCTCCTCCGGCATCTTCCCGCCGCTGATAGACATGAGCAGCACCCAGGCGCTCCTCACCCTGGTGAGTACTACTAAGTATTTTGGGAACTAATAGAGAAAGTTTCTAAATTTATAAAAAATAAAAAAGTTATTAGCCAAATTCAGTTTTTAGATAGAATACTTTAGAGTTGGTTATATCTTTTATGAAAACTATTTATATATGTTTTTAAGTTTTATAAAATTAAAACTTAAAATTAAAAATATATCAGTTTTGCGAATTTCGATTGTATTTGAAATTATTATTAACATAAAGCACATAATTGTTTCCAAAAAACCTAACATTTAACAACAACTAAAATTATGGAATTTTTTATTTTGTAAAAAAATATATGTAAAATCGTTTAGGTACTTTTCCTATTATAAAATAAAATCATTTACATTTTCTTTGTAGAAGGTTTTTAAAATTTGTTAATAAAAGTTATCCTCTTATCTTTAACTTTAACTGTAGTACCAAAATAATCTAATATTTTAGAAAACGATTTTTATTTTATTAAACATGTTTATAAATATTTCCAAAATATGAATACATCTAGGGCATTTTAAATATATATTGTATCCAATAAGAAGCATATTTAATTGTACTTTTAGCTAGCGTTTTCTTTTTTCTTCGTTTTTTTTATCTTTAGTTTTTTTTCTCAATTTTCCCCCTCCCATTGCAATTTTCGCAGGCGCGTGCTGTAAAAGACGCGGAGATCCAGGAGATTCTGCGGAGCAAGCAGCAGCGCTCCGGGTCGAATGCCTCGTCGCCGAGTGCGAGTGCGGCGGGCACGCCACGTTCCAGTTCCACTCTGAATGCGGCACTGCACCAGGCAGCCCAATTTGTTACGCCCGCACTGATCTATTCGGCGCAACTGCAACAGCAGCAGCAGCAACAACAGCAGCAGCAGCAGCAACAGCAACAGCAGCAGCAACAGCAACAGCAGCAACGGCAGCAGCAACAATCGCATCACGCTTCGCGGCAGTCTAGTCCACGTTCCACAAATGACTCTTTGGCGGTGGCGCCTCCGCTGGGTGGCGGTGGCGGTGGTGGCTCCTCGAATGCGTCGGCGGCGCCATTGGATTTGAGCTCCCAGCCGCCGGCAGCCAAGCGTTTCAAGACGGAGCGTCGTGCCAGTTCGACGGCAACAACAGCAACCACAGCGACCACGGGCTCATCCACATCCACGCCATCCCCGCCACCGTTGGATCAGCTGCAGCAGCAGCAGCAGCAGCAGCACGAGGATATCAATTCTGGCCACGCCAACGCGGGAATTGGAATTGGAATGGGAATGGGTTCAAGTGAGGGATCTGGCAATGGTTCGGGATTGGGACTGAGTTCGGGATCAGGAGCCAGCAACAATAAGCAACGCAGACGATGCCAGGCGCAGAGCGAGGAGGTGAACTCCTGGTCGGTGGACGATGTGTGCGGCTTCGTGGGCGGAATTGATATATGCGCCGAATATGTTCAGGTGAGGCCTACAAACCAAACACAACATTCTCCCTTTTTTCAGCCTTTTTCAGCCCATTTGTAGTTGATTAGGCCGAAGAGATTCGCCGGAGAAAGGAGCTTTTCGGAGCGTTTCTCGCTTTTGCAACTAATTGAGTTTTATGGGACAGTTGGCAGGGGTAAATAAATCGAACCCAAGAAGAGAAACTGAATATATGTTAAGGTTGAATATTCCATACTGAGTTGTAGGAAAACTGAGGGTTTTAAGAAAACCTAAATCTTAATTATATTATTTTTAACCTTTACTGAAACAAAATGCAAGTTTCAATGCTTTTCAAAATGTAATCATGAAGGCTACTGATAAAATTCCTTTTAGAACAATTTCACAACTCGCAATTATCTTTTGTTTTTACGGAAACAAAGAACACATTCCTCAGAAGATTAAAAATTGGTTTTGTATATTCACTTCTATATCAATCTTATACATAATACATAACTTATTATAAGTTACTCTTCTGCCTTAACCAAAAATGAATAATGATTACCTAAAATGTTAACAGTATTTAATAGTTTAGTTAAGGAAACAAAGCATTAATGAAATATATTTATTTGGTTAAATTAATCCTGCAGAAGTAAATTCATGTACTGTGATGAATACTTTATATAAAAAGTGGTTCCAATCAAATCGATTCGAAGGTATATAAAATTGCTAACCCTGGCTGCCATTCAACTACTGAACCTTGGAGACCTTTTGTGATCGAAGTGGCATTCCTTAACCTCATCGCAGGAGTCAAAGTTCATTTACCCATTGGCAGATCGTTTATTTCTGCTGATTCTCCACTCTTGTTATGGGTTTCCTGCCAAAAAAAAAAAAACCAAAAAAACCGAACGAATGTCGGACAGCGAAGATTAACTATGTTTTGGGACTTGAACTCACTGCGGACGGCCTGAACTCTCTGACGGCCATTAATATTGTGCCACTCGAGCTGCGGCCTTAACTCGGAGTCCAGATCCCCATTTACGAGTTGCGTTTGGCCAAGTTCGAGAGGAAAATGCTCCACATAGGCGATTCAGCTCGACTTGGCTCGGAATGGTGGCCAGGTGATCTTTACGACCAGTTCCGGCAAGTTGAACGACTTTTGATCGGTCGGTCAGGCCGGGTTGTATTTTGCTCTGGATCTCGCTTTTCTCCCTGCCATTTTCCCCTGGCTTTTGGCTTTGACTAGCTAGCTGGCTGGCTTTTGCGGTCGACGATCGGTCAACGTCAGGCATCATTACCAGTCCCAGTTCAGGATCTGCACTCGGTAACTCAGCCTCAGCCCCAGCCTCCTCCTCCCTCCTCCTCCTCTAGCTTCACAACGCGTTAATGGAGTGAAAACATGGACTGCACAAAGAAAAATTGATCAATGAATCAAATTGACAAATATATCTAGAAAGTCGATATGTTTCCTAAAAATGAAATTGCTCACATGTTAGGCTGTTTTGTAGTTTACCACATTAAAAAGAAATTTATGATAGGTTTGGGTTATTATTCTATATTATTCTATTTCTATCCCTTGTGCGTTTATAATTCTCAACTGGTACTGTCGCGTAAGCCAAGTTCAGGATAACATTTTTAAAAGGTTTTTATTAACTCTCCATTAGACACTTTCTTTTCTCTAGTTTAATTAATATTTTTTGTTAATTAACGAGAGAATTCATTATTATTTGACTACCAATCAAATTGTTCTATTTATGATTTGGATAAGTTTCAATTATACTTTCTTGTGGTAAACTTTAACAGTTAATAGGTCGTACTACTTTATTAGTTTATAAATAATTTATTTTTTTTATGTGTAACTTCGGGCTTTCAATCGCGTAGAGGAGCTAACAATTAAGCCGGACGGTCTTTCAGGACCCGAACTCTCTAGGTGTTGACACATTTTGATGCATATTAGCCCGCCGATTTCAGATGGGTGCCTTGAAAGTCGTCTAATTAGCGCGCCGAAAGCGGCTTACCCAGCATTCAAAGATGAACTAAATCTGCTTAAAGTAGAAAATAAAAAAAAGTAAAGCGGACATATCTACCGAACTGATGATGATGGAACCAGTTTGGAGGCCGACATGTTGACTCCTCCCCGAGGTTCGCGATAGACAAAAAGGCAATTGGCGTAATATTCAATTGAATTTATGGCCACAACGACACTGGTCGCTGGTCGTTGATCGTTGTTGGTTGTTGTTGTTGGTTGTTGTTGGTTGTTGAATCTCGGTTGCCGGTTGCTGGTTGCTGGTTGCTCTTGGGCTCTTGGTCTTGGTCGCCTGAACACCTTTTGTGGAGCTGCGGCTGCTGCAGTTGCATGAACTTGTTCCGCCAGGCCAGCCGATAGAAAAGACCAGCCTCGCTTTAGTTTTTTTTTTTTTTTTTTTATTTTTTCCCCTGCGCTTCAGTCTTTTATTTTTTTTTTGTCGTCGTTGTCGGTCGTTGAGATATTGTGGAGGTTGTAAATATTTAGTGCAGAGGTTGACTCTCGCAGGCCGTGGAAATCTATATGAAGACATTGAGAACTGGTTCAGTGACATTGTCCAACGACAACGACAACAAAAACAACAAAAGCAACAACGAAGACGACGACGACAACAACGTTGTCGCATCATGTTGCAGTCGCATGGCGACGGACAGAGTTGCAAGTGTTATTGATATTGCCACAGTGCGACTCCCCCTTTTCTTATTTTTATTTTTTTTTCTATTTTTTTTTCTCTTTGGTAGAAGCACGCATGGGTGGCTCGGATCCCTGTGCCAGGGTTTATTATCGCCAGGGCATTCGCCATAAAAATGCAGATGAAGTCATAAGTTGGGGACCCAGACTCATTCCATTCCATCCTAACCCATCCCATTTTAACCCATTCCATACCCAATTTCCAAGTCGTTCGGTGCATTTCAGGTTTTGGCCGAAACGCAGCAGGATGCGATATTTTCTGCATTTTAAATGTTCAGATTTATGGCTATATTAAAGCACAATAATAATTTCTATGCGTGATCAGCGACACGAGCTACGGAGGGAGCCACTCCCCTTTTCTACTTTTCTACCTTTCTACTCCGCTTCCTTTTGGTTTATCATGAATTATTCGCTGATTAAGTGCACTCGAGGTAGCAGGTGGGTTGGATCCCTCTGGAATGCGGGGATAAGTTCGAGGAGGCTGGAAATTTGAGCAATAGACGATGGCAAGATCTTCCGATGGAGATGGGATGTCTTGGGATTGTAATTGAAAGGCCATAGGATAAATCAAAATGCTATTATATATACAGAAAAGGAAAACTTGTGTTAAATCTATTATAAACCAGAAAATTTTAAACTAATCTAGACTTTAAAAAGTTAAATTACTTGAACAAAAAAAATACTTTGTTAAAATATTTATAGTTTCCAAAACATTTAGAATATTTAATTCACAATTTTTGGATAAGATTAAATATTTCCAAAAGTAGCATTGTCATTTTAAATGATTTACTGTTATTGTTCTAACGATCAATTTGGCCAAAAATGTATCTAATTATTATTCATTTTTATCGCTACTATTAAACCAAAATTCAATTGCCAATCCATTAATCTCTGATATCTAGATATTTATAAGCAACAAATCCTTTCAAAGTTTGTTTAATTGTATTTTATTTATTTGCAAAATTTATTGTGTTGAAAACTTTAAAGGTTGCGTGCCATCAATTTATCTAGTTAATGAAAATTTACCAATTTCAAAGATAACCAGATCTAATTGAGGTCTATGGACCCCCAATAGAACCGCCTTTTAATGAGCGAACAACTTTAACCCCTTCGACTAATCAAAGTTCACAATCAAGCCATTACCGACACATCTCCATCTAATTTCCCAAGAAACTCAAGATGACGAACTTGCAAATTGTGACAAGAACTGAGAAGAACATCTGCGAACCCATTCGCCTTGTCAATCCATCAGCATTCCGCCTTGAACTTATTTGGAGCGAATTAGTTTCTGTCAGTTAATGACAGACCAGAAATGTTCCCCTTTTTGTCGAAATAAGAAACAAGTTCGGGCTCAAAAAGAAGTCAACGCAGTCTCTTGAGAGTTTTGAACCCGAGGAATCATCGCATTTGGAGCTCCTTCTCCATCTTGGGGTTCCCAATGTTCCAATGTACTCGCAGTTTTGATCTCTGGCACCGGGGATCCAACCCCCAGTACTTATTGTATTTGACATGCCAAATGCCAAAAGTACACGTAGGCGTCATAAGATTCATGACTCGAGCGAGTTGACTTTGCCCACGATCAACTGGGATCTCTTGGATCTCCGGCTCCAACGCGGGTTTGCTCGCTTTTGGCTTGGTTTTCTATACCCTTGTTAGAGGGTAGTTTAACTTCAGTGTCCTCCGATCTCCTTAATAATATATCTTCCTGATGAGCTTTAAAAACATAAGCTTTATGAATAGTTATTACTTTTATACCCAAACTACCCTCAAAAAAGAAATGCGCTTAGCAATTGTTTTCTAAAATACTATTCAATTTTTTCCAATAATGATTAGCAAAAATGATATTCATCATTAAAAAAAAAATTGGGAGATAATAATTATTATTATATGCCATCAGATTTAAAGCTGAAGACTGATGGCTATTTCGTCTATTAAAAATTTATTTCAATTCATTGAAAAATCTTTATGGAAAATATATAATTTTGATATGGTTATTTTATACATTTTAGTTTATTTGCAAGGGTATTTATTCGGCTTCCCTTCCTCAAGTTTTTTCTTGGTTTCGTGTCGTTCTGTCGCTGGTACACCAACGTGTTATTGTTGCCTGGGTTCACATAAATGTCAAGCATCGGCAACATGGAGATCAACTCCGCAGCTCTACATTTTGCACCGTGGCTAACGCCCCCGACAAACGGAAAATAAAAAAAAAAAAAAAAAAAATAAATAAAAAACAGCGAGGCGAACTGTGTCTCCAGTCCAGTACCTCTCCGCTTTTCGTATGCATTTCAAAGTCGACCCTATTATTAGGCATAAGGTTTCATCGTTCGAGTAAACATAAACAACGACTGCAAATCCACGTAGTCATCATCATGATGATCATCACTGCTATTTTCATCATTATCATCATTATTGTGAAGATCATCGAGTTGCAGTTTCATATTCAGCAAATGTCAAAAGCCTAGACTCGCACTTGTCACTTGAGCTTGGGGATGGAGGTCTCCATTGCCAGCTAAAAAGCATTCGATTAGATGGGCTCCTTACCCTTTCCCCACCCCTTTTTCCCCCTCTTCCCTCCCCATTTCCCCCTTTCCCCTCCCCCCTTTTTCCCACTTTTCCTGCCGCTCCCTTTCTCATTATTTGTTTATCTTAATTCGTATTAAAGTTAGATTTTTTATCGCGCCGGCAACTCGTTACTTTGGCTCTCTGGCCGGGACTCCAAGTCCGGATTTCGAGTTTGGAGTTTGGAGCTTGGATCTTGGAGTTTGTAGTTTGGAGCTCGAAGTTGGGTGCCCAGTTGGCCACGTTGGAGTGCAGCCTTCTCATCCATAACTGTCACATGGCTGACTTAAGTTTTATTTATTTTTATATTGGCCTTTTGGCCAATGGCACTCGTGTGGCTAACTCCGACCCGATTCCCCGCTATATCCCTCTGACCATATCTTTTTTTGCCTTCTTCTTCTTCTTACTCTCTTGCCTTGAATTTTCAAAAGGGAAATGCACCTCCACCTTTTCCCCGCGCTCGGTGTTTGGTTTTTGGAAAATTGATTTGGAAAGTTGCATTAAAATGCAATTTGTTGGTTTCTCGTTGGCTTTTAGTGTTTGCTGGTGTGTGCGGTGAGTTGGTGTTTTTTCTTCTTTCTACAGGAAGTATGACGAGGCGTTATGTGCCAAAAAAAACCCGAAGAAAAAAATTGAAAATTAATTTTCGGTTTAGCCAAGTGACAGAAATGTGAAAGATAACTTCAATTGAGGAGGCCAAATTGTGACGCAACTGAAAAGGGGATTCGATTGAGTTTTAATTTTAGGAGTTGAGTAACACACACTTGAACTTTATTTGATGGGCTCATTAATTTTATAGAGATCCAATCAGACAGTAAAAATAAATAGATTTCATTCAACTTGAATTATGGCTTGGCGATTGATTGTTTGTAATCGTAGAAAATTAAAATTTACGCAATGTTTGTTTTTAGATTAAAATAAAATAAACTATATGAAGTGAACCAAATCAGCTTTACAAATATGACTAAATATTTTTTTATTAAGCATATAAAATCCATTTTTCTGTTTAATTCAAATTTAAAGTATGTAGTTAAATATATAGTATATCCACATATTTTTTTCTATTTGCACTGTTGCTGAAAATCGCATGATTAACTATTTGGAACCCATCTGTTAGGCTTCCAGTTTTTATAGTATAAGCAACCCCTTTATTTGAAAAGGTAGCCTGCAGTTCCACTTTTGTCCTACAAAACCAACCTCATATTAACGGTGCTTTTGTGGTAACAACCAACAACTTTCATAGCCCAAAGAACCAAAGCTGCTAAAAAGCAAAAAAAAAAAAACAAGGTAGGAAAAGGAAAACAAATCACCGACTCGCCTAATGATTATAAACGTAACAATCTAGTTTGCGGCGTTGGCGGTCAACGCATTATCAGCAACGGCAACTTGCAACAGCAACAACTAGCAACAGCAACTAGCAACAGCAACAGGCAACAAGCAACAGCAAGTTGCAACCAGCAACCAGCAACGAGCAACAATAACGGCAGCAACTACCGCACACGAGCAGCAAGTTTTGAGTGTGCAACAAGAGGAACCGAAGGCACGTGCTAAACATGCAACTCCTACTCTTACCACGGCCAAGGCCTCCTACAAAAAAAAAAAAAAAAAAAAAAAAACAGACAGACAGACAGCAGTTTTAGTCTCGGCCTCAGACACGACCATTCACTCAAGAGACAACCCTCCTCCCCCTCTTTATTTTTTTTTTTTTTTTTTTTGCCACAAGACCAATATGCTACCATTAATCCATGAATTACTTAAAACCACATTCCGTGCATCGGCGGGTGGAAGCGATTGCGGGGGCCACATTTAAATTGCCCGCTTACCGCCATATTTCAATATATTGGTCCGTTCGCAGGCGTTTTTTTTCTTTTCTTTTTTTTTTCCTGCCGGCTTCCACTTTTCGGCCGCCTACGAAAAGTTGGTAGGAAAGGAAAAAAATTGGCCAAAAGACAAGCAATTTCTTGCCTCGCGTTTGGCATTTTTTCTCCTTCTTTTTCGATAATGTTGCACGATAATGATGTCGTCTGCTTGATGATGTTGCTGCTGGGCCTTCGGAGCCGGCAAAACCGACCTGCTGTGGCAGTTAGAAAAAAATAAAGGAAAAAGGAAAAAGAAAACCCAACCGAAGCGAACAGGATCCAAACAATCATCTATATTGAAGGAAAAGTTCTGTTCCTTCGGAGGTTTGCGGCCAGAAATCACAGCACGAAAGCAAATGATCGCAATCGAGGCGAGACCTGCAAGGCTCTCTCAATCTTTCTCCTTTCAACTCTATGTGGCACAGTAGGTTATAGATAGTTTCATTCTGGGTATCTAAAGCTATATTAAATTAATGCACTTTCAACAAAGTAAAGTAAAATGGCAACTATGTCCTCTATGGATTAGCACTCAAACTTTTATAACCCCAAGTATCTTAGTAGAGACAATCAATACAATTTAGTTCCATAATACCACTTCTCAAGTAATTTTTTCTTTGATCGATATTTGATATAAATTCCGATAGAACACTCAAAAAAAGAAACAAGTAATGATTCATAATGATACAATTTTTATTATACTTTTTATAATATATAATAGTTGAATAGTTAAATAATAGGTAAAACTATTCAACTATTTCTAATCTTAATTTTTAAAAATTAATTTTTTTTTCTTTTAATTACGAAGTGACAGTTCAATTAAAATAATTTTGGTAACTTGCCACAATTAAAAAACATTAATCGATTACAAATGCAGGATACTTCTAGAAAATAAATAGTAAGTTCCTCCCCCATTTTTCGCTGCAGTTTGTCCCACTGTGCAGCTCGGACTGGAGCAGAGGTTAGATGAAATGTGCACCGGACGGAGGTTATAAGGTGGCCACGGCAGCGGAGCTGCCATTTAACTGACAGTCGGCAGGCAGGCAGCAACTTCGGAGGCAGCAAAGTGAGGCAGCATCGAGACCCCATCGAGACCCCAAACCCCAGACCCCAGAGACCTCGGGACCAAAGTCAAGACTCCAAATCGCCGTTGAAGTCGGCGCATGACTGGAAGCACCCAGTGAAAAAACAAAAGCAAAAACCAAAGAGCGAAAAAAGAGGAGAGAAGTTGGCCCGAAAGTCAAATGCCAAGCAGCAGATCATGCCGGGTCTGGAGTTTGGGGTTTCGGGGTTTGGGGATCGGGGGCTTGGGGTCTAGGGGTTCCAGGGTGCCCGGGTTGCTGGGGTCTTCAAAACTTTGGACCCTGGCAGGCAGGTCGTTGCAGCCAACGTCGCTGCGCTGCGCTCGTGGTGTGTTATCAAAGCTGATGATGATTATACCCACTTGCACGCCTTTTTTGTGCCCCCTACAGGAAGCCAGCTAAAAAGACGACCCGACTTTGGGTTCCTTCAGTTGTTGTTGTTGTTGTTGTCGAGTAAGGCCTTCTTGGCCTTCCTGGCCCTCTTGGCCTTCTTGGCCTTCCCTGCCTGCAATTGGCTACTCGTCGTCGCCCATCGCCATCGCCATCGTCTTCGTCTTTGAGTCTTCGTCGTCGTCGTCGTCTTGTTGCATGCATTATTATTATGCGCATGCGCGCAGTTGGCCATATAATCTAAAATTGTATCTTTGGCGTGTAACCCGGGGCACTTTTTCTTCTTCTTGGCGAGCTTCAGCTTCAGCTTCAACTTCAGCTCCTGCTGCCAAGAAAAGCAAAGCAACAAAATAAACTGATTATGTGCCTACCGCTCTCCGAAGCGAAATTAACAGCCCCAACTCCTCAGTTGCTGCAGCTTCCCCCAAGTTCCCCCAAAATCCCTCTGCTCCTCACGTTGGATTGGATTGGCTAGCTGGCCTTCTCCCCTTTTTTTTTTTTTTTTTTTGTTGTTTCCCTGGCGGCTTCGTTCGGTGAGCGGGTCACATAAAATTTGCTAATATTTTGACCTTAAGATGTAATATCTGTGATGGCCCCATTGTGCACAGTGGGTAATAATTAGTAGAAATTGGGTTCATACCAATTCCAGAATGTTAGAATTGTAAAAATCAGTATAATGTAAAACCCACTTTATATTGGTTATATTACATTACCTTAAAAAAGAAAATTTATTAACCAAAAAAATTATTACGTCTAAAAAACAAAAATAGAAAAAATAAGGTGATTTATAAAATCTTATAAATCGAAAAAAAAATTTAAAATTTATTAGCTCCACAATTACTTAATTATGTAAACTCAATGCTTTGCTACATAAACTTCTTACTTCCAAAAGATTCACTCATATAGTTTGCCCACCCGAAAAACCTTCTCTTATCCTCAAATTTATCAGCAATTTGCACAACGCGCCCACTGTCCCATTCGCGACTTTGTCCGCCAGCGGCAGTAGCTGTGAAATAAAAATAAAACTTATTTATTACAACTGTCTAAGTCGAGAGCCGAAGCCCGACTTCATTACTCGCCCCTGGGCGACTGTTCAATAATTTATTAAATTATTTAAATAATAAGCGGGCAATTTCGAAACGCTGTTGCTGGAAAAGTTCGGTGATTGATATAGAATACAGTTGTTTTTGGTCGCCGAGGGATAGTTAGTGGGTAAATCAATAAGAGAAGGACCAATCCCAACGATTTTCAACACTTTCGATGGAAAGTGCAGCGCAGCTTAGGTTTTCTCCAGCTGGCCAACTATCTGGCAAGACAGAAAGCTAGACGAGGCTGTTCTGCTCTACATGCCAATCAAACGCTACCTCAGATCGCAGATCCAGATGCCAGAATCCAGATTCCCGAGCACAATCTAAAGGCCACCTAGTAGTCGTTGCTGAAAGAGTTTGAAAAAAACAGCGAGCCTCGAATGCGTAACAAGATCAAACCACAGCCACCGCACTTGGGAGCTCACAACTTGGAGCTAAAGTCGGAGTTTGACTTGGAGTTGGAGTTGGAGTTAAGGTTGGGATGGAGCAGCCAGAACGCAGAGGATGTTTGGCATTAAGCGTAATTGTTGGGTTGCCGGGCTGAATAAAAAGAGAGAAATATCATTAAATACTCGGTACCAAAATCAAAGCCAAAGACACAAGTGAAGTGTAGCCGCGTCGGTGAAGCCAACAAGTCAACTTTTCCATACCCCTTAAAAAGAAAGGGGTGTAGGGTATACAGCTATACGGAAATTTGCCTCAATAATCTTTATTTTCTACATAGCGAAAATTATATCACAGTTAACAAGTACCGTAGATATATAACTAAAATATAGACCTACAAACCATGGAAAAGCCATAACATTTTTATGATCAGATTTACAGGTGTTAAAATTTAGAGCCTATAAACTTAACTGAGCATAATAAATTGATTCATAACATAAATTAATTGATAGATGTTCATACTAACTTTTTTTATTTTAATCTCATTAATAAAGTTTTAAAAATAATACAGCAAACTATTGTTGAATAGATTAATCATATCTGTACTTACAGCTTTATTATGCTCGCTTTTATTTAATGTAAAATTACCTATTGTCTTTTAACTGTTCATATTGTAAACATGAATTGAGATGTAGTTTTTTTTCTGTTTATAATTTTTAATAAGAAAATATACCAGTAAAATGATGAAAGAAACATTTACCATTTATATTATATTTTGAAAGGTCAGGTTTTTTATTTTCAACTGTTAGACATGTCTTAATCTAATTCAAAATAACTAGATTCTTTTATTAAAAGGTTGAAGGTTGAAAGGTTAATACATATTTTATATTTTATAGTTTTCCTAGAATACTTTTTTCAGGGTAACTCCCTGTTCATCACTCCTTTCTGCAGTGTAACTTTTTTGTTTTAGGTGGGCAGCCACCGATCGAGCCAAAGGTTGCTGATGGGCAACTGGAACTTGGTACTTGCCACTGCCGGCAATCAGGTCGCCTTCGTCTCTGTTCCTCAGTCTTGGCTTTCAGCTTTCTGGCCTTTTTGCCGTTGCTGTTGTTGCTTTTGGCCCAACCGGGGGACGTGGCCAGACATGAAGAATTACAATGAGTAGGTAGTTGGGCGCAATTGACTTGGTGGCTTGGGGTTCGAGCTCCGTTTCAGCCAAAGGTAAAGCCTCAGCTTCAAAGGCCCAAGCCAAAAACACAGAGCTCAGCATTCAGCATTCAGCTGTGAGCTCTCAGCTCTTAGCTTTTAGCTCCAACCTCTGCAAAGTTGGCAGCAGGTCGGCCCACGTTCTGCGATCAGCGCTCCACTCAACTGGCGGCTGGGCGAGCTCCCGGGCATAGGTAGCACAAAAAGCTGTTCAATTTAGAATTCAAATTGTTGTCTTCGCTTCTTGTCTTCCCCCCCTTACAATTCTCGATCCCCCAATCCCCTTAAACCCTCCTTTTGAACAATCCCCACCAAGCAGGGCGATCTTTCTCCACCATTTGGTGGCTGGTTGTTTCGGCTGTTTCGGCTGTTTGGTTGCTGACTTTAGGGTTAAGCAGGTCAAAATCCGTACAACTAAATTGAGCCCAGAAATACAATTGGGCAGAGCATCATCATCATCGCGGATCAGAGAAGAGCCTCCCCACCCCCCCCCTTTAAACTCGGTGGAATTCATTTTTCGCTGCACTCAGTCGGCTCTTCAAATTAAAATGTATTTTGGGGGATCTCGAGAGGGGGGGAGAAGATTGTCCATTGGGTGACCAGAAGCAGCCAGAAGCACTTTTGTAGCTGCTTATTAGTGTGATGTGTCTTTTGGCCAAAGACTTGCTTTCGGTGTATTTTACTTCTTCTTTTTTTTTTGGGATCTTGGATTTACTTTTGGTGAAGATCTGTGGCCGAGGACCTGGCACGTTTCACATTTGACGCGCCATTCGCTGACCCTGCTATTAATTTATTTCGCTGCAAAAAATTCCAGAGCTCGAGATTATCCACAGATGCTGGTCCATTCAATTTGGTTCCATTTATATGCATATTGGAGATGGGTGCGTGACGGGAATACCATTTTGAACCAGGGTTCAACAGGGGATTTCATTATTTTTAATTTCTTAAACAAATAATTCTATCTTTGTATCTCCTATAACTTTGTGCAGTCTCGAAAGTTTCCAATTCCATCAAAATTACTATTTTGATTAATCTTTAATGACTTTAACGGAATCATTAATATTTACCATCCTTAAAATTTATAGTTTAGATTGATATAATATTTTAAAATAAGAAAACAAATTAGTGAACATTTGATGAGTAATATTCAACATCTTTTAAATCTCATAAATTTAAAAAAGGAGTATCATTTTGATATGTTTTAATGAAACAATAAAAATTTTTTTGGCGTTTCATAACTTCTTCTAAATTTTTATATTTTCCAAAAATTTCCAATATCGTTTTTCAATACTTTTCCGATAGTCTTTCTCTAATCCATCTTTCCTAGCTAATCTCTTACTTATCCGTATATTTTAACCAGAGAAAAAGATCAAATTTTATTTGGCTATTTTACGATTGAAACCCACTTGAATTCTATGTAAATATTGCGCAACAAAATAACTTTATTGGGCTGACTCTTTATAGCTCTATTAAAGCAAGAAAAGGCTGGGGCAAATCTAAAGTCGTATAAAACGAGAAAATATTTACGAGTTCTTTGGCTCGATTCGATTCGACGGGTCTAGGGTTCGGAATCAAAACGAGGCGAACTTTTGACGAATCATCCGGCAACGTATGCAAATTGATCGTGGACATTCATTGATATTTAACCATCTGTCCATGGTCAACTCAGGTCACCATCCACATCAAATCTACTCAACAAGACAACCGGCAAAACCAAAACCGAACCAAACTTGAACTATAAAGTTTAATTACTTTAAAGAAGAAGAAGACTTTGATTTGGTTTTTGGGCGGAGTCCCAAGATGCGTATCTGTTTTCACGTGTCTGCGATTCTGAACACATTAATTTGAAGGCAAAATGTTTGCAAATTCTTCGACTTGTCTAAACATTCAATCAAATAGCGTGTATCTTTTGTGTTCCAAAAAAATTGATATGAGCTGCGAAAGCCATCAAAGCTGCAAACATTTCGCATTCATTAATATTGCTGCTCGAAGTTCTGGTGAAAATATCAAAACTTAACTGGGCCGTCTAACGCTAACAAAGTCTTTTGTTTGATGCAGCCAAACGATTTGCATATTTCCATATTTTCCACCCATTTTCCAACTAGCCTGCTATGTTGTGTTGTGTCTTAAATTGCCTTCAACCGAATGGAGAGCCCAGAACCTGGAGTCCAATTACATTGCGTGTTTGGATCTGCAGATGGCCTCGGCCCTGCTCTTCTTTTTCCCCTTTATTTTTTTTAGTTTTTGTTTTTTTTTTTTGTTTGCTGTCCAAAGGAGTTCAAAGTCAAGAGCCGAGCAGCCTGAGAGACCCACAATTCAAATCTGTTTTTGGCCCGTATTGTTATGGCCAAGATGTGCTCTTTTTTTTTCTTATGCTCTACGTATACTGCCCATTTCCTGGGCTCTAGTTAATGCCAACTTGTTGTTGTTGTTGTTATTGTTGTTGGCTATGTACGAGTATTGTTGGCTCTGTCAATTATTGGCACAGAATTTAGAATGCACTTGGCTGACCATAACCATAACCACAGAGCCACCCAAATCAAAGCCTCTTCCCCTCCCCAATTTCCCCTATCTTTTCTTTTTTTATTTCTGCGTTGTCCGGGCAAAATTATGACAGAATCCAATAGCTGCCCATAGGAGTAAAAGCCACCAATTTCCGGTTAGAACTCGGTCTTTGCTTGCTTTTCAGCTCGTTTGGATTTTTTTCTTGGCATTTTGACCAAGGCAATGTGGGAAAGCGTTATAGAAAGTAATTTATACTTAACCTAATCGAAGAGTTAAAGTTAATTGTCCCCAATCGCCTATATATGTATGTTTATCAACACAGAATGTTTATTAAATACTCATCCTTATGGAAAAATTAAAACGCGAGTAAGACAAAGGTCGTTAATTCAGTTAAAAATAATATTAGTAATAATTTTCCGTTCAAAATAATTTATTAACTTATTACAACACTAAGTTTAATTACAAGTGGAAAATTATATCAAACATATCTTTCACAAAAATGTATTATCTTAAGCTATGAGTTTTTTATAACTTCTCAGTCTTTAGTAATAGAGAAGTCTCCTTCCAAGTTTAAGAGATCTTAAATCTATACCCTCTTTATCCATTACCATATTCTCTTGTTGCGTTGACCTTCCTCCATTCTGAGTCGGTCTATTGTCTCAAATATCCTCGCTCGGCGGGCCAACTCCTTATTCACAGCCTGCTTGTTTCGCTCCCAATCGCTTCTTGCCTTTATTTTTGACCCCGCTGAATTCCTAACTGTATCATTATTTCCAGTCCGAGAGTTAAAGTTCATGTTCCAGGGCCGACGAGTGGTAATGGGACTGCTGTAAAGTGCAGTGTGGTTGGCAGGGAAGACACTGGGTTTGATAAAGATTGCCACATAGCCAGGTTTTGAAATATCACGATCCTTTGGAAAGACACTAGAAAAAAGAGAAAGATATCTTATGATTCTAAAAAAAATATAAAACCAGCAAAAGGAGACCTTAAAGTGAAGGCTAGTATTTTTGTTTAAACCTTTATAAGCTTTATACTTTTTGTATAATTGTAAATTTAAATAAATAAATACAGAGAAAAATCTTTAATTAATCTCTCTATTATTTCTGAGTATCGAATCCTTACCAGAAAAATCCCTCGTACATTTTGTGTAGGGCATGGTTACCCCACCAGCTGCCAAGGACCTGCAAAGGACACGATCGGTTCGTTCCGCCATACGAACTCATCACTTTCCCAACGGATACAAACAACAGCTCCGTGGTGTTGGCCTCCACCAATTCGGCTTTGCGCATCATGAACAAATCGTTGAAGGCCGAAATTACCACATCGTCGTACAGATTATAAACCAACTTGTCGTCCTTATCCTGGCCAATTATCAGCATGGCTGTTCGCATCGAGTTCATAATGTGGGCCAGGGCCAGAAAGTTGATGTTAATGTCCTTGTAATCGGGAGTCACGTAGCCAAAGTACCAGTGACGCAGGTGAATTCGAACGGGGAGCTCGATTCGCGTCATCAGCAACCAAGGACCTCCCCACTGGTTTTTAAAATCACACAGTATTTTGGTGGGCAAACCCCTATCTCTTTCGAGTCTAATGCCAAAAACCTCGTGCAAATCCATGTCCTCGTGGCAAGTTGCCTCCGGATAGTCGAAAAATTCCGGGGGATGTGGTGTCACCACTTCATCCCATTTCTTCGCTTCTTTTTCTTTATCTGTAAAAGAACTCTCTGTTGTGATTTCCGGAATTGGAATGGAATTTTCTTCGGTTATCTCTGTATCAATTTCAGTGACTTTTAAGGACTCTGTGGTAATTTCAGTGGGCATTTCAGGAGTTTCAATTGTCGTTGTCTGGGTTGTTTTATTTTTACGCCTCGTATTTTTAGGACGTATTTCCGGGGTTGTTTGCCACATGAAAATTTCATCCGTTTCACTTGAGTCTCTGTCCTCTACAATAGGTTTAATGTTATTATGATTTCTTTTATGTTTTTTACCAGACTCTCGAGAATGTTCCATAGAACTTAATTCTAAAGTTTCTTCTTCGTCAGATTTTTGAGAATGTTCCATAGAATCTAATTCTAAAGTTTCTTCGTTGCCAGAGTTTTCGAACTGTTTGATCGGTGGAACTCCTCCTTGCATTTGCTGATTTTGTGGGTCCATGAATCCCAGTTGTGGTGCACCTATTCTAGAGTTTGCGTAGTTGTTGAAAACAAAGCTCATGTAGTACGTTTGGCCAAGGGCAATCCACGGAAGAGTTGTCCACAGGCAGAAATTCAGCATGACTGCGCTCTTCAGCTCCACTAAAATCAGAATGAAGGGTTGTATATGAAAGCTGGGTTCCCTAAATGCCGTCGCTTTATGGCTCGTGACCAATTTGTTTAAACGGTTTCCCAACAGGTTGATAGCTAATGTGATACAAATCAATTTAACTTGCAGTCGATATGCACAATCATCGCATGTGCTGATGTTCAAACTTATGTTGATATCGCAGTTCAGTTTTTAATGTCAAGTGAAGAAGGTTAAGTTGGAAAATGAACGCATAATAGTTTTTTAAGAATTTAAATAAACTCATTTTTAATAAAAACAAAATATTTTAATAAATACAATTTATTAAATTTATAAACAAAAAATACAATTTTTATGGTTTTTGAATTTGAGTTCTGAATACCAAAACATTAGTTAGATTTTGCAAACGAAATTATTAAAGAAGTACAAAGATTCTTAGGAGTAAGGATTATATCAAAAATGGGGTTATTTTTAACATACCTAGTACATATCAATTATAATATTATTAATCCTGAGAAACAATAAAAGAAGTCATGAGGTAGGAAAGATTACAAAGTTACTATGTGAATACCTGAATATATAAAAATTTAGGGAAAATGTCTGCAAATGTATTAAAAAAACTATTTATTCTTTTATATTTTATTTTTATCGACTTATTGATTTACCCTTTAAATAGTTCTTAATTTAAGACACCCGTAAACCCTTTGAGCAAACATTTTCTTGAAATTTACATTTTATTGTCATTTTATTAATAAGAATCAATTAAAGTGGCTGCGTCCTTCCAAAGTTCCTTGAGCTTTTCCAACTGTTAGAAAAATAACCAAAAAAGAGAGTCAGCTGGATTAGATTCTCAGTCATCAAGCAAGGACTTACTCCTAGATCTCCCTAGATCACTTCCTCGTAGTCATCCTCCTTGCCTCCAGGTGTCCCATTGTCCGGTGCATCCGCCACATTTCCGTCGGCGTCAAGGGTTAGCGTTGGAGGTTCTTCGGGTGCTGGACCATTGCCGTTGGTCTCCTCGGGTTGCTGCTTCTCCTCGCTGCTCTCGGGGGCTCCACTGTCCCGCTGATTGGAGCCCGCTCTGCTGCCGGAGTGTCCATGGCTCTCGCTGCTCTCGTAGATCGAACGGACATATCTGCCGCCGAAACTGTCGTCGATGCTGATTTCGTAGCTGCTGTGGTGACTGTGATCCACTGGATTGCCTCCCAGTTCCTCTTGCCTCGCCAACTTCTCGCGACGATTCCGATCATCCTTGCTGTCGCTATCGTCATCATCGCCATCACCGCCATCGGTTCCCGGATTGCTATCACTTTTCGAATAAATTCCAGCTTCACTCGTATCACCACTATCGCTATCACTTTTCGAATCGGAATTGGAATCGGAGTCCTCATTAGTGGATTTCGTATCAGAACTGCCGCTGGATGCTTTGCTATCGTCCACGGGGATTTTAATGGGTCCCTCCGCGGTGCCACTGTCATCCCCTTCATGTGGCTGTCCATCCTGGGAATCCTCGCCAGGACCGCCAGGAGCATTAACACCAATAGGGCCAGCTGCATCTCCATCATTCGCATCCGGATTGTTGTTGTTGAAGGCAAAGTTCATGTAGTACTTCTGGCCCAGGACGCCGTGCTGCGCCACCAATTGGCCAACGGCCAGGATGACCAGGTAGCCAGTGAGTAGCCGCATTCGCAACCGCATCCGCATCCGCATCCGCCACATCGCTGCAACGCTGAGCTGCCCGAGCTTCGGCGAACCTCCCTTATATATAGAGATGACCCCCGATTCGACCGGCATCGAATCGATTCGGTTTCGGGTTCTGGCCATGGTGCCTTGCCTTCTGACCATGGCAAATACCGAAAAGGAAAAGAAGGGGCGGCCCGATAAAGGCGTGTCCAAAGGGGGCAGCAAAAAAAAAAAAAAAAAAAAAAAAAACAACAGCAAACAGCAAACAGTGGCAGTTGTTAGTCGAAGTTGCTGCGAGATGCTGCAGCAGCAGCTGCCGCGGAAACAGGTTGCTTGACCCCCCACCTCCCCTTTCCCCCTTTTCTCCCCCTTCCCCCTTTTCTACCCCCCTTTTTCTTTCCCTCTTCGCAGAGAGCTACGTGGAATTCAATCAGGGCCAATCTATAATAGAAATCTCATGTGGCGCGAGCTTCGTTTTGCCCAAGGGGGAGTTTGCAGCAGCGGCAGCAGCAGCAGCAGGGGGCGTGGCAGTGGAGATCAGCTAAGAGGAGGTGGAGAAGGAGGAGGAGGGGGGTAAAATATGGAAAGAGGGGGGAAATGCCCACTTCTTCTGCCCACTTTCAATCGATCGTGCGTTGCAAATATGAAAATGCTACTGCAGCGAACGGCAGCCAAGTCAGGCAGCTTTGGCTAAAATCGTTTTTCATTAACAATTTTAAAAGCCGCGCATTAATCACAAGTACACACTCACACTGGCACACACACATACACACAAGGAGAACAGAATGGAGAATGAGGGAAAATACAGGATGCCCTGCGCCTACGAATGCTCGTAGATGCCACAGTGGGCCAACTGGGTGAAAAATGATCTCAGATTTTGGTTGATAGTTGAAACTGTCGTAATGTTAACAAATATCTCATATTATAGTCCTTTTAAATTAACTTATATAGGCAATGGTTTAAATCATAGTTTTATATTATTACTATATTAAAGATCAAGATTATGGATTATATAACGTTTTTATTACTCGTAATTTATCGCGAAACCAATTTATAAAGTTTTCTGGTATCCACTGAAAAATTTCGAATAAGACCAACGATTTAGGATTAAAATTAGTTTTAGGGAATAATTTGTGATAATGCTGGACAAGTTTTTAATGAATTCAAATTCAAACCAAAAATCCAAAGTACTTAAAGAACATAAATATTGATACATATGTGTTTTTCCGATTACTAAAAATCTTTGGTCATAAAAATTAAATTGTTAGTTAAATTGTTATTTTAGATCAACTCATTAAATATGAAAATGTCTATCATATATTTCCCCCATATTTAATTTACCCATTAAAAATCCTATTTGAACCCATTAGGAATCACTGTGCAAGTGGTGCATGGTGCACGGTGCACATAAATCTGCCGTTTCTTCGCGAAGACTCCCCACTAATTCTCTCTTCGACTCTCTTCCCGTTGCAGTCGTTCCGCGATCAGTCGATCGATGGCACTGGCCTGCCGCTCTTAACCGAGGACCATTTGGTTAACTCGCTGGGCATGAAGTTGGGGCCGGCTCTCAAGCTGCGCTCCATATTGGCGAAGAAATTGGGCGGGCCGTGCCCGTGTGTTGCATGCGTTGCGCAGGCGCAACAAATGCTGGCACTGCAAACGGGTGGGGCAGCAACAGCAGCAGCAGCAGCAACACCAGCAGCAGTAGCAGCATCAGCAGCAACAGCAGGAGCAACAACTACTACTAGTTGCAGCATCAAGTCGGAGATCTTTAATGGCGGCAGCAACGGCAGCAGCATCAGCAGCAGTGGCAACAGCAATCAGGGCAGCGATATTGCAGCTACGCCAGCAACAGCCAGCTCGCCCAGCAGCAACATGTTGCTGCCAGTATTGCCGTGCAGCAATCTCCACGACGCCAGCTAGTTATCAGCGGTCCACATAAAAATATTTATGCTAAATATTATATATTGCATTTCAACTGCAACAATTGCTGTACCAAATGAGAAACACACACACACACATAACACTGAAGAAAATCGGATTGGAGAGAACACAACCTACTGTATAAATTAAACAATAAACATGTAATTTAATGGCTAGCTAAAGTTGTAAACTTTAAGTGACAACAACAATAATCGCAAAGTCTTCCATTTGCACAAACACAAATCATATTTGTATAACATTAATCAATTTATTAGTCAATTTAAAGAGAGAGTTTTCGTTTTACGTACTTAAGTGCAAAGCGCAATTTGCATTGATTTTATTTATTTCTATGACTTTTTCGTTTTTAACTGCTAGTCAGTAAATATATATTTAATAGAATTCCGCTAAATGTGAAGCAAACTTAAAAATTTAATTTTATTGTTTTGCTAATCGATGTAAAAGGCTATTTATTTTTATATATATCCTACGATACGGCAAAAATTGTTGAAACCCCGCCCCAATGCTTTTTTCAAATTTTATTAATTTATATTTAATTTTCTGCGGCCATGCACAGAGGAATTCAAAATTCAACTTTTAGAACTATGCATCCTTTTAAGAGCTCCAAGACTTGAAAAACACACACCACACACCTACACACACACACACAAATGAAAACAACAAGCAAATAGAGAACGTATTTTATAGCTGCATTGTACATATTGTTTATTTAATTAGTTGTAAGTCATTTAGAGAGAAACAAAAGCAAAAAAAAAACATTTTCTAATACCTAGGCCGTATGCAATGAACTTAAAGAAACAGAAGCATATTTCTACACAATAGGCATGAAAATGAACTTGATTTATTATATACATTTAATGAACTATAGCTATTTTTCACAAGCTAAAGCAAATAAATTATACCAGTTATCATACAAACAAAAGCAAAGGCGGTAGCAAGTTGCGGGTTGTGGATTGCGGGTTGCGGGTTGCAAGTATCCAGTTGCCAGTTGCTAGTTAGCAGTTGCAAGTGGCGAATTGCAATCTCTTTCTGGGGCGTTATGGGCACGCGGCTGACCTCCGGACCGCTCGATGCGTCGCGGGTCAAGCGGAACCGTTGCGCCAAAAGGCAACCAAGGATGGCTGCAAAACAATTAAAAGCACGCAGCGCACCTCCAGCGTCTAATTACAAATTGGAGTCATTGAATTTATTAAAATCGGCCGCGTAAATTGTGCAGCAATGCACTTGAGACACGCGAGCTGATATTGTGGGCCATCGGCGCTTCTTGGCTCTCATTACTCGGTCATAACTCACTGCGCCCGTCCGGTTCAAGTATCTGCATAAGCCTATCCCTCTATCCTCTAAGCAGCCCACAAGAGCCACTCGCTCGACCCGCTCTGCTTTTTTAAAAAGCATAATTGCTGCATGTCTGTGCAGCAACTTCTTTACTCGAGATGCGAAAAGGTTGCACTGACCGTTGCAAGTAAGTGGTTCCGCAATATAGAATATAATTATCCTCAAGTTCTTTCCGATCTTTTTTCTACAGTCTTAAAATCTTTCGACATTCTTAAAAGAGGGTAAATAATAATAATAATATTAACATAATAACAATGCACCTTAGTGTTTCAATAGATTTTGTTTTAAAAATGTTTATGTTTTGCTATAGATTTTAGTAAATTGGGTGCAGATCACCTAATTGACAGCTGTACTTCTGCAGAATATTTTGACTAATTTAAAATATTTGGAGTTTTAAAGTGTTAAATATTTTATATTTAAATAAGTGTTAAATATTTTAAAGATTATAAATCTCTGTATCTGCATTTTAAAATTTATAATTTTGGCGTATATTTTGAAATTTTTCAAGTACACCGTAATTATTATATTCTTGTTGCATACTTTTGTACAGGGTCGAACCAAAATATGTTAAAACTGTTATTAGGGAAGTATTCAGTTTGCGCTTTAAATTATGCAAGGTAATTTCATATTTGCTTTTGATCTTGATTTGACAGACGCCTATTGTTGCTCATATTTCTTGCAAAACATTTCAATGCTCCTTTTAATGGGAGTAATATAATCACGGTTGCCAGATTTGGCTCTTTTGAGCCAAAACTGGCTCTTTTTTTTCTCTTTGGCTCTTTGGCCCATTTTTATTGAATTTGGCTCTTTTTTGCTAATAGCGATACAAAATATTTTAAATTTAAAAAAAAAAAGAATTCATTTTTTTATTAATGCATTTTTTTGTTGTGCAATTATAAAAGTGATTAATGTCTGAAATCTAAAAGCGCCAGATCGAAACTAAATTGTTCCGCTGGTATGGTAGCTCTGAACATATGCCAGAATGACTTAAATTACCAAGTAATCCTTAGTTTCATTGCAGAAAAATGTGTTGTGATGTTTTTGTTTATTTTTTGTATATGACTTTTTTATGATAAAAGTTAAAAAAAATAATAAATAAAAATTTGGCTCTTTTTTATTCAAATTGGCTCATTTTTTATCTTTTTTGAATATAATGTACATATATCACAAAATTACAAAAAAAAACATGATTTGTTGTTGGTTAAGTATCAGGCTTTATTTAACATGGTTTAATGATTTCATTTAAACATACGGGAATGAAACTTTTGTCTTATGGACATGAAGGCCTTAGGATGTGTGGCCTCAAAGGGCGATGTGTGCTTAACAATATTAAGATTCGCTCTCCTACGTGGCAATGGGAGCAGGAGCAGCAGCCTCCGGCTCGGCAGCCTTCTCCCCATTGCCATTTTGAGCCTTGGCCGCCGGCAGATCTTTGACTCCGGTGGACCCGAAACCTCCCTCGCCGCGTTCGGTGTCCTCCAGTTTGTCGACCAGCTCGAGTTCCGGATGAAAGATGCGCTCGCAGATGAACTGGGCAATGCGATCCCCGCGCTTCACCTCGAACTCCACGTCCGAGTGGTTGAACAACACGACACCAAGGTTGCCGCGGTAATCCTCATCGACCACGCCGGCGCCCACATCGATGAAGTTCTTAACGGCGAGTCCGGACCGTGGAGCCACCCGGCCGTACGAACCCTCCGGAACCTGGACCTGCAGATCGGTCTTCACGATGGCCTTTCCTCGAGCAGGAACCACCAAATCGTAGGCGCTACGCAGGTCAACTCCTGCCGCTTTGGCGGATCCCCGCACCGGTTCCAGTGCATTTTCAGTCAGCTTGGCGAATCGCAGGACACACTTGTCGATCTTCATCTTCTTGGCAGCTGGAATATCCTCGAAATCAGGCGATGGCATCTGGAGCAGAGTGTTTTTTAACAGAGTGAACAAAGCTCAAACTATTCCTTTTACCTATTCGCGAAAAATGGCGGGGAGAAAGCGTCCATGGCGCAATCGAAATCGTTATCATAGAACTTTTACAAAATGGTATTTTTTCATATTTACCACTATGGCGATAGAATCGCCAAAAATATTATTAAACTATCGATAGAGATATTATCGACGGTCACACTATTCTCAGCACGTTGTTTTGAATAATCCACCTGATCTGCTTCGCTTATGTTTTTATTAATATAATCTACTGCCATGTCAAATACCTATTTTGATGAGTATGAAAACTTGGAGGTGAGTTCCATAAAGTTAGGCTCCATGAACATCCACAGCTGATATTAACTAAACCTTTAGATCCACGAGCTGATGCTAAAGGATCGACCTCGACAGGAAGCCTACTACAATGCGATTTTGGGAAACAAGGATTTGTTCAAGGACAAAATCGTGATGGATGTGGGCGCCGGCACTGGAATTCTATCCGCATTTTGCGCAAAAGCAGGAGCCCGCTTAGTCTATGCCATTGAGGCTTCAAATGTGGCCACCAAAGTCGCACTGGATTTGATAGAAGATAATGGACTAACAAATGTAGTGAAGGTGATTCAGTCAAGGATCGAGGAGTTCACACTGCCTGCCCATGCGGAAAAGGTGGACATCATAGTGTCCGAGTGGATGGGCTTCTATCTGCTTCACGAGGGCATGTTGGACTCGGTTCTTCTTGCCCGAGACAAGTTCCTTAAGGAGGACGGACTTCTGTTTCCCAGCGAGTGCACCATCTTTGTGGCTCCCTGCTCAGTGCCGTCGCTTTTTGACGATTGGCACAATGTGGATGGCATCAAAATGGACACTTTTGCCAGAAAATTGCGAATCCAAAAGTCAGCCAGGCCTGAGATAACGCATCTAAATCCGCAAGACCTTCTCCACGAGGGCGTCGTCTTTCATTGGATGAATCTACTGGACGTTCAGCCCAACGAACTGGACAGCATCCAATTTAAGGAGGTGGTGACGGCACAGAAGGCGGGAAAACACCAAGGCTTCTGCATTTGGTTCGATGTACGATTTCCTGGCGAGGATTCAGTGCTGAGCACATCCCCGACCTCTCCACCAACGCATTGGAAGCAGTGTGTAGTCGTCCTGCCCGAGGAATCCTGCGAGACCCTGGAGGAGAAGTCACCAATAGCCTTTCAAATTACCATGAAGCGCAGTGCGGCCGATATGCGTAAATACAACCTGGAGGTGGATCTGCTTGATCCCAACACCGAGGAGCACCCAGTGCCGTGCTCCTGCCATATGACCAAATGCATTCTTACCGAAGCTCACCTTAAAATGATGGACACCTCATAAGATAATGACAATCAAACTGTGGGGGAATCAATTTATTTAACATTTTTAATACAAATACAATAATATATCTCAGTCAAACTTAACTTCTAGTCCGGCATTTTCAAATTCATTAAAATAATTACTTAAAACAGCCGCAAAGGGGCATTAAACCAATAATCGCTGCAGCCGACTTTGAAGTTCCTTGAGCGAATGTTGAAGACGATTGGTATCGGGTTTTTGGTAGCATATATTCAAGCAGCCGGCCACTATGTCCTGAGCCTTGCCAATAATTCTCCTCCTGCAAAGTCAACATTGATTAAAATTAATCGTAAGCACTTAGGTTTTATTATTTTTAACTTACTTTGAGCGATACCAAATGGATTGTGCGTTGTCTGCGAGGAGGGAGACTACTCGAATGGCTGATTGGATCAAATGCCATTCGTTTCCCTCATTTGCCCAAACTCGTTCGTTCATTGAAATCATCCTAGAAAGAAGTATTTGATTGGTTGCTCTTAAAAATATTTAAGGTAAGTTTTGCATGTACAAACCTCGAGTAATATTCCAGTAGCAGTTCAACATCCAGATTCATATTCACCAGTTTCTCCGGCACAATTCCTTCCGGCAATCGCAGTTGGCAGGCTTTAATTTCCAGCTCTCTAATGAGAAAGGCAAAGGGAAAACAGGCTCCCGATTCGCCATACTCTCGCACTAAGAGTTCGATTTTCGTGAACAACCTGTTGCTGCGTTCTTGAGTTGAGCCCGGCTCATCTACCACGCTATTGATTATGTTACCCCAGACCGACTCAATCAGAAGCGGGTCGTTGTGATGGGAGCAGTTCAAGATGGACAATTGACACTCCCAGAGGTCGAAGGGCTCCGCAAAGTGTTGATAGAGCTGTGTGATATCGTACAACGCGTAATTCAACTCCTTTACTGCCGTGGCAGCCTCCAGTTTACTGCGAGCCAACTCCGTCATGGCGCCAAGCACAGACTTTTGAACTCGAGCTATGTCCAGCTAAATAAAGCAAAACGTATTTGAAATACTATCCACAATAGGTAAATTAATTCCTTATTCCTACCTTGTCCTCCAGCTCTTTCAGAAATATGCCATTGGTTATCGAGGAGCCAACATTTCCATTTCGCATACACATAACAGCACGCACCAAATACTCGATGCGCTGCTCCAGAGTTATGTTTTCACTGCGCGTCATCGCCAGATTTTCCAATATGTGGGCTGCCTGGGAGTGATGACCATTCTTTTCGTAGTACTTCCACAACAAATCTATTAGGACCACGTTCTCTCCATTCCGAGTCACACTGCGACGCAAGAATTCTCCCAGCGATGGCTCGACCACGTCCAAAAGCTCACTGAGCATGTCGTGGGCGAGCAGCCATTCGTAGAGTGTCACATGGATGAGAGGATCCTTCACGCGCAGGGTTTGGGACACGATTTTCGGAATGGTTTGTTTAGCGTCCGGAGTTTTTCCTGCACTTTTCAGTTGACCAGGTGATTGTGTTTGGTCCTGAATGTTGGACTTGTTGCATGCAGTCTGGTAAATATGGTCCAGCATAAGTTGCACTTCTTTGTAGTAGGTCATTCTGTAGACAAAAATATAGATTGTTAAAACAAAAAAATTTAAACATAAATAAACATAAATAAATATAAATAAAAATATAAAAAAAATGTAAATATTTTGTAACAAAAATGAGGGGAATATTCATAATTAATAATCTTTAAAAGTAAATCTTCATATTTATACTCATATAAATACCTTTATTGGTTTAACTCACCTTGTGGCGAAACAAGTGTAACCCTCGCGGTCTTCCGGCGGTTCCCCATTATTGTAGAAGTGAACTCCAACCTCCTCTGGATCGCTTTTTGAGGCACACACGGCCGAAAGCTCGATCACGCCCTCGTAGAAGTCGGCGGAAATGAACTGCTGGCAAATACTATGCAGTGGCAATGTGGGAGCAGCTTCCTTGCACATTAGCAGGGTGGTGCGCAGCTTTTGCTCCTTTTCGGTGGGCGAAGTGCAATTCTTTGCGTTCATTAACAACTCGGTGGCTTTGTATGTTACATCGTCCTCATGCCTGTACAGATTCGGGCAGTTTTCACGCAAGTTCATGGAAACTTCCGACACTCCCGCCTTATCCTTGAGGTAGAGGTTAATCAGTGAGATGATTAGGAATGCGCAGACCTCGGAACGTGTGAGAAGAAGATCGCGGAAGGTACAGCATTTCAGCATCTTCTGATGTTCTGGACTGAGTTGCAGGCATATCAGTTGAAAGGAGTGTGAGTTAAGAATGCTCCAAAGAGATATAACCTCACAAGCGTGTTCTAATCAAAGATGAAGATTAATTGACAATATGATTTTAATAAGTACTACAACTTTACTTACTGACAAAGAAGTTAAGAGCGGAAAGCGATCGTTTTTCTTCGACTTGAGCTTGCTCGGCCAAAACACGCTGCTCAGGCATCGGCAAGAGAGTGTTGCTCATCATTATGGTGTTGTACGAATTGGTTCTTTCCAAATGAGGATCAAACGACACTCGGGTAGATGCTGCAAAAGAGGACAGAATTTAAGCTCATCAAGTTACTATCAATGGTCAATGCTCAATTTTAAAGATAAATTAAATTACATTTCGCAAAAGTACTCTAAAATTATAGCCACTTACAGGAAATATCGTGCACAGAATGCACTTCCAGGAAACTGCGCAGAGATCGTAGATCGTTTTGAAGGAGGGCACAATCTCTATGACTTAAGTTGGAGCAGAAGTGCTCATTTACGCATCGCATTTGCCAAATTGAACGCAACATCCGGGAGACATACAAGTACAATCCGTCGTGTTTGGCCGAAAACACAATCTGTGAATTCTCATTGCTAACCGTCTGCGAAGGCTGCACATTTCCAACTGAAAAGTACGATATGATTGAAAACATTTAACACTGTTTGCAGCAGTTTTACATACTTGGACTGATAGGCTGATTGAAGTGTTGTCCCGCATAGCCCACCGGACTGTTTGCCGGCGAATTCGGCATCGGCGTGGACATAAACATTGGCTGACGCTCTCTGCCGGTCGCCGTATTCGGACCCAGTGTTTGATTCGCCAAATTGCGGTTACTGGCGTTGAGGAACTTTTGATGCGGGAAGCACGGCTCACCGCCGTACAACATAAACGCCTGGGTGGCCCACAGAGCGATCTCGGAGCCACGAAGTTTCTCCGAAGTGGCCAACAACAGAGCGGTGACACACGCCTCTCGCTGATTCTGCGACTGGAAGAACATCTTCACCTCCTCGTGGTGCGGGCCATTACAGGATACGAGGATCTGCCTGAGTACATCGACCATTTTGAGCAGCTCTATGATGTGTGTGCCCTGATTGGTAAGCAGCGCTACTTTCCGAGAATGGCGGGCACTGTTCAGAGGAGACTTTAAAGGCGGCTTCGATTCATGCACTTCAGCCAAGCCCCAGACCACTCCATCCAAGCTCTCCAGCGCCGTCGACTCCACCAGGTAAGTGAAGTTGACCGACGGCGCCGAACTGACTGACCAGAGCAGATCCTGCTCCTGCTGCTGCGTGGTGATCATCAGCATAGTGCCCTCCGTATAGTGGGCGGCGTGCACCTGCTTTGGCTTGTTGGTGCTGGCATTTGGTGTGTAGCCGGGCGGGAGACGCACATGCAACAGGTACAGTCCCTTCGGGGAGTCCGCTCCTGGTAATGGCTGCGTTGCCGTCTGGCCAAATCCCGTGCTATCGGGCTGTGTGCAAGGTGCTGCTGGACTGAATTGCTGCTGCACATTTAACGAAGTTGTGGAGAAATACAGCCGAACTCCACACTGCGTCACAGCCACGAGATGTAAATTTCCAGCATCATCGGCATTTAGGGGGCAGATGGCTTTGACACTTTTGAATATGGAAGGGTCCACAGTTCTGGAAATGTACAAAGGGCGGTAATGATTTGTTTTTATTAAAATTATTTGTAAATTAATGGAAATTGAACTTACGTGATTAGACTAACTGCTTGATTTGTAATATCGCTTTGGGTGATCCTCCCCAGCCGTCGTGCATTGTTGTAGTCCGTGCTAATGTCCCAGGCTTCGATTGAACCCTTTTCCGTAAGTACGTAGAGTAGTTTTCGGCTGTTATCAATCTCTATGCGCTCGATAGGATCAACTTCCTGCAAGAAATCGCACAGAGTTAGAATGCACTTTTATACAATTTTGCTAATAATTACCGAAAAAACTTTAAGGAAGCTGGGAACCATGTAGGAGACCAGCCCCTGGGAGAGGTTTATCTTCTTGCAGCGCTTGCCAAACCAACTGGACTCGGCCTGATAGAAAATCTCATAGAGGCAGCCATCGCGACCGCCCAAAAATATACGGCCGTCGTCCGTCCCCTTAATGACGCTAATTGAGACATTGTCGGTGCCGATCACGAAAATCGTTCTGTTCATCAGCTGCATTTCTTTGTGCGAGCCCTCTCCAAAGGTTACCCCCAGCACAATGACCTCGATCGGCGTCGTGAGGAGAAGAAGGTACTTCACGTCCTGGACAAACACTCCAGCTTTTGGCTTCACCAGACCCACGCTTACTATCAAGTGACTCAGTCCATCGTAGTAGGCAACATCCCGCGTCTGATCGTAGGTCCAGATGTAGATCTCCGAATCAATAGTCAGCCAGGCGCGACCAATTTCCGGAAACAGGCCCATGGTGCAGTGGCATTTCATGTCTGCAAGGCAGGAGAATATTTATAAGGACAAGGAGTACCACGTTGCAAGGTATACCCACGCTTAAAGTGCTCCAGGATCTCGTTGGGAATGGCCGACTTGGTCACCGTTCGCAGTTGTTGTAGGTTATGTGTTTCGTCCGATTTCAGGAACGACAGGCTCTGGTAATCGTAGTCATTGAGCCCACTCATGGTGGCGCGTCCATGTTGGCTAACACCAGTTAGCTGTGGAGAAAACAATCCTTAGAAACGCTCGAAGCCGTGATAACCGAGAGAACTCACCTCCAGAAGACCCGGCTTATTTCTGTCCAGATTGTCATGCCATTCCAGCATACTTCCCGCCGTCAGAAAAAAGTCGGGCTGTGCTTGCGGAGCAGTCATTGTGTGGAACTATGTTAGATGGGAGTAACTCGGTGCGGAACAAATCGCTTAAAGTTGACGAAAACAAATATTTATGGAGGGAAACTAATCTGCAATTTTTGGCCGGCTGATGCTGATGATACCCACGCTCCCGCCTTCGTTCCAATGGGTGCGAAAGAACAAGCGATAGTGTGTTGTCTAACCCTTATGCGGTGCATGGGGCTTACAAAAGCGCCACCAACGGAAGGAACCTGAACCCAAACGAATTGGCAGTTATTTTCGTCTACCAGAAGCAGTCCAATTAAAATTCGACAACGTTATTCCAAACGGGTAAGCATAGGACAATCTTTTTGCAAACGGTTTTAGTGAACGCTTTTGCCTTCGTTCAAATAAGTGCGAAATAAACAGCAATAGTGTGTTGTCTAACCCACTAACATGTGCGCCTAACAGCACCCAGCATCACGTTAACAGCACGCCGACGGCACATGGCGCTCGAATTTAGGAAATTTTCTGTGCCTGAGGCGGCCACACTAAATTTCCCTTCTTTTCTTTTCCCGTTTCCGGTGAGTGCGTTCCGCGTTTTATTTTTGTTAAAAAATTAACCCAAAATATCTTCAATTCGACTCTTTGCAGCGAGGAGTCCATCCAGAATTTGTCTCATACAAACGACGGACTAACGGAGTGTAAGTTTTGTGTCAAAAAGTGTCGAAACATCGAATCGAATGACTTACCAAAATGGAAGTTGGAAGTGTGGCACTGTGAATGGGACAGTCGCCTTTCTGTGCCGCATCGTTTATGATAAATACATGATCTACGTACGAATAAAAGCTATAAGAAGCATTTAGTAAATCAGTCGATTCACTGTTTCTAATGTGCTTTTGACCCAAGAGCCAAAAAAAACTTTTAAACGAACAATACTAATAAGTTGTTTTTACCGACAGTGTCATCAAAATGCGTACCATTAATTCCAACCAGTGCGTGAAAATCCCCAAGGATATCAAGGCCTCAGTGAAGGCCCGTGTGGTGACCATCACCGGCACCCGCGGAACCCTGAAGCGCAGCTTCAAGCACTTGGCCCTGGACATGTACATGCCCGACAAGCGCACCCTGAAGGTGGAGAAGTGGTTCGGTACCAAGAAGGAGTTGGCCGCCGTGCGCACCGTCTGCAGTCACATCGAGAACATGATCAAGGGTGCGTATTAATATTGGGAAGCCAGAAGTCACTCTGTGTGTGGGCCAGAAAGCCAGTATAGCAAAGCTTTTGTATTAAGATTGGGCTCCATAACAATGATTTACGGAGAATCAAAACAAAAATACGGTTTGAAGACCCACGAAAATACTACTTCAGTTCAACAATTGCCGGCGACTATAAGTTACTGCTCACCAAAAAAAAACCCTTCGGCTTATTGAGAGCAGCTACTCACATAGCGAAACTTTTTTGAAAAAAAGATTTGTTTGAGCTTTACTTATTCCAATTTTTTACGGCTTTAAGTGTAGGTCGAACTTCAAAACCATCTTGCGGCATTTGATTTTACTACCATTACCTAAAGTCTTTTATAGAGACGTCAATTGTGTAATGGCTAAATTAAAGAAAATCAAGAGAAGACTTATTTATCCTGCCAGGAATTTGCGCACCAATACTAATTTTAACTCATTTTTCTATCCCCAGGAGTCACGTTCGGCTTCCAGTACAAGATGCGCGCCGTGTACGCCCATTTCCCCATCAACTGTGTCACCTCCCAGAACAACACGGTCATCGAGATCCGTAACTTCTTGGGCGAGAAGTACATCCGTCGTGTGGAAATGGCTCCCGGCGTCACCGTTGTCAACTCGACTGCCCAAAAGGACGAGCTCATCGTGGAGGGAAACGACATCGAGTCGGTCTCCGGATCTGCCGCCCTCATCCAGCAGTCGACTACCGTTAAGAACAAGGATATCCGTAAATTCCTTGACGGTCTGTACGTGTCCGAGAAGACGACCGTTGTGAAGCTAGAGTCTTAGACTTTTATAATGTGTTTCAACCTAAAATGTTAATAAAATACCAACGGCCGAAACTTTCAATAAGAGATAAAAGTGTTTGAAATCAAACGGTGCAACACCCACATAACAATAAACGACAAAGAACAGTACAAAAAAACTAAATGCCTAATGCACAAATCAAACCGCAGCTAAATAGTAAGTACACATATGGAAATGTGAAAATATCTAGTTGGTAAATGAAACTGTAGAAAAAAACCATTTTATTAACTCAAAAAACTATGGCAAATCTCATTTGAGCCGATTAATCATTGATTAAGTTTAAAAAAAAGAAAAAAAGGAAGCTACCTTCGGCGAGCCCAACCTTTTAGTTCCCTTGCAGCCATCACAATTGTTGAACAAAATGCATAAAGGTTAAACAACACAGAAGTAATGACGAACTGGTCTCCCGACTCATCCGGGAAAGCCATATGGCTTCAACCTAGGCTGCGAACGGGGACACAGCGTCGGATTTTCGCAACTAAGACTCAAGACATGGATTGTCCCAAAATTTACATTATAAGCTTAGGGAACAGTTATACTAAAATATTTAAAATAAACTTAAACTATCGAAATTGTAGCATACGTTTGAAGGTAATACAAAATGTGCTTTCTCACAGGAAAACAGGAATGCGTTTCTTGGTGTTTCTTGGCTGTGTAAATTTTCCATAAAAATATGTGGCATACTTTGGAAGAATTGGAAGATCTTATTGCCCGGTATTTCAAAGTGAGGTTTGGTTATGTATAATGGCCTTGACCAAAAAAATTTGAACATATTTTTGGGAGCAGAAAAACTAATTTTATATTATCCTGTGCATGAGTGTAAAATGTTATATTTTGGGTTTTAGATAAACTAAAATTAATATCGAAATATGCACTTATGTCGGTTTTCAAAGTTTAAAAATCCCGCATAAGTTCGATCGACTATTGGGTCAGTTACGGATAAAACTGGTTCACGAACTCGCTTAGGGAGGACGATTGCAAGGGTGCCCTCGCTAGGGCTTGGAGGCTGTATTGGTTATGTGGAAAAACATTAAATATCGAATAATTTCAAAGACCGATACTTTTTGAGACTTATGATTTTGCAAAGCTAAAAGTCAAAAAAAAATCGAATTCAAAGGTGCCAATCGGTTTCTTTCCTTTTCTTTCTTTTTTCTTTTCCTTCGAAGCGAGAGGTCGTTAAGTTCACAGTGAAGCTAAAAGAAGAATTTTAAAGTTTAAAAAAGTATGAATTTGCCACCTAATGCTGGAACTGCTCGTGGAAGAGGACGCGGGTTAAAGCGTAATGAGGAAGCCAACCGCGGCTTGGCTCCGCAACGGGTAAGAGTTTAAAAAATATATTTGTACATTATGTATTACCTCGTTTTTCGAAGTTTTTCTTTGAAATGCTATGAAATTTCTTCTTAAAAAAGGGTATTATTTCTCACGTAAAAACTCCAATTTATCTAATCTTTCCAACCACAACTTGAAAAGTAAAGGATATCACAACTTTTTGTCAGTTAATTAATGTTTTTTATTTGCCACAACTTTATTGCATTTCATCATTATGCAAGGATGAGCTTTGCTTTTCTTACGCATACACACGTACATACATTTCTTTTTGATCATTCATGAATAGACGCGCATTTTGTGTATTTGAATATGAACCATTGAATATGAACATATATGTATGTACAACCATAAAATGTCGGTGTGTTCATACTCCATATAAACAGACGGAAAACTCTAATTTCACACGTGCATTCAAGAACAAATTAAAACAAGTTCGTAATGTTCAATAATTAAAATTATTGAAAACTTGCACTTTATTTCTTATCATGCTTCTTTAAAAACAACTTTTACAGTACAGATTGTAAGTTATGCATAAAAATGTTTAAAATGAAAACCTTTACAATTTTGTCTGCTATAATTGTGCATTGTTGTATTTCTTGGAATGAATCTCTAAAACTTCCTCAGTATTAGTGCGGTTCACTTTTTAGCAAAAGCACATTTTATACATACATACATATGAATGCATTTGTTTGTTTTTGTAAAAATATCTTTGCGCTGGTGAAAAAAGATTATACGGACCAAAAACACGAATCATAAGAAGCAACAAAAAAAAAAAATGGTTTTGCTGAACTGCTCTTTTTGAATGTGTTAATTTACAAAGAAAACTAGATAGAAGAAGGTCGTTTAAAGTGTATTGTGAAACGTCACATGGTAGGAAATGGAATCGAAACATCTATAAACGGTTGTTTGTTTTTGGTTTTTTATTTTACGATTTTTTTTTAAAGAAAATTAGGGTTAGTTTGGCACATGATACAAGGTAGTCCACTCGGCTTGCCGAAGTCGTTCGGGTTTGGTCCCTTATTTTCCTTGTGCGTGCCTGCTTGTATGTAGCCGTTTCACTCACACTTCCTTGTCAAAGCTAAAATTAGGGGACTATGGATTTTCCCGAGTGGACTACCTTGTATAATTGTATCATGGCGCATCCATTTTGTTTTTTTTTTTGAAGCTGTTTTCGGTTATTTAAGCGTTCTATTCCAATGAAAAAAAAAAACCACAAAGGCCAGTTATGGAAGGCGGACACATTTCGTTGATGCCGTTTTGCACCGCAAGCCTAGTATGCAGATCGAAAAAACATGAAGTTCAGCTATGAGATTGAGCAAGAGGCAAATATGTATATAAAGAACTGTGCTTCTCATATTCTGTTTGAAACCCGACTACCTTGTATAATTGTAACATGGTTTGGCATGTAAAATCTTTACAAATCTTTTATATATTTACTTAGTCCAAAATCGAATAAATACCTTAAACCTTACTTAAATGTATAATTGTAGGACCATTCATCGCATTCTTCTCAATCTGGACGAAACGAAGCCCCTGGAGTTCAGGGAGCCGCCAGTCAAGTTCCAGCAAGTGGAGGTTTGCCGACCAAGTCGAGAGAGGTTGAAGTTCAAAGCGGGGAAGGCAAGTGCTTTTTAAATCTGTATATGTCTGTTCTGTATTCTGAAAGTGCTCTTAATTCGACAAGGTGATCCTCGTGGCTCTGTTCGCGGTCGTCGATTAATTACGGACGTGGTTCACTCTCGTCCTCCGGGACTTGCCACCAAAAATGGCGTGTCTGGAACCAAAGTAGCTGTGCAGACCAACTACTTTAAGGTTTTAAAACGCCCAAACTGGACCATCTACCAGTACCGCGTTGATTTTGTGCCCGATGTCGACAATACACGCTTACGCCGTGCTTTTCTAAACGAACATCGAGGCCTTTTGGGTGGCTATATATTTGATGGAACCATACTTTTTTGCACAAAGCAATTTCAAGCTGTGCAAAACAGCGCCTATGTTCTGGAACTTTTGACAAAGAGCCGCGCTGGGGAAAACATTGAAGTCAAAATTAGGGCTGCTGGCTCGGTGGACGCTACTGACAACCAGCAGCTCCAAGTTCTTAATCTCATTCTGCGTAGAGCCATGGAGGGCTTGAACTTGCAACTGGTATCGCGCAATTATTTCGATCCACAAGCAAAGGTTTGCCACTAAAAATAACACTTATAAATAATTAGGGATAATAATTGAATATATTAAATAGATTAACTTGGAAAACTACCGCATGGAACTCTGGCCCGGTTATCAGACCTCGATTCGTCAGCACGAAAGTGATATATTGCTTTGTGCCGAAATTGCCCACAAGGTGATGAGAACAGACACTCTGTACAACATTTTATCCGAATCCATGCGAGACAATGACGACGGTTATCGCACCTTTCAACGTGAAGTAATAGGTAAGTTTACTAAATTGGCAAATCTATGCTTATAAAGTCCCCAATGGAATTCCCTTTTAACTAAATAAAGGCATGGTGGTACTGACGGATTACAACAACAAAACCTATCGCGTTGACGATGTTGACTTCGAATCGTCTCCATTATCGAAATTTAATACAAAGGAGGGCGACATAACTTATGTCGACTACTATAAAAAGGTAAATAATGATTAAAAAGAAGGGCTTAGATCTTTTTTCTAAAATATATAATTTTTTACAGAGGTACAACATAACAATCAGAGATTTTAAGCAGCCTCTGCTTGTGTCTCGTCCCACCGAGAAAAATATTCGTGGGGGCGTGGATCAGCTTATCATGCTGATTCCCGAACTGGCTCGGGCTACAGGAATGACCGATGCAATGCGCGCCAACTTCCGGTATGTTGAAAGGGGAGCTTAATTTCTTAAACGCAAGTTAATATCTTTGCACGATCAGATTGATGAAGGCCATGAGCGAGCATACCAGACTGACTCCGGATCGCAGGATTGAGCGGCTGCGCGTCTTTAATAAGCGTTTAAAGTCCAGCAAGGAGAGCACCGATACCCTTAAGTCCTGGAATATCGAACTGGACTCAGCCTTGGTAGAGATTCCGGGACGTGTACTTTTGCCGGAGAAAGTCGTGTTTGGACAGAACAGAACCTATCTATGCGACAATCGCGCCGATTGGACCCATGAGGTCCGCAAGCAAGCGATGTTCAGTCACGTGGACATCAAACGGTGGTATGTGATCACTCCGAGTCGGAATTTGCGCGAGACCCAGGAGTTTGTGAAGATGTGCATCCGGGCAGCCAACGGCATGAAAATGTGTATTTCCGAGCCGCTCTAGTATGTGATGCCAAACTATTTGTGACTATTTTGACTTAATTTGCTGATCTTTCTAGTGATGAAATCAGGGACGATCGCAATGGCACCTACTCCCAATCGATCGACAACGCGGTGGCTAAAGATCCGCAGATCATAATGGTTGTGATGAAGACCCAAAATGAAGAAAAGTACGTCTAGTTTTGTTGACAACACAAAAGATTAAACTATCCTTTCCCTTTGCCTACAGATATAGTGTCATTAAGAAACGCACCTGTGTGGACAGGCCGGTGCCATCGCAGGTGGTTACTCTAAGGGTGATTGCCCCGCGGCCAGAGAAGTCGGCTGGCCTCTTGTCGATTGCCACAAAGGTGGTGATCCAGATGAACGCCAAGCTGACGGGAGCTCCCTGGATGATCGAGCTCCCGTTGCGCGGCTTGATGACCGTCGGCTTCGATGTCTGCCACTCATCGAAAAATAAGAACAAGTCCTACGGAGCCCTTGTGGCCACCATGGACATGAAGTGCTCGACCCGCTACTTCTCCTCGGTGACCGAGCATATGAAGGGCCAAGAATTGTCCGACCAGATGTCATTGAACATGACCTGTGCCCTTAAGGCCTACCGCGAACATCATGGCACCTTGCCAGATCGCATCCTCTTTTACCGCGACGGAGTTGGCGATGGCCAGCTTCATCAGGTGGTTAACACTGAGGTCAAGTTCCTGAAAGCTAAACTGGACGAAATCTACAAGTCTGCCGGCAAGGAGCAGGGTTGTCGCATGGCATTCATCGTCGTGTCCAAGCGCATCAACACGCGTTACTTCGTGAACCAGCGCAATCCACGTCCAGGAACTGTGGTGGATGATGTTATCACCTTGCCGGAGCGTTACGACTTCTTCCTGGTGTCGCAGGCTGTTCAGCAGGGAACGGTGTCGCCCACCAGCTACAACGTAATAGCCGACAACCTTGGACTGAACGCCGATAAGCTGCAAATCCTGACGTACAAGATGACGCACATGTACTACAATATTTCGGGAACCATCCGAGTTCCCGCTGTGTGCCAATATGCCCACAAGTTGGCCTTCCTCGTGGCCGAAAGTATTAACCGTGCACCTTCAGCCGGTCTGGAGAACCAGTTGTACTTCTTGTAAGTCATCCATTTACAAGAAGTACAGCCAGTTGTACTTCTTGTAAATGGACTTACAAGAAGTACAACTGGTTGCATCAATTTTACTGTAACCATTTAATGACATGATTTTTATCACAAAGAATTGATAAATCAATAAATGCACTTTTGTTATTATATCTACCGAAAAAATATGTTTTGCTTTCTGTAAAAGGTTAGAATTGAATAATTTAATAAAAACGCTCAAGAATTAGTTAACATTTAATTTAATAATTCACTGTATAACTTTTACTAAATATATTAGTATTACATATCAATTTCAATGGTTGCTGAACACGTGCAGTACCGTTGCAATCCTAATATTATATTTAAAAATCAAAGATATGCTGCAGGCCAAACAGAGCGCTCATCAGTATAAAAATGTTGTTTCTGACGGAATTTTTAGGTCTAGGTCTAGTAAAAGAAGAGAAAAGAGTTGTTAATACTCTCTTTAAGAGTTGATTTTCATTGATTGGCTTACCTGGTGAAAAACTGAAAATGCAGAGTTAGGATTCATTTTCATCTCTTGTAGTTTTTGGCGTCGCTAGGGTCACACCTTCATCGTTCGAGTCCTAAAGTCAAAATTAAGCATTAAATACGAGTTTCTACACACTTTTCAAGTATGGAATAATTGGGAATAATATACTATCGGATAACCGAAGCTCGAAACCAACTGTATGCAAAACTATAAAAGCCAATTACAAAAAGAAATTGAAATTTCGACCAGTGCATAGTTCACAGCCATGCAGGACTTGAAAAGTAGCAAGCAAGGGGAAAAACTATAAGAGGGTCTAGGTACAATAAAGTGTACATTTGTACACTCAAAAATAATTGTTTACCTAAGCCATTAAAAAATCACTCAATACCCTTATAAAAAAAAATTGGTTATGTAGACCATATTTAATATATAATATAACTGTAGAGAATTTTTTTAAATTGAATGCTTAATACAAACATTATAGTTATCTCTGTTTAACAATTATCTACAAAATCAAAATAAAATGTTATTATGGGTTTTATGACTATGTTTTTTATAAAAGACAAGTACTTACCATTTCAAAAAAAATATTTTTAAAATATCAAATTGTTATTGCTTACAATTAGCACCCTAAGCCGTTCTTTAAGCTACAGATTAATAACGAGTTTTGTTTAATAGTAAAATTTGTCTGAGTGTGTGGTAATTCTAGTAGTAAAAGTAAACATTATTTATAAAAAAAAATTGTTTTCCTATGTCCCTTGATTTATGTAAATTAACGAATTTTAGATCACTTAAACAATATTACCTTGCAAGTTTAATTTTCAATATACATTTTACATTGAAAATCTCAAACTTCAACTTAACCTAATTAAAAAAATAGCTATAATGGTCAAATGATCAAATAAATACAAAAATAATATAAATACAAAAGATATTTATATTTACTTTATAACGTAAATCGTGAATTTATTAAACTTTATTAAAGTTGTATTTTGTAAACACCTCATTTATTTGGGTTTTAAATGATTGGCAGTTTACTATTATCAATTAATTACAACGTATTTACTGATTTAGAAATTACTAAGAATTATATAATATGTTCAGTTGTAGCAATAACACTATTCCAATCTATTATAAAAAACCAGATCACAATTTAGTTACGAATTATGCAATTTTGGTAATGTCCCAACAGAGTACATTTTGATTTAAATATTTGATTAACCTATTTACAAATACATCTGAATTTTTTAATAGTAAATATCAAATATATACATATGTTATTAAGACTAAGGTAATTGCACTAACAATAACAATAATGACTACCAATAATATGATGGCAGCGACTGTCACTTTAAAATCCATCTCATAAACTTGATGAAGTAATCCTGCAAATTTACAATTACACCAAAACATATTGATTTAATTTGCATTAACGAGTAGACAATTTTTGACTATTTTTATGTTTAAAAGAAAAAGGATTACATTGCCATGATTTGCTAGGAATTAAAGTTAAAAGATGGACTGGATAAATACAAAAAAAAAACATAATTCTCAGAAAATTGTGTGCAAAGAAAATAATGACCATTCTTGAATAAAACTATAATGTTGTTTTCTTGTTTAAGCATTAAAATAAAAACTTAAAGCAGCATGAATAGCACTTAAATGTGTTATGCTTAAAAAAGTTTGATCAAAAAGGGATTACAAAACTAAAGAATGTGTATAGTATATAGCACTATTGTTGAGTCTAAAGTAAATGGACAGGAAAATAAAACATATGTATTTTTTTTATAAATATAATTTCTAAATAATACTAAAATCCACGTGAATCTAGTACTCGTATATCTTATTGTCTTATTATGATTTATAGTTTTTGTACAAAAGGCACTAAGAAAAATGTAAAATTAAAAATACCCATAATGGCTTAAATCAAATTAACTGAAAAACATATGCTAATGGAGTTGGTTGGGATTTGTTTGTGACAACAAAAATATACTCAGTTAGAACCAAAATTAAAAAAAAGTCGAGAATAAAAGTAAAAAGAATTTTTAAATTTCATATTTATAAATTGTTTTTTTTTTCTTAGAACAATATAATTTTGTCATACGGGTAATATTGGTGGTCTTTGGCAACAAAGACATGTTATTAATTAAATAAGTAAAGAGCGTCTTCATGAGCTATATTAAAAATCAAACGAGATCAAAATGAAGACGAGATAACCTTATAGCTTGATGGTTTTACGCAAATATTAGCTGAAATCATACACTACTTTCGCTATGGAATAAGTTCTTCAGGTTCATTTATTTTTGCGATGGTCCGTTATTGAAAATTTACATTTACAAGTATGCCTTTTTAAAATGCTGTGGTGATAGATTTGAGGTCAGCGTTGGAAAAGCTAGTTATGGACAGCCGTTTGAGTTGAATATCTTTAAATAAAACCCACCTGACGTTGAAAGAAATTCTTTTTCTGGACTCAGGTGTAAGGAGTATGCAGTGTGATCACCTTCAATATACTTGATACACAAATACAATAAAAAGAAATTATAGTGATGGTAACGTTGAACAAAAAAACTCAAGAAGGCAACACTATTCAATACTTATGGATTCGGTGAACTGTTTTTTTAAGATTCTATGAGAACATTTTCATTACATAAAAAACATCTCCATTTATAACTAAGTATGGGGCCTGTCGGCCAAAGAGAACATCACTATTTGACCATCCCTCTACTTTTAAACTTCATTTAAGCTTCGTTATTTACCTATGCATTACTGGTAACGAAAACAAAAGATTTTTACGTTATGTTATTTAACCGGTAGAGATGACAAATACACTTTGTTGTCCTGGATATATTTCAAATAAAGACAATACGATGTTATAACAAGCTTACTGGTTTTCTTCTAGCTACTAATATTCGAGATTTTAGTTTACGACGACTCTGCGTGGTTAACAGATAAAACTTACGATGGCAAAGAGCACGGCACCGCCAAAAGAACGATTGTATAAATCTCCAACAGCCCTCAAAATTTAACAAAAGTCGAGAATTTATGAATATTTTAACTGATTTTTAGGACAGTTTTTGTTGTGTATAAAATTATTATGTAATTAAGGGCAATACTTAGTGTACACATAGAAAACAGTGCAATAAGCACTCAATAAAAAAAATGTAAATTATTCATTGTAAACATAAGTTGATAACCAAATTAGGAACATTTTGAAAAATTCATGAACATCCTGACCTATCGAAAACTTGTTGTTTTATAAATTACGATTCATTTAAATGGGTCTTGTGAAAAGCTTCTGCGCCATTGACGAATAGTTTTCTCACCTTTTTGGCTGGAGGTGTTGGGACTTGAAGATGATATTTATTTTGACAATAGTCGCGCAACAACGCAATGCCCTCCGTACGATTGTTAGCGTAGCGGGATTCCCAGGCATCCAAAAGGCGGTTGTAATACCGCGGACTGTCGTTGTATTTAAGGTACTTATGGGTTTGATCTGTAGGAAAGATACGCTCCAAGGGTGCACAGCGCGCTAGTTCATCCTCGGCTATGATAAGGCACCGCACATCATCGGGAGTTAGATTATTCAAGATCGCATTAACATACTATAAAAAATGTATTTTCATTAAATTTTCATTAAGAACATACATATTTGATTTTGAAACGTACCTCGTTGCGATCCTCCATTGATTTTCTTGTGAAAGTGTTATGTTTGACCTTCTCTTCGCGAGACAAATAGTTAATGTAAAGCCGTTTATCGTAGCACATCTGTGTGCCAGGAGGAAAGGAAAATTCAGCAGCCAGTTCTTTTTGCTTATCCAAAGACAGTTTTGGAGGTACCTAATAAAATATACTTCTCCTGAGAACTAGCACAAATTAAAAAACGCATAGTATTACTTACGTTGTACAGTGCCGTGTTGAGAACGCCCTGCACTAAAGGCGCTTTAACATGGGCATCTAAAGGCAGTTCCGAGTGTAAGCTGGGCGATATATTCACTTCCAAGAGCCAAGGAACCAGATCCGAATCCAAAATTACATCAAAGCCAAACAGCTCGAAGCAGCTGTATTTGGATTCCACGTTTGCTCTTATCATGCTGTTAATGCCATTCTCGCCAGCGAGAATTGTTCGAAGGACCAAACTCCGGAGAGCTTCCCACAGACAATCGGTTCGAACTCCACGGTTGGCCAAATACGTCCACAGAGACTTGATGGTCCACTTGTGCCCGTGGCAGGCATTGACATCTTCGTTTTTCGAATAGTTTGAAGAGAACTTGTTTATGCTGTAGTTGGTTAAGTGCATACAGCGATCGTTTAAAGTGTCCGTCTTAGCACTGTACTTCACTGCAAATGAGATACTTGGTTTTTAAAGTTCACATGAGGGTGAAATAGTGACTACTTACCAGAAGCAAAACGCGCCAAGCCGTTGTGATACATAAAAACTCTCAAGGGGTTAACTGAAGTAACGAGGACATAAAGTCGCAAGTCAAATTTACTTCCATTTATAAGAAGTGGACGTTCAATGTACCTGAAAGAGAAGGAAATAAAATATTTACCAGACTTTCATTTATTGAAACTTAAGTAAAAGAACATTAACAAGGAGTTCACAATTTTTAAACACCATGTAATATGCATTTTAAGGCATTCGATAAAATACTTTTTTATGCAGAAGAAATTAAAGATATAGCTAAATTCCTTACTTAATAACTCAAAACAACTTACTTTTGCACGATAAGCGGCCTTCTCTTAGGGATCTGACCCCACCGGTTAATAACTCTAATACCAGCACCCCGAGCACTTGCGGGTGGCTTGATAATCCACTTAGTATTCCGCTGGGCATACTTCGGCCAATGCCTGCGCAATGCACCCAGATCATTGGGGATGATGTATGTGCGCGGCATAAATCCAAACTCCTTGTTGCTGTGCTTACCCATCTGCCTTTGCAGATTCTTCCAGCAAGAATCCTTGCGTCCAATGCGAAATGAGCCAGGTAAGTGGTTGATTTTTTGATATGATCGAATGGCTTTAAAGCACGGCGACTTTAGGTGCTTGCCCCACACGCCCATCCAATCGTTGGTTTCTGCAGGAAAATCGCAATGAATGAAAGTCTGGTTATTTTTACCAACTCACTCTTCAACATTCGCATCCCGCTGTTGGCCAGAATGAGACGAACAACCTTTGGCATTATATTGGTGATGCGCCACTTGAGCACTCGATGAAGATCCGGTGGCACGCGTGGGCCTTTCTTTGTGTTCGACGAGAAGGACAAATAGGGAGGCACGTAGGGAAACAGACTGGGCACCAGGAGGGAGTCCGGGTTTTTAAGATCATCCTCAGACGATTGAGACGACAGAAAGCTGGGTGTGCTTTGAGGTGATGAAAATCGATCCGTGGAATGCGTTAGCTTGTAGGCATGGGCACGATAACCATCCTCGGTGTCCGACAGCACACTTGCCGTGTCGCTTTCGTCGAAATTCGAAACTGTGCAAAACAAAAGGTGAAATTAAAAAAAAAAATTGCATTACTGTTGATTGCAAAGGTTTTATTAAATTAGTTATAAATGTCCAGAAGGACAAAGAGACTTCAAACAACTATACTTACGATTGTCGAGGTCATCGTCTTCGTCAAAGTCATCGTTGCGATCAAAGTCAATGGCATTACGATGCTCGTCGGATTTCAGGTCCGGCTCTAGCAATATAACCGTTTGTCCCTCGTCGCCGCCACCAAGTGACCTGGAGTTCTGCTGCTTCATACTGACCCGCTGGCTGGCAAACTGTTGTTTGCGTCCCATCCGAGGACTTTGCGTGCTGTACAGCAGGACTCGGTGAACCGTGGGCGTTTGTTTCTTGGCGGACACGGCTCCACCTTTGGCCCTCTTGGGCGTCATCGGTAAGCGGGGCACCGGCTGATCCGTTGTCTTTCGCATAACCTTTAATTCATTATTGTTGTTATTAATTAGAGTATCGCCCGAATTATCCTGTGCCGTGTTTTCAGACACTCGATAATAGCGCCGATGGACCGGTTCGAGTCCGTTTTCGATGGCAACTGCATTGTCGTAAACGTCCTTGATATCCCGGTAGTCCTCGTCGTTTCCGGGCTCTCCCCAGCCATTGTCCAAATAATCATCTTCCAAATCATTGCTCGGTAACTTCTCCTTTAGCACTTGCTTCTCATATTTCGGACTCTGCCAGTTCCTGTCCTCGGAAATGTTCCTTCGGCCAATTATGACGGTGTCATCAACCTCTCGCGAATCCCGGCGACTGGCGCTGGATTTTTGGAACTTACTCATTGGCAGTTTGCGGCTATTGGCAACGGCAAGCGTGGAGTTAGACACTTTCTCCGCTCCACGATTGTAAAAGTATGAAAAATAGTGCTGATAGTGCTGGTTAGTCGTCTGATACTGGACCGGCCGTTCCGAGCTGAAAAACGAGAACAGAACGCCGTTGAAATTAAACTGGCTAACAAAGGTTTATGTTTTTGTTTACACATCTATGTTCAATGAGTGTCTGTGGGTATATATGTATTTATATGTACTCGCAACTAGAGTCTTGTGTGGTATCTATCGGTTTGTAGTAGTTTTTCCAAACACAACATCAACAAAATACGTGTGTGTGCGTGTACTGGAGGTATGTAGTTTTTCAACAAGCAGGACAAGTAACAAAAATGCAATTTAAAAAATTACAGTATGTTATCCCAGGTTGGCTCTGGTGACTGGGAATTGACGGCCCGATATCGGTCCGGACTATTGTCCAGATAATCAGCGGAACCACGTCCCACTCGGGCTTTTCGTTTCTTAAGCTCCGGATCGAAGTAAACGATGTGTGGCTGCAGCAACATCTGTTCCTTTTCGGCGGCATATTGCCTTGTCACTTTATACTGCTGACCATTGGAATGATGAAGGTCGTCGGATCGCCGAACCGCCTGGTAGACGTACTCGCAGCTCTTGTTGCCAGCTATTCGCTGACTGACCAGGGAATGTTGGCCAAATGCATCGGCGTAGAGTGAGGAATCCGGCGCCGAATTGGCCGCCGATGGATGGTAGCTCGATCTGGCTGCTTGCTTGGTGGGAATTCGCTTCGACGGCAGATTGTGGTTCTGGTTAGGTACTTGATTCTGATTAAAGTTCTGACGACTGCTCCACGCGGGGCCGATCAGGTTGCAGTTATCGAGGTTGTAGTAGCAGAGCGAATTGTCCGCATTGCCGTAACGTGGTGCAGTGGCTCCATTGTTGTTCAGACTGTTGCTGGCGGGGATATTATAGCCGCTGTTGTTACGCATGTCAGGTGGTCCTGGTCACCCAGTAATCATATATAGTGGTACAGTGGGTGGTACTAAGCTCGTTCTGTGATCTCTGATCTCCGCTAAACCCGCAAAAAAAGAGAGAAGCCTAAGAAGAGGTTTATATGCTGTGAATGATTTCTGATCGTTAGATTGCGGATGCGGATTAACCATAATCTGGTGAATAGAGAGAAGCCAGAATGCACGATGCATGCACTCTGACAGTGAATATACATTATATATTAACGGCCCCCTTTCGTGACACTCCATAAACCAGGTCAAATGTACAAAAACTTACTTGCCTCGCGATTTGTGACCTTTACTTTGTTGCTGCAGGAAGGATTTGACAGGCGAACGGAGCAGAATTGCGGTGGCGGTGGTATCTCAAGCGCAGGACTCCCAAAATCTAGGTCACTGGCACTTGTCGTCAGCTCGGTGTAATTACATTGCCAGCACAAAAAACAGCGCCATGTAAATGAAGCAAAACTACTGAAAAAACGAAGTATCCTGTGTTTACGAAACAATGTATTTGTGTAATTGTGCAAAACATACCCACCTACGATATAACTAATAGCAAATGCACAATTTCGTCTACAATTATTTGGCTTATAAAGTAGTTTCCAGTTCCACGTTTGTACTGAAATTCTTAAATTTTTACTAAAACTTTTCACAGCCTACGACAACAAAAAACTAAACTACTGGATTTTTTGTTTTTTTGAAGAATGTCCATGTGCACAGTTTGGAGCTGACAGCGTGAGCAATTCTAAGCAATTTCAGACGATAGTTATCGATTGCGAAAGTAGTCGATAGATCTTTAGGGGAATTCCCTAACAAATGATAGGTGAAATAATATTTTTAAGACATTTTACGTCTTACTCTCTTATTTTTCGTAATCACCGACTAGTTAGTTGGTTTTTGGTTGGTTATTGGGTCAAAGATATTGGTTAAATATAAAGTTTTTTACAAGCACGTGTTTCTTTTAAGAGACTAGAACGTAATTTACACATTTTGGCATTTTTTTGAGTGGGGAAAATAAGTACTTAAATTATATAAGAAAGATGTTTATTTGTTCTGTATCATAAAAATCGAATTTTTTTACTTTCTGCTTGTTGCTTAATGAGTATAATGCTAAAACAACTTATTTATAAACAAATTGGGTGTTTTGTTATGTATGCTATTTACTGGCACGCAAAATGGGTTTTGATAAATTGTTTTCTGTTGTTGTCCTCCCCGGTTTTTAAAGCTCTTCCTATAGAATTAAAGAATGTGGAGTTAAACGGTGAAATGTTTTGTTCTGTATCTGAAATTCAAATATATCAATTAAAAGTAACCGTAAAGATAAATTAATGATAGAGGCTTGCCTATACTGGGATCTGCCCACTCCATTGCCATGTTGTGCAAAATGGACAATGCCGTAATCGTTTGCTTGGCCGATCCATAGGAGCCCGCAATTTCGGTACTTAGAATGCCGAAGCGACTCATCAGCAAGTTGAGGCATTTCCTAGCGGATGCATAGGTGATCGAGTGGGCGTGATTGTAGAGCTCCTCGGACTCGTTTTTTGGAAAACGAACGGGAGTGAACAGGGATGAAGAGCATCGGACCATTTCGTCTCCTAGCAGAATGCGTCCGCGAAATTCATTTTGTTCAAAGCGCTCCTTTATTTTAGACAGAGCAAACATCTCAGTATCGGAAGGCATTGAATTTTCTTCGATCAGTCGAATATCAAGATCCCTTATTTTATGGGCAGCATCGCAAACGATTTGCAAGTGAAGTTCATCATCCTTTGGTGGAAATGGGTTTTCCTCATCCAGATCTTCTGGTGCTGTGTTTTCCGGTTGAAATCTCACAGTTGTCTGCAATAATGCCCCAATAACCTGCGGCATATTTGCAATGGCCTGAAATGAACACATCATTCTCTCCTTTTCGGAAAGAGTAGCCGGCATCCTTATATATCGAGACGCCTTTGATGACAAAACTGAAGCAACACGCCGTGTTATTTTCGCCAAAGTCCGTAACCTTACGCCATGAGCCATCGCAGTCAGTTTTGGGTGCTAAAATTGAGTAATTTAATAGAATAAAGTTATGATCTTATAAGCGATTTTCTACCAGACAATTTTGAAAAGTGTTATCGCGGTTTTGATGTACATACAAACTCACGAAAATCTTGCATACAAAAAGTGGTTTTACCTCAGTTCCACCCCATAGGCGAATTGCGGATAGGATTTGCAGGTCAATTGGAACCTGCTCCCTTTTTAATGGCTCATAATATTCGATTTCAAGGTCATCCCGTACAATTTCAATTATTCGGCGAAGATTTTCCTTGGTGTACCGATACTTTATGCGAAATTGGTTTTCGTTAAGATCGGTCAAGGGATTAAACCGAGGGTGCGACTTTTTTAAATGAGTCGCTCGCACTTTAACGTTTCTTTTAGGATGAGGAAATTGTTGGAAGTCCTTTAGGTACTCAAAGTCTTTAAGAGACCGCTCAAAAATTTGTAAGTCTTCCATTTTCACTTGTTTATATTTTTTTAGTGTGATTGTTTGTTAAGTGCTTGAAAATACCTCGAAAAAACACACTTTCAGTGGGCTTTGTAAGGGCTACTCCAGCTTTTTATCGTCTGGCAACACTGTCGGATAGCCACTTCTTGCAGCGCGTCGGTTTTGAAGCTTCCTTTGCTAACTTCATTCTTCATCAGTTTTCTCGTGTGCTCAGGAGTTCTTAAATAAAATTATGGCTGACGACCAGGAAAGAGGACGCAGACGTTTAATTGAACGCTTAAATTCCCGAGGAAGTGGAGATGAGCCGGTAAGTTAAATTGTATTCTTAGGTAAAATATGGAATATAAGCTTATATAAAAATGAAAACTTAAGTGCCGTTATGTCGCACATAATTTACGAAAATAAGCAAATACAGTTTTATCGGTCGCTGTAGCCGCGTATGCGCAAGAATTTGTAAGCTTGCTTACCTAATCTTCACCATCTTAAAATAAACAAACAAATCGCCAGATTGAATTTGCTTCAGAAACAGCCGTATACTTTTGGTTGGTACCATCAACTCATATTTCTGCTTGGCAAGCGATTCTTTTCGACGGTATTCTTTATCCATTCTAAGAATACCCAATACTCTTCAAGCATTTGAAGACCTTTTTTAAGACATCTGCAATATATTTCGGGGAGTTTTTAGTTATCAGTAAACAGCAGTATAATCCGACATTTAGGGCTCGGTATTTCGTAAGCGGTGCGGTACATCGAAAAATTTTATTCTTTAAAAGCGTTTATTTTGGGCCAATTAAATTAATATGTCCTCAAATCTTGGCGCCCCAGTAATTCAAATCGTGCCCAAAGTTCCAATGTAAACCAATGCTACTTGGGAAAATTTTTATTTTGTTGATTTCAAAATTAAATGTCTGTCCAAAAAAAAAGGAACAAACAAAAATTCGGAACTCTTGCAGTTCCTCAATTAAAAAATGGTCGACAGTGCCGCCGACGCCATCAGCCCAATTTTTTTTCCAAACCAAATCGTGAGAAGGGAGAACAAGAAAAAGAAAATGGTATAGCGCATGATACAATTATACAAGGTAGTCCACTCGGCTTGCCGAAGTCGTTCGGGTTTGGTCCCTTATTTTCCTTGTGCGTGCCTGCTTGTTTGTTGCCGTTTCACTCACACTTACTTGTCAAAGCTAAAAATAGGGGACTATGGATTTTGCCGAGTGGACTACCTTGTATAATTGTATCATGCTTAAGCCTAGTATGCAGATCGAAAAAACATGAAGTTCAGCTATGAGATTGAGCAAGAGGCAAATATGTACATATATAAAAAAAACTGAGTTTCTCATAGTCTGTTTGAAACCCGTTACAAAGATGAGCAAAACAAAAATTACTAGAATGTTAAAAGGCGCTGCCAACATAAAGAAATTAAAAGCTGATGAACTTTTTCTAGGGACTAACTAACTGAGCCATGGGGGGAAAGAACCCAAACAATTCTACAGCCGACGAGACTACCTTGTATAATTGTACCATGGTTTAATGTTTGTCAAGAAACTTAGCTGATCGACAATGCGGCCATGGTAAATGCACTTCGATGAACCCTAAAAAACTTGGTCACACTGTAAAGAATATTTTCCGCTAACGAACGTGTTTTTATACCCTTGCAGAGCAAAGAGTTTTATAATTTCAGTCAGAAGTTTGCAACGCAGTGAAGGAGACACCATAAAGTATATATATTCTTGATCAGCATTACGATCTTGTCCCAAATTCGTCTGTCCATCTGTCCGTGTGTCCTTTTCTGCCCAAACTTGTCTCTCAGTTTTAAAGCTATCTTGCTGAAACTTTCCCAAAAGGTGTGTAGTTATTGCACGCAGTATATAAGTCGGAACGGGCCGGATCGGGCGACTATATAGGATAGCTCCCATACATGAGATTGAAAGAAAAAATTCTAGCGTCGTTGTTTTTGATCAGATCGACTGGATTTCTTTTAGATAGCGTTTTCTATTGAATTTCGGGTAAAATTTTATCAAAATCGGATAACTCCACCATATAGTTGCCATACAAAAGATCAAAAAATATATATATAAATAATGAAAAAAAAATTATAACGTCGTTGTTTTTAATCCCGCGAGCATGATTTTTATAACTCCATGTTATAACCGGCCATTGGAAGCAAAAACTTTAAACGCGTTTATCTCGGAACCACGTTTTCGGACCTTACGGAAGTAATTAAAAGCGTTGGGGTTAACCAATCGTCATCAATTTTTTTTTTTTAATGTTCCTAATTGTTTCCTTTAACTAATGAACTAGGAAACTGTTTAATTGAGAAAACATTTAGTGAGAAAAAAGCGCAAAAATCGAAATTTTTTTTGAAAAGCTAATATTGGGTTGGCAAGAAAGTCATGTCGTTTTTTTTAGTAATCGTTTTTAATCTAATTTATTTACGACTAATCGAGCACCAGGGTCACACGTTTTAAAGCTTATTGTCTTAGGTACTATCGACGAAAATTTGGTAATTATTCGATAACATTTGTGGAAGCTATAGCAAATTAAACATGAAGGACCAAAGTGAGCATTTTCGGCATATATTGCTTTTTTACTTCCAAAAAGGAAAAAAAGCGGTCGAAGCTCGCGAAAAATTGTGCGAAGTGTATGGTAAATATGCCATGAGTGATCGCCAATGTCAGCGCTGGTTTGCCAAATTCAGGCTTGGAGATTTTGGAGTTAAAGACGCCCCACGTTCTGGTCGACCATCGGCCGTTTTTGACGAACAAATTCAGGCTTTGCTGGATGAAAACCGGCGTTATTCAACGCGGGAGATGTCAGTGAAGCTCTGTGTGTCGGATTCAACGGTTAAAAACCATTTGAAGAAACTTGCCAAGCTCGATGTTTGGGTTCCGCATAACTTAAAGAAAATTCACCTAACTAAGCGTATCAACATCTGCTATTCTCTGCTGCAACGGATTAAAAACGATCCTTTTTTGAAGCGGATCATTACTGGCGACGAAAAGTGGGTTGTTTACAATAATGTCCAACGAAAAAGGTCATGGAGCAAGAAAGATGAGCCAGCCCAAGCCACATCAAAGGCCGATATCCATCAGAGGAAAGTTATGCTGTCTGTTTGGTGGAATTGGAAGGGTGTAGTGCACTTTGAGCTGCTGGGACGGAATGAAACCATCAATTCAGATGTGTAATGTCGCCAGCTATCCAATTTGGCGGAAAAAATTAAAGAAAAGGAGCCGGCACTAGCTAATCGCAAGGGTATAGTCTTTCACCATGACAACGCTAGGCCCCACACATCTTTGGTCACTCGGCAAAAATTAAGGGGGGGGTTAAGGTTTTAAAAAAAATTTTTTAATTTTTTTTTTTTATTTTTTTCTGAATGACCAATGTGTCGAGAACATTGTGTAAAAATTTTGAGTCAATTAAAGTCGAACTAACAGAGTTACAGCGTTTTAAAGAACCGTATTTGGACGAATTTTCACGTATAAAAATACTTTGAATCGATTTTGCCGAAGACGTTATTTTGAAAGTCGGTGAACATCAGAACTCAAAATCTACTGAACCGATCCTTTTCAAATTTTTAACACAAATTCTTAATATAAATACGCAGGTAATCAGGAAGAGTTTTTTTTAATTTTTAATTTTTTCTATTTTTAAAAAATAAATTAGCAGCGATTTTTTATACTAAAATCGCACTTTTCACTTTCAAGTGCTCCCAAAAATAGACAAAAATAAATTTAAAAAAACCCTTCCTGATTACCTCGGGAAATTCATTATCTTTTCAACGCATATCACATTTTATTTTTAAGATGATCCGTTAACGCCCTATGATGTTCACCGCAAAACAACTTTTCTTTGGGCGCTTCGGAAGATTAACCGCCACAGGCTTATTTCTTAGTATTTTTTAATAATTTTTTTTCTAATACTCTTCAAAAGTTAAACAATAACATGTAATTAAGCTCAACAAAATAAACTTACTCATTTCGCCGCAAAAAAAAATCAAACATGGCCCTTTTTTGGCCTTTAAAACCTTACCCCCCTTAACGGAGCTGAATTGGGAAGTGCTACCACATCCACCTTATAGTCCGGACTTAGCACCTTCAAATTACCATTTGTTTCGCTCTCTTCAAAACTGTTTGAATGGTAAAAACTTTGATTCAGATGAGGCTGTCGAAAACCACTTGTCTCGATTCTTTGCTGGAAAAGACCAAAAGTTCTTCGAGCGCGGAATTATGCAGCTGCCCGAGAGATGGTCATTAGTGGTCGAACAAAACGGCCAATACATAATTGATTAATTATGAGTCCTGATATAAATAAATCATCTCTGAAAATATTGAAAAAAACGACATGACTTTCTTGCCAACCCAATAACTTTTACAATTTTAATTTTTTTCTTCTGATCCTAGTTCATTTTATGCACAGTACTGTACACCTTAAGAATCTTTTCGGTTTTTGTGTTTCCGGTTACCCGTTTTGGCTGAATCACTTCCGTAAGCGGGACACCTTTTTTTCCGAAATGTTGCAACTGAGGAAAGCCCTCCCCGCCCCTTTTTTGATTTTTAAATTTTGAAATTTTTTTTCGCAAATTAAATATGTTTTCAAATAAAGTTAAAAATTTCAGATTTTTATCTTTGACCGTTTTCTCAAAACAATTTTTGTAAAAGATGTCAATTTTTCGGCCCTACAAGGTGAGAATCTGCCTTAAATGCGCTTATTTAGGTTTAAAGATTATGTAAATCGTCAGTGAAGGACATGACTACGTTAAATTACATATTTAAAATTTTGTGGGGGGACTAATTTATAATTCACGCTGAAAATCAAATTTTTTCACAGGACTTTATTTGTCTAAGCAACGGTTTCATACGCAAAAGTCTTTAAAAACAATGAAATTATCTGGAATATAGTCGTAATATACTTAACAATTTTTATTAATTAAAAGTTTTTATTTGATCGCTTTAATATAGCGCTGCAAAATATTCAAGCAAAATATAAAAGTTTTTATTTAATCGCTTTAATACAGCGCAGCAAAATATTCAAGGAAGACCGATCCGATGAATTGCGAACGGATCGAGCAGGGCCTTCGAGATCTAGTTCTTCGACCGATCGCAGAGACAATCCGTTCGATCAAGAAAGACCTGGAAGTAGCCGAGCGCCATCATTGGGAGCTCCCAGTCAAGAGAGATCGGAAAAAGGTGGTTCGGCAGAAGGTAGATCGCGGCGCGATCGCTTTGATATCGTGCACACGCGTCCGGCTGAATTGGTATCTAAGAAGGGAGCAGAGGGAAACAAGGTCCTGTTGCAGACCAACTTCTTTCGACTAAATACTAAGCCAGATTGGCGTATTGTCCATTACCATGTGGAGTTTGAGCCGACCATCGAGAACCCTCGTGTCCGTATGGGAATATTGTCAAATCACGCAGATGTCTTAGGATCAGGCTATCTGTTTGATGGGATGCAACTCTTCACTACCCGGAAATTCGAACAAGAACTAACTATGCTGAAGGGGAGGTCTAAACTAGACATCGAATACACAATAAAGATTAAGTGTGTAGGTTTTATATCGTCGGCCGAGCCTCGGTTTTTGCAGGTTCTCAACCTAATTTTGAGACGCTCCATGAAAGGCTTGAACCTGGAATTGGTCGGTCGTAATCTTTTTGATCCCCAAGCTAAGGTAAAACTCTTTGCTACGTTTCTTTTTTTGAACAAATTTTTAATTTGATTATTTTAATTATTAGATTCAAATAAGAGAATTCAGAATGGAACTATGGCCGGGCTACGAAACATCGATCCGTCAGCACGAAAAAGACATTCTTTTGTGCACCGAAATAGCGCACAAGGTCATGCGCACTGAGACGGTATACGATATATTGCGACGTTGTTCTCAAAATCCCTCGCGTCATCAGGACGAATTTCGTCGTAGTGTCTTGGATCTAGTTGTTCTCACAGATTACAACAACAAAACATACCGCGTCAATGATGTAGACTTTGGTCAAACTCCAAAATCGACATTCAGCTGCAAAGGAAGGGATATCAGTTTTGTGGACTATTATCAAAATGTATGCTTGTCATTCGCCTAGAGTAATGAAGATTTCTTATTCAAAGAGCTTTTCTTTATTTAGAAATACAACATCCGCATACGGGACCATAATCAACCGTTGTTGATTTCAAAAAACAGGGACAAGGCTCAGAAAACCAATGCAGATGAGTTAGTAGTCCTAATTCCAGAGCTTTGCCGAGTGACAGGGTTAACTGACGACATGCGTGCAAATTTCCAGTACGTCATATGAGTGTGTTTATATAATATTGTTAAATATAAAATTGAGTTTCTTATTATCAGGTTAATGCGATCCATGGCGGCTTACACACGAATGAAGCCACAGCAACGCATTGACCGATTGCGCTCTTTCAACCAACGATTACAAAGCACTCCCGAGAGTGTTAAAGTTTTGAAAGACTGGCACATGGATCTGGACAGGAAGCTTACTGAAGTACAAGGCCGGATAATAAAACCGCAAAAAATTGTGTTTCTCGACTCCAAGTAAGTCGGCATAAATAATATATATTTTTCTTTTTATATATATTTTTTCATACTAAATAATGTTTTCAGGGTTTCTGCTGGTGAAACCGCAGATTGGACCCGACAGTTCCGAGACCAAAGAATGCTTACCACTCCAAGTAACGGTATTGATCGTTGGGCTATCATCGCGCCCGAAAAAAGCTCCCATAGTCTAAGGACTTTGCTTCAGAATTTGTTTAGAGCAGCAGGTGGAATGGGCCTTAACATAAGAAGCCCCCATGAGTGAGCAATACAAAATCCATATTTCGCTTTAGGAGTTCACTGTCATAGACAGAATATTGCTCATAGAAGTGAAATCCTAAATGCGCGTGTTATTTATTTATTATTAATAACATTTTCCTTACAGAGTTCTAATTTATGATGATCGCACGGGAACTTATATCAGAGCATTGGATGATTGTGCTCGCATGGATCCAAAACTCATCCTTTGCCTTGTTCCCAATAACAACGTTGAAAGGTTTAAATTTTATTTATTTATTTTTTGTTTAATTTTTATACAATATTTACTTCTAAGTATTCTTTAATCTTCATTCAAGACTTAGCTATTATTAAGGAGCTTCTTTCTTATTTATACAACTATTTTTTTTGTTTAGATACTCGGCAATTAAGAAGAGAGGATATGTTGACAAAGCAGTGCCAACTCAAGTCGTAACGCTTAAAACGGCTAACGTGCGTAGTCTAATGAGCATTGCCACCAAAATTGCAATTCAACTGAATTGCAAATTGGGGTATACCCCATGGATGATTGAGCTGCCCTTGTCTCAGCTGATGACGATCGGGTTCGACATTGCGAAGAGCACCCGGGACCGCAAGAGAGCCTATGGGGCATTGGTCGCTTCCATGGACCTTCAGCAAAACTCCACGTACTTCAGCACCGTTTCCGAGTGCAACGCCTTCGATGTGCTGGCCAACACCCTTTGGCCAATGATAGCAAAGGCGCTGCGTCAGTACCAGCGAGAGCATAATCATCTCCCTGCTCGTATCGTTTTTTATCGAGACGGTGTCAGCTCGGGCTCTCTTAAGCAGCTTTTCGAGTACGAAGTAAAGGACGTCGTGGAGAAGTTGGAGACTGAGTACAAGCGAGCCGGTCTCGCACCCCCGCAGTTAGCTTATATTGTGGTCACAAGATCGATGAACGCACGTTTTTTCCTCAACGGCCAAAATCCTCCGCCAGGAACAGTCGTCGACGACGTAATTACTCTTCCCGAGAGGTATGACTTTTACCTCGTTTCCCAACAAGTCCACCAGGGTACCGTGTCTCCCACTACCTACAATGTGGTTTATAGTACCATGGGAATAAGCCCAGATAGAATGCAAATGCTTACTTATAAGATGTGCCATTTGTACTACAATTGGTCAGGCACCACACGTGTACCGGCTGTTTGCCAGTATGCCAAGAAATTAGCTACCCTTGTCGGTACGAACTTGCACGCCATTCCGCAGAATGCGCTTGAAAAGAAGTTTTATTATCTCTAATTTGATATATAGATATAAGTTTAAAGCTTGAATCTTCTAAGGCAGTGAACGAAGTTAGCCTTTTTTCGTTTACTTTACTTGTTTACTTTTTCTTTAAGAAAGTTTCTATTAAAGTTGACCTACCTAAATAAAGTCTTCTTCATAAAGAAACCATGTTTAAATTTTTGCATTTACCTACTTGTTACTTATGCATTTGTGACTACTTCAACTTCAAAACCCAAAACCCAATAAAATGATCAATTTTCGAAATAAAAAATACAAATTACTTTGGACAATTTCTTTTAATTTGGAGTATAATTACTTTATTTATATTATATATTATTCTTTATAAAAAGAAAAATTACATACATCCATGTTCGCTTGTATAACCACCGAACCATGGCTGCTTATTTACGTGAAACATGTTATTAATAATACAGGTAATTAACTTTCACAAGGATAATACAAATTCATAGCTTGTTGAGTATATTGAAATGCTACGGAGTTCGATATTTTATTGTATTTGTATTTACAAAATTCTAAATTTTCGTTTTGGATAAATGTTTTATATTAATCGTATCGATTTCAAGTTGGGATAGGATTGAGTTCAGTGATAATATCGATTATTTATAATTTAATATCCAAACACCGACTACTATGATACAGAAGCCCATATCGATTAAGACCTTGACTCCAAAGAAAGTGACAAAGCGACATCTAAGTGCTCTTATCCCTTTCCCTGGATTGCTGTCTAGGCCTAAAATTCAAATGCGTTTACTATAGCGATTACTTTAACGATAATTACTCGTTGGTGTATATACAATTCTATTAAAGTTTTGATTTTAGATGTATTATTAGGATTAGGCGTATATTGTGTAAAGGGTGGTAGAAAAGCTTTGGTGCTTTTGTGTAATCCAATTATATACCACGCTTGGTTTCGACCATCGTATGGATTAATTCTCTTTGGAATTACTTTTTCTTCTTGTTTTTTAGAATTATATCAGGCTTTAACGAGTTAATCAGGGATCAAGCCGATGTTTCGTTCGGTTCCATCCAGCCCTCGCTGTCGTCTTCGCTATCCGAATCTTCCGACTCAGACAGCTCAATAGCCACACGTCTGGCTAAGATTGAAGCCACATCCAGTGGCGCCGCATTGCGTTCAATTTCTTTCTGCTCCGACTTCTCAACCTTTCGTAGAGTAATACCTAAAAAAATATATACGTTTAATATTACATCTTTTGTACAATGAAAACAAATTCAATAAGACTATAGGGAAAATAAAAGTGTGCCTTCTGCAAGTCGTTTTTACATGTTTTAAAGTACTTCTTTAAATCTTTAAATTTCTTTGATAGCCTTAACAAATTGGTTGGTAACATCCGGATTTTGTACAATAACTTACCATCTCGAATGGCCTTCATCAAATCGTTGCGTGGGTCATGGAATGGAGGCAACATCTTTTTAGGCGCGACAATGTGCGCCACGCCATTTTGTTGTCCGGGCTGCATGTCGCCGTTGGCCAGGGATTTTGACAGAATTTGGTGCGGGCGCAGCGTGTGCTGGTTGCCACCGCCCAACCCTTCCTCCACGGGTGGCGGTGGAGGCGGCGGCGGTGGTGCGGCATTAGGTGGCGACATCTTAGGCGAGTGCTGCAAAGGAATAGCAAATATTAGCAAAACCGATTAACACCGATCAGGTAACATTATTTGAAAACGTTATGGATTTTGAAAAAAGGTGCCTCAATTTTCAATAGTTGTACGAAAGAAAAAATTATGTAAATTGGGTCTTGTTATAGAGTTACGTTAAAATTTACTTCAACTGTGTACTGTGGTATGCACAAACCTGATCGGGCACCGGCGGTGGTGGCGGCAAGTCGCTAAGGGAGTTCAGTTGGTTGCCCGCCATTCCCAGGCCGTGGAAAGTATTGCTCAGCTGCGTCATGACCATGTCGTTGGCGTTCTGCACGTTGGGTGTCATTTGCGGAGATCCAGCTCCTGACGAACTGTTTGCCCGGCCCAGCAGTTTGGCCGCCATGTGGCCACTGTTGGCTCCGTTCATGCCGGACATCGGCGAAATGACGTCTGGAACTGGCGGAGGCGGTGGCAAGGCGTCCCGGCTGGTCGACATACTTCTGCCTCGGGTAGGTGTGTTAGCATTTGAGGCTGTGGGCGTACCGCCACCGCTGCCATTCGATGGCGGAGCCGGTGGCGGCTGCGAGGGACGCGGCTTGGAGCGCGACGGAGTGCCCGGTCCGTAGATCGGTTCCGGCGACATCATTCCCTGGCCCGTTTGGCCGTACAGCGTGTGCGACTGGTACAGCCCGGCGTCGTACATCTGCTGGTGCTGCATCTGATGGGGGCCACCCATGCCGTTGCCGAAGGTGGCCGCATACTGATTGGCCATCTGGGGAGGAAGCTGCTCGTAGGTGCTGCCGTCGATCTGCTCAGACTGGTAGCTGCGTCGCAATTCGATCGAGTTGGGACGAGGCGGACGAGTATCGTACATACCCATATCTAGAATAACGGATGGAAAGTATTAGTGTTATTATAGGCAAGTATATTTCTCTTACAGGACACACATCTTATTTAAGAACACGCCAATTATTGTGTAATTACACTTGAGGAACAATAAGACATGTAATTACAAGCAATTCAGAATTTCTGTGCAGTTAAGACCTTCCTCCGTTGGATTCGAATTCAAATTTTGATACATACAATACCGATTAAAAGACTTTGTAAGCTCTTTGCACAGAAACAAATTTAGAGACACAAGATGTGGCGACAAAAAGGAATTAGTTAAGCTGCAAAGTGACATGTACGATTGTAAAAAAGACGTAGATGTGGAAATTTGACTGAACTACAACAGAAAGATAGGAGGATCCTTAACAAAAACTGCGACTCAACCATCAATCGCGAGTATCAAATGAATTCAAACGTACTGCAAGACGCATTATTATAAAAATGTGCAACATATTAGGAAAGAGTTTCAAGAAATGTTGGAATTGCTTAGATTTTAAGAAGTCCGAGGTCTGAGGTACGTGGAACTCATTAAATCTGCGCGATTTCGGTCGATAGTTTGCAAAGATATTATTCTCTGCAGTACAGAGTCTGTACACACATACTATATGTTAACAAAATCAAAAAGGATTGCTAGTAGTAGGGGAAAGGAAAGAAGCGTGTGAAAGAACACTTATAGTCTTTACTGAGCTTGCTTTAAGGTGTGTGGGATGTCTAACCTGCAATCGCAACGGCGGTTTGCTTGGTGACATTACTGTTATTCTCCAAATGCGAAAGCATATTATAAGGCTTTATTGTATCTGTAAATGAGATGATTATGCGCGTTTGATCCATACATAATTAAAGGGCTAACTATGTTTAAGTTCAATAATATCGTAACGAAAGACATCGAAAGAGTTCTTAAAAACAACATGCAAATAAACCAAAGCGGTGAAAAGTAGTCGGTGGTTTGGATTATGAAGTAGAAGTATCATTTTGATCATCTTTACATCACCAAGAATAACTAAGTAAGAGAAATGGTCACCCAATTCAAAACAAAGAATTATTTATAGTCACAGGTAAATTCAGTTCTTTTTTGTAAAGTGACAGCTCTTTAAGGTAATTTTTCTTTATAAAGTAACAACTATAGGAGCACTTTTCAACTTCTGAAAGATTTATTTATATTTTACTGAGAGAGCGCGGAGGCTCAGAAAACTTTGATTTGATCACCTTTCTCTCGGGAGTGATTACATGGGTTATTTCTAATTAACAGCAACTGCAAAATTATACGTATTAGTGATCCTCAAACGGGGTTCTGAGGCGTATCGAAAACTAGCGAGCTTTTGAGTGAAGTAGGTGAATGAATGGCGGGAACATCTGTATCGTGGGATGTCAGCCGGGCGCAAATGAAAGCTACGTGGCCCCATCATCGTACCTACGTCTTGGATATTACCGACAACTTGGTGGTGCGCATCGAGAGTGCTTAGCCGCAAATCGATGTCAGCCTCGCCCACGGTCTGTATTTTGACTAGCTGGACTACACGGGCAGACAGGACATAATTGATAATTAAAATATTCCATTCGGTTGCAAGACAAGTGCAAATAATCAGTGCGTGAAACGAACGTTCCAATAATAGCCTATTGTTTTTGGATCGCACTGAGTACTTGTCTCTACCGTCGACCAATCCCAATGCTGAGTACTTACTTCCGTATCCGGCCTCCTCGTTGACCATGGAGTTTGGCGTGCGGTAGATAACGTTGTTGGGCATCAACGTTTCGCCATGCACCAGGGCCCGCTGTCGCTGCTGTTCACGCGTATTGTGTGGCACCCTTATCTTGGTTTTCTGCTTCTTGTTGCCACGTCCAGCGGCTCCGCCGGCACCACCTTCCTGCCGCGGTCTGTTCAGTTTCTTGCCCTTGTCGTGCATCACCCGCTCGGTGTCCTTCAGCATCTCCTGACGCCACAGCTCGAAGAAGTAGTTAGGATCCGTGTAGAACTTGAGCCCGTCCTTTCCGTCGTCCCTGTAAACGTTCAGCTTGTCCAGCGGCGGCGGCTTGTCGCATTGGGCATAGGTGTCCAGCATCGGTGCCGGCATAGTGGCACGCGAGAAGATCTGCTGGTCAAACACCTTGGCCGACTTGAAGGCCTTCTTGCGCGTGATGTCCGTCAGGGGAACCTCCTCCACGGTGCTGTCCAGCTGAGTCACCTTGATGGCTAGCCGATCGATGCGCGCCTGTAGTGAGTTGGCCCGATCTCCGATGTTGCCCACGTCGCGGGCCAGTTCGCCGAACACATCCTCAGCGTGCTTGGAGAGCGAGGACAGCTGACGGATGATGTTCGTCAGCGTGGTGTTGGTCACCGTCTCAAGCTCCACGGACTGCAGCTCATCCTGCTGGTAGACGGATCGGGCTACGTGCACAGGCTCTATCGATCGCTTCGGAAGCGGCATGGTCGGGCCCAATTGACAATTATCTCCAACTTGACACACCCGGGAATTAACGCGTCCTCATCGACTGAAATTAATAAGTCAAAAATTCAAGTGAGTACAATTAACCGCATTTTTGGTGATCAAATTTTGATATTTTAATTAAATATCAGATTGTATATTTCATATCCAATGAGAGAAAATTTCCAAAATAAGATGCATTTGTACGTGTCTTATCTTCAATTTAATAAATTGAAAGGTTTACGGTTTTAACTACAGTTGAAGAAGCAATTGCCACTAGTTATTCACATCGTAAAATAGGCGTTTTTATGCTTTCAGTACAATTAAGCTTCGAAAAATAATATATAATAGATTGCCTTTTTATTTTGCAATAAATTAATTCATTATTTAACAGCAACTTTTGTCACTTATTTTATTTTATTTAATTTAAGGTATGAATTTATGAAAAAAAAAACCAAAGTTAATCGGCTTGAAAATGTGTCACTATCGCGATAATCCGTTTACATAAATTTGTAAGTGTCCATACACCGTTTTATGAATCATACAGTCTCTTTGCTCAAGATGTTTTATCATTTAAGATTTCTTCGTTATTTGAATTATTTTGTGATATGCACGGCTGGTAGATTCGACGTCTGGACCACACCCCACATAAATGGCTATTCACAGTGCGGTGATAAGGGCGTAAGTCACCCCCACAAGATGCATTTTACACTCCCGGCCGGATTAGTCGATAATGCGCCCCGTTTTTGGTGGCATTATCTGGGGGCTCCGACCTGAAGGCTTTACGTGGGCACCTATGCAAGTACATCGCGTATACGTATATCTTTAGGCCTCCCACCAACGCAAATTAGACGTTCACGCACACACTCACACACAAAAACAGAGGCACCCAAGTACATACGATTGTGAGTGTGTGGCTTTTGGGGCGACTTTACGCGATTTTCGCACTGGAGCATTTGCACTAAATCGCAACAATACAATACATATGTATATATCTGCGAAGGCACAAGCACTTTCTATTCGCGACTTCGATTTTAAACACCCGAACGGCTCGGTTTAGTTCACTGGTTCGCACCTTTTCCGAAAACTCACCGCCCGTCACACGTTTCGCTTTGCAGCAGGCACCACAACAAACATTAAACAGCCACTTCCGTTGCGGGGGAAACGGTGTCAAATTCGATCCAATGAAAACTCTAATTAGCCAATTTGGGGCTTGAAAAATGCAAATATTTGCTCGTTTTGTGGGAACTATGATTTCCACACCTTTGCAGTGTGACCGCCGCTTTGCCGTTTGCAAATACCGCAGGACCGAGTTAGTTTGGAATGTACTGTATCTTTGTGGTCAAAACAAAAATACATTTTTGTTCAATACATTAATAAATATTAATATTAAAAGGATCCAAATTACTACATCATACATTAACTGAAAAATAACTAAAATTTTAAAATAGAAAAACAAAACTGTTTTTTTTTTTTTAAGGTTTTAAAAGTCAAATCTTGTATCTACTTTTTACATATCCTCCCACTCAAAAGTAATCAGTATTTTTGTGTAGAATAATTTAGTATATGACCGTCAATCGATAAGTGCTCGTCTAGCCCTGGTCTAGATCCATAACATCTCTGTTTCGTCGCACACTAAATAGGTAAGGTTTTCACCCACATTTTGCAAATTTCCTCTTGTATAATTGCCATTTTTTGTAGAACCAAATTTTAGACATGGCGAGTTTGGCTACCAAGGGATCAGGACTGGTTAACCGTGAGTGTCGTGATTCCCTAGCTAACGACTTCATGTTACGGCTACCAATCGGCAAATTATGTAATGATCAAATTTTGCAGGGCTCCTCACTCAGGCGAGACCCCAATTGGATGTTTTCCTGAAGTACGCCAAAGTGGAGCTCACGCCCCCGACGCCCGCCGATATTCCGGCAATCCGTCAAGGACTGGGAAACATTATCAAGGGAGCCAAAACCGGCGCCTACAAGAACCTCACCGTTCGCGAGGCCTGGCTTAACACCTTAGTGACCGCCGAGGTCATCTTCTGGTTCTACATCGGCGAGTGCATCGGCAAGCGTCACATTGTTGGCTACAACGTCTAAATTTACTATGTGAATATTTAGTCTCCGCTTGGCAGTCTCTGTAATGGGAAACAAAATTTTAAGTCTTACACGTCTGCGAACATTTCGACTCTGAATAAAATGAAGTAGTAATTAAAAAATCGAAAAAATGTCGAAAAACAAGTGATGTGACTTATAAAACTTAATTGGATTTCATCTACATCGTCGTCAGGATTTCCAGTGTTTGATTATGTGAACGCCAGTTTGGTTATGCTAAATTGGAATATTACGTGCACCCAAAAACAATATATGGTTTTGTTGCTAACGTTTCACCCATTTACTTTTAATTTTTAGAGAAATTATGCCTACTGCATCATTTAATTAATTTTACCAGCACAGTAATTTCGAAAAAAAACTATTTCATAATTAGAAACAAAACTTCAAAATGACGGGTTATTCCTTTTTATACGCAAACATAAGAGCAACATTTTGAAAGAAATGTGTAAATTGTTACATTTTTCAGGATTTCCTAAATAATTCTTATTTATAAAGCCTACCCATTAAAACTATTTAGAAAAATGTTTTTCCCAATTTAAATTTAAATTGAGAACCTGAAGTAATTTTTTTGAGCTTTAATTGCTGTTTATTCTAGATAAAATTATAATTTTTAATTTAAGGCAACATCTTTTAGATTGGGTATATTTCTGCGCTACATCCACGGTCACACTAAAATGTAATATCTTGGAGCTGCGATCAACAAAAAAAACTCCTAAAGGGAAAGCGCCACAAATCTTTAAGCTGATCAAACAAAACTATAAAGGATGCCGGAATGGCCTACGAGCGGCGCCTCCGATCGCAAAACCTGGTGCATCACCTCCAGAATCGGGAGTCTGGATTCACTTGCTTGGGCAAACAGCCGGGCAGAATGCCCCGGCTGGCATACGAGCGTCCATTCTACAAGTGCATTACTCCCTGTTTGACCATTGACTCGATCTCTATTCCGCCGGTTTACCTCAGGAAGTTTACACCGGATGGCAGCAAACTTCTGGCCTTCTCGCAGGATCAGCGCAGCCTGCACATCTATCGCTACAGGGGGTTCAGCTGCGCGGCGGTAGGCGAATTGATACGCCAGGCAAATGTCGGCAGTGGTGAATGCTTCAGCAGCCAGGACAACATCCTAAAGAGCTCAATTTTCGAGCGCCTGTTTGCCACCAAGGAGGCGATGAGTCTGCGACTGTGCCAAGGCGACTACAGCCTCTTCTATCTGCACCGGGAATTTAGTGTGTTCCTTGAGGAGGGACGGTATGTTCTACTGGCGGCGATGTCCGTGCTCCGTGGAGCTCTTCCAATCGAACTATATGTTCGGTATCCAGATATGTTCGACAAACTGGACGCCTTCTCGTATGTCTTTTTCGTGGTCGATCTGAAACTGGGTGAGGTGACCGACAGACTCTTTCTGCCCCATGATTCCATAGTGATTGCTCACAATCACGGCATTTCGGTGTTTGGCTCCCATGTAGCGATCATGTCTCGCCTTAATCAGTGCATTTACGTCTACTGGGTGAAGGAGGGCAAGTTTCTCGAGCAAGAAACCATTGGTCCACGGCCCCGAAACTTTATCGAAATGGCTCCCATTAATCTAGACAACCTAGACGCAACTACCGTCCTGCCCATTACACACATAAAACAACGCGTCTTGAGCTTTTTGTACCGCCAAATTGATTCTGAAAGCCCAGGGGCCACGGAGAAACGAAAGGAGTTTTACAAAAACTTTGACTTCGTAAGTAGGCTTGTTATTATTGTAGTTTTTTTATAATGCAATAATGTCCAATTAACTAATTTAAAAGAAAATTAAATCAGTACGTTAATTTTTTAGGTGGAACACATGATAATGGAAAGGATGCAATTGGTGAGCAAGGATCTGCTATTATTGCGGTACGAAGAACGAACAAAAGACAGCGAGGCCATATCAATGACCATAACAACACCCCCGCCGCTTATATGTTTTTTACACGATATCTGGCGAGGAAGTGGTGGGCGTGTATCCAGACTATTCAGTCGACCTGCTCCAGATCATACTGCAGTTCTACGATCAGATGAGCAATGTGCGATCGCTACAAACTGGAGACGCACCCTCCCTGCCGTTGCACTTCTTCTTGAAGCAAAACTTCTCGGTTGCCAACGAGTCGATCCCTTTCGTCCGGCACGCGGCGTTGCGCTTTAACCCCAGCGTTCCAGTCAGTTCGCAGAGCCTCTCGCCGTCGCCCTACTTGAGGTTCGACGAATTTAGTTTCGACGATCGGCACGTTTCGCCTTTGGAGCGACCCAGTCCCTGCTCCGCCGAGCCCATTGTGTTCCGAGATCGGGCCACGCAGTCGGTCAAGTTTAGATTACATGCGACGGCACGCAGGCATATCAACCCTATGGCGCAGCGGGAACTTTGCGCCTTCATATGGCATCCCTTTGAGCCCTTCGTATTGAGCATACAGAAATGTATGAGTAGCTACGCTTATCATGTGCATTTGTACAATCATGGGACAATTGTTGAGCAGTCAAGTGCCTAATAAACGTATTTGTTTGTATATAAATGTAGTTTATATATTGTATAACGTATGTGATATGCTTGCCTACAAATAGTATAATCATTGCCGCCTGTCTTTTGAGAAACTGAAAACTTGTTTTTATGTGAAAGTGCAAAATACCATTTGTTGAATTTTATTTTACTGCGTTAAAAGATTTTTATTTCATTATCAAATAAACAGCATATACGAAACTGATAATATTATATATTTTCAATATGCGTTAAACTATTTTGAGCTTGTGTGATGGCCATCTTCGTTGTATTCCTTGTTGACTTTGAGGGAGTGGTTAATAACACTTGAGCCTCCTGGAGGATATTGTGCAGAAGGTTGGGGCCCTGGTCCTGCTGTCGGTTGCGGCGGCTGCTGCTGATTTGGGGGCGAGTTGGGGTTCCAGCCGGGATTCTGTCCACCCCCCGGAGATGCTGGGTATCCTGCGCGACTAGCTGCAGGATCAGGAAGGTACATCGATGGATTGGACTGTTGCGGAGGTGGAGCCTGCATATACGGATTGTAGGGATAAGGGGGATAGCCTGGCATCGGCGGAGGTGGATAAGGACCGAAGCCGGGCATTGGGGGAGGCGGATACGACGGATTCAGTTGATTGTAGTAATACGGGTTGTAATAATAAGGCGGAGGAGGTGCCCCATAACCAAATCCCCCCCTGTGGATAGGCGGGGTTATTGTACTTATGATCCGAGTTCTTGTTCTTCTGCTTTCGCTCTCCGCTGCTGCTGCTGTCGCTGCTATCGCTGTCCGCTCGCACAACTTCCCCGTACTGGAATCCCAGTACCAGAAGGACTCCAATTGCAGCCCAGGTTTTCATTTTTCCGGTTAACCGCAAGACGTTTGTATAATCTGAGCTCACGGTTCTGACTAAATCTCAGACATAGTAATACCTTGTCCGTTTAGACAAGACAAATAGGCAGCGCGTGCGTTGCTTTTTGATAAGTAGACAAAAAGCAGAGATGCCACAAGGTGGCCCCGAGTCCACTTCGTAAAATCTGTGTATCATTGAAAGATTTTAAAATGATTTTTTGCAATAGTACCTATCTAATATGTGTATCATCTAACTAACGCGGCTTTTAGCGAAAATAAAATAAACTTTAAACTATAACATTTTCTTCTAATAAACATAGGGAATATTAAGTCAAAAAGCTAAAAATCTAAATCAAATACATATAGTTTTTTTGAGTGTCAAGATGATGCAAGAACTGAGTGCCTTTTTAAACAATATATAGCCAGGGCGTCGGAACAATCGCATTTCCTCTAGATTTTAGTTATTTAATAGGCATATGTTATGTGCTTATCAACTTGACCATTTGATGGAAACAAAACAATACACATAAAAAAAATAAACAAACGTCTAGCAAGCTAATAGAACTTAACTACGTACAATATTAAAATTAAAATTAAAATTAGCAGTAAGTAAATTTTATACAACTAGGGGGCAAGTTAAAATTTTGTTTAAGGTAAACACCACTATCATCTTGTTAAGTCAATAAACCGGATGCTGGTAATAAATGGTTTTGGTGAAGCTTCTTACTCTAAAATCAAAACAGCCTGTGCATAGATTATAAATAGCTCTTTAGAGATAAGATTTTGGGAAATACCCTATCTACTGCTACATGGCCGCCAAAACAATAGAAATCGGTATACTCTTATGAACGTACCGAGTAAACATTGCCGTGGAATGGACCCCACAAATTTATAAAAATGAGCTGACTATAAAACATCATTGTGCATAACATAAAACTTTAATATGCGGTTTCATTCGATTTTTCACTTAATAACCTAATAAGCTGGTATCAGTTTTAGTTTTCTCCGTTTTTGGTGGCAGCCGCTGAAGCCTTGAGGCGATTCTCCTTGACTAACTTTCGCCACTCGAGCCACTTGGCCAGCTCCGGCTGATCACTGCTGCCGCCCTGCTGCTCCAGCTGCATGTAGTATGCCTCGCGCAGGATCTTGAAAGCCTGAATGCTGTAGTACGGCTGCTGGGTGACCGGATCAAAGTAACGGGCTGGCAGTCTGGTGATCGGACAGATACCATTGCTAACTTTGGGCGGCGGCTTATGACGGAAGATGTTCTGGAAAACCTTGTCGTTGAAATCGTTCTCGAATGTCACAAATGTGCGCTCGCATTTTCCCGCAGAGTCCTTTGAATCGTTACAAAGATTGCCGCCACGAGTCGGCTTTCGCATTGCGGGCATCGTCAATGAATGGTACCGGATTGTGGGTCCTGTAAAGGTGCGTTTTGTTGGACGCGATTTCTTCTTCTCTAGCTCCATTTTCTGGAATTTTTCTAAAGAGTCAATCGAGAAAAAATATTAAACTGATGCAATGGGAAAATAATTTGGTTGACCCACCCAGAGATTTAATATTCTCCTCTTCGGTTATCTTGGCTTCCTCCAGCAATTCCTCCTGCGTGGGCATATAGTCCTCCACACGAACCTTCTTCTTCTTGCGCTTGCGGGCATCGTCCAGTTCCTTAAGGCGAATTTTTGTTGCCTGTGTCTTAATGGCCGTTGAAGTCCTTATGGATTTGCGACCGGAATCGAGGACCGTAAAGCGGGGACGTACCCGTCGCTTCACAACGCCTCCACCGACGCGTTTTTTATGCAAGGCTGGTACGACCTTCGTTTCCTTTTTTGCTACCGGTTTGGTTTCCTAAAACAGTTACATCATTAAAGCACAATTAGTGTTCCTGAGTATTATTACTTCCAAAACTAGTCTTAACTATTTTCAAAAATGTGTCATTAAAAAATATAGACTAAGCTGCACCTTGTAAGCCTTTGTGTTGACGCCTCCACGTTTCCGCTTCTTGCCGGGCTCCTCCTCCTGATCCGAAATTAGCTCATCTTGCTCGTCAATACTAAAGTCCGAGTCAACCACATCCTCCTCTTCGTCCTTTTGCCTACGAAAAGTGTGTTTTAAAATCGGTTTATTTGCTACATTTTATAAGAACTCACTCATATTCTTTGTCCTCTTCTTCGTCCTGAAAGCCGCCATAGGATGTTTTGTAAAAGTCGTCTTCCTCCTCTTCGTTTAGTAAATGGGCTATTTTGTTTCCAGCATTGTTGCGCCGGGATCGTGAGGCAGCCATTTGTTGTTATATTTCAAAGAAACCTTTTATAAATAAAGGTAACTAACAATTTTAAGACAAATTGATAAAATGATGAATGTAAACAAGCTATTTAGAGTGACCAAAACGCAGTATTTGAAATTAGTTCAAGCGGTTTACTAATCGTTGAATTTAAAAAATGCTGTAGCCCTGCTTAATTATTTAATATGAGTGCTTTACTGTTTTCTTTAAACTGTTGTTTTTTTTGTTTTTATAAAGTATAGACGAGTAAAGGTTAAAAATGATTGATTCCGGTAACGCTTCCTTTATTCTCAATAAAAGAATTAACAGTCACACCGATCGGCCACATCACTTTTCACACACTTTCCAACACTTTTCCCATCGGCTTGTTGCTTTTTATACTGCCGGCCGCCAGCAGAGTTTAATTTAATTAAGTTCCACCGATTAAAAGACTGCATTCAACATGTCGGAGAAATGGGAGGTGGTCTCCAAGTCGCGCAAGCAAAAAAATCTGGACAAGAAAGTGTTGGCGCACACTGAGCAGAAGCGGATTGCAGCCCAGTTGCCGAAACTGGAAGAGCTGTGTAAAATTTTAAATAGATTGCACCTGGTAATGCGAGATTTCAATTTTTCCACTATCTTACTTCACAGTGCCAACTCAGCGATATCGCAACTTGTTCGGCTCCGGCGGCGATAACAACAACAAGTCCCATTCCCCCGCTAAATCAAGTTCAAGTGCCTCGTCCTCCTCGAAAACTAATAAATCGCCAGCAAAGAAAAATCCCGTCAAGAATGCTTCGGCTCCTGCTCAAAAAAAGTCCACGTCGTCATTGGCGGCCAAGCCAAAAACTTTGGAGCTTGCTTTAAAGAATATTACAAGGGATGATTTCTCTTCTCAACTAGAGCAGGTCAAGCTGAGTTGTCCAGGATCCGAGTTGCGCTGGCTAAGTCATGTAGGTGCTTTAAGTTGTTCCTTGCAAGCGACTTTGACTAATAAGTTTTACTATCTCCCCAGATTGCTCTATACTTCAATGGCGCTTTGTCCTACGACTGCGATCCCATATTTTCCGGTCGCTCGGCCCAGTATCCTAGCAATTTGGCCAGTGCCTCGCTTAAGTACTCGATTGTGGAGTTTTTGGGCAGCGTGGGCGAACAGAATCTGGAGTACTTCTTCTACTCCCTGCTGGACAGCATGGCCACCGATCTGAATAACAACCAGACGGTTGTCGGTTACAAACTGATCTTGCAGTTGATTGGGCAGAACTGGCCCAGCATTTGTTCTCGAAACCTGGCCAAGACTGCACTGCTACGAAATTCTTACCAGAACCGTAGTAACATCTGCCTGAGCATCTTGTGGGCCATTGGTCAGGGTGGCTATCAATCCCTAAACGAGGGCGTCCGGGTGTGGCAGAACCTTATGTTCCCCAATCTGGAACTGAAGCAGTACACCAAGTTTGTGGTGGAGTACATGGAGCGGGCTTTAAGTGCAGCGTCTGCAAGAAAGCCAGTGGATACGCTTCAGCTCAACCAGCAAGAGTTCTTTGCCACCTTTAATGCGCTCAATGCTTCCTACAACAACCTGTCCAAAGAGTTCCAGCAAAGTCTGAAGCGAAGTGCGAGCCTGTTGCTTGTAAGCCTTTTAGAGTTGATACTGCTTTTATCATATGACTGACTTTTGCCTCCTGTTCTTTTAGCAAAACTATATTAATAGTCCTGTGAAGCACGCCAATATATTCCTGACGCTCCTCCGCGAAATAAGCGCTAGTTCAAAGCATAATAACGAGATCGAAGGCTGTATAAGTTGCCTACTCAGTAGCGGCAGAAATGATTGTCTGCGTGTGTGGCGCATGAACTATAAAAAGCAGCAGTTGCCTAGTCTATTGCTAATGAAAGCTATAGGTAAGGATTATTGTACGAACATTAAATTGGCACAATAGCTTTATGATTTTAATTATTGTCGAAGTGCCTTTATTAACTCTAACCCCTTTTTAGACGAAAACTGGACCACATCGACCCATGAATTGGCTACGTCGCCCCTATATCACTCTTTCCTACAAGACGTGGAAAATCTTAATGAAGAACTTCAGTCGAGCAAGCGAAAAGAAGGCAGCCTAGAAAGTTTGAAAGAAGTTTTGCTGGTGAGTTTATGTCTGATAACTTTTACCATTATAAAATTTTAAATAGTTAAACTAAGCCATAGTTAAACTAAGAAAAAAACAAAAACGATATATGTATACATTTTAAAAATTGCTCATAGAGAGCAAAAAAAATTACGATTTAAATATTCCGCCTTTATGATATCATGTTTGGCCACACTGCCGGCTAGGAGTTCTATCAGTTAACCCGCATTTCTGCCAAATCTAGTCTGGTCATACTGCTCTCGTGAAAAGAAAAACGAAGGTATAAAGTTGTAGAACTGGCAACCAAAAGTGAATAATTAATTGTTATTGGTGCTAAAAAGAATGAATTGGTGTTATTAAACTGGAGTCAGTCAAACAATGCGTTTTAGATAGAAAAACACAAGATAATTGTGTTCCAGTCAAACGAATCTTCAAAAGGGACGCTGCCAACACGACGTCCATGCGGGAAAGAGACGGATAACGCTAGCCGGCGTTCGCCCGAAATTTCTCTCCACTTGAACTGGCTTTTTTTTTTTTTTTAAAAGAGAATAAGCCTTAATTATTGGTCCGCACCTTAAATATCGCGTTGTTGTGCTTTTTGCAGTGCAAAGTGCGTTTCATACGTTTGTGTGTGCGTGTCATCATTAACGGTTGAGTATGCGTGCGCCCCTCCATGTTTGTATTGGTGGCAGTTATAGCTGCACTTTTCCCCATAGCGTTGCCATGCGGGTTCCAGTTGCCGCTAAAAATTTCTCCCAGCGTACGTGTTGCTTTCGAAAAGAGAGATTAGGAGCATCATAAATCTTAAGTTATCGAGCAACATTCGACTCCTTATCAGCACGCCCGAAATTCGATGATCTGGCGGGGCGTTAAAGCCGGCGCCACTTTTTCTACTTTCCTATTGAGTGATGTGTTCCAGCTGCGATTGGTCATCTCTTTCCCCCGCTCCCACTCTCTGGCTGATTGTGCGCACTTCTCTCTCCGCTCCCCCCTCTTCGCACTCTCACTCTCATTGCACAGTGGTGCAGCTTCGCACCCTCACCTGAAAAATACATCCGAAGACGCGATTGTCTGAAATTAAGAAAGAATTTGGGCTGCTTCAACACGTGGCATGTCCACTGTGACCCTGATTCTCAGCGGCCTTCTCAAGCGGTTTTCATTACCTTTCTTTCTTTCACTCGGAAAACACAAAAGAAAAGAAATGTAGAGGCCAAAGGCCAGAGAGTTTCTTCAACTCTTGAGTTAAAAGTATAGAAATTGATGGGGGCGGTCACCTTGCTGTATATAATATTTAGATTTCAAATTTGTCACAAATTTAATTAGAATTTAATATCTGTAGATATGTGCATTTACTTATTCAATGTTTAAACATTTTCATCGTTGGTTCAAAAGGTACTTAAAAGCAGTACGCAGTTTGAATATCAACTCGGGGTATAAATATTAATGTAGAGCTTCTGGACAAATTCGTTTGACTATATGCATTTGAAACTTTTAATTATCCCCACTGGTGGCTTTAGCTTGTTTTCGCATCTTAGGTCATCGCGCTCTTATCCGCCAAAGTATTCGCTAGCAATCTTCGTAGCAATGACGAAAAAGCTCGGTTTAAAAGCTCACAAAGCCCAGTCATTCTTTTTAGCAAACACCATTGCAATAATAAACACTATGAATAATTCAACATCTTTTGTGAACAGCTAAGGAAATCTAGAAATACTCTTTGCTAATCGAAACTAAGTGAAATTAAGTTAGAAAATGGCTCAGGTTAAACCGAAAAGTAACAAACAGGGCGGCAAACCAGCGCCGGCCGCCAAAAAGGTAAACAAAAGAAACTCCCAAAGCGATTCCCTCTAATTAATTATTTTCGTGTTGCTAATTTGATGGTTTTCGTACCTTACAGAGCGTTCAGGAGAAGAGCAGCGCTCAGCAGAAGAAGAACAAACAAAATGCTGCGGCACAGAAAAAGAAATGCGGATGCTGCAAGTGGACGTTGGGCAGCCTCTTCATTATCGCCCTGATCGCCGGAGCTCTGTACTACGACACCGAGGTCAACGGCAAGGGAGTCTTCGAGAAGTCGGCCACCGGCAAGGTGCTGAAGAACGCTGGAGTGCTGCCACATGTCCAGAAGACGTGGTACACGGTCATGGGCGCCGGAGCACGGGGCTACAAGTGGGCGGAGGTGAATGTGCCGCCGTACGCGGAGCCGGCGATCAAGACCACCTGCGACCTCTGGAAGCTGGCGAGGAACGCGGCCTGCAACGTGTACCAGAACGGCAAGGGATACTTCACCGCCAAGTGGCCCGTTGTGGCCAAATTCGTAAGTATCTTCAAGCTGATGAGGTCATATATCACGGTTGAATATGCTCAAACCAGTTTTCAATTAATCTCTATCATTTTCGGGCTCCTTTTGTTAATACGTTTCTATTTCACAGATTGACCAATACGTGCCCAATTTGTCTGGCAAGATCGAAGCCTTTGCTGCGGGCGTGAGCGATATTGCCGTCAGCAGCTACGACAAGTCTGCCGCGTTGATCAAGGAAAAGGTGCTTGTGTAAGTTTGCGCGGCTTTCTTCCCTGCCAGAATGCATCCCTTATAACTCTGAGCTTCTTTTAGTGGCCGTCTCTCGCCCGAGAACATCAATCAGGCGCTGAACCAGACGCGCAACGCCGCCCTGGAGTACTTCAACCAGTTTCACAAAAAGGTCGACGCATACGCCAAGCTCAAATGATTCTAAGCGTCAGGCACGCTTAACTCTCGAACAGCAACATCATCAGCAGCTGCAGCATAAGCAAACACGAAAACGCGTCATAGTAAATAGTGAAGGAAACGAAACCCTAATTTTTCGCAATTAGTTCAAAAACCGGAAAATGTTCTATCAGTCGTAACTCAAGAAGCCATTCACACTCATCAACAAACCTCTCGTCAAGTCTAATTAAGAAAAAGCAATACGAGCAAAACTTTGTGGATGCCGATAGTGTACACTAACAACCTAGTAAATTCAACCTCTATACTGATAAATTAGTTAAAGACCCGATAAAATTTCTGTTGTACAACACTCGTTTAAACATTTTTCTCCGGGAAGAGAAAACATTATTTTTAAATTTGTTTACAACGGCTTGAAAGTTTTGTAAAAAGTTCTACCATTATCAAAATTTTGTATTTGTAATTATTTAAGTGCGTTTTTTGTGGCGATACGCGAAGCGTTAACTAATGAGGTTAACTAAACTTAACAATTCCATCTGCATTTTGAAAGCAAACAATAGATTCAGATACTTTTATATTTTTACTTATAGTTTTCTTATATTTGTGTGTGCATTTCTTAGACTCCCCCATATTTGCATAAAAGCGCGATCCTTTGGATTTGATTTTAAATCTCATTTGTATATTTAATGGAATACACGATTTTGCATAAATAAAATAAAGTTGAAAGAAGTGAAGTACAGAATGTAAGTGTTTTATTGGATTAATGTTCTGACTTTGGTGCTGATTTCGTGATTCTACCCGTTACATTACGTTTAATGGCATTGTTACAAATGTTGTGCAGGGTTTTTGTTATCTTCATTTGTGGTTTTTTCGATTATTCGTAAAAAAAAATGTGCAGAAATCACTAGCCTCACTTCGGCTAAAAAAAACATGGCTAGCACTGATTGGTTCAACAGGTGCGCCACAACCGTTTTGACAGCGTTCTTAATGGCAACTTTTCGCCTGGAAATTTGTTGTACGATGTTTAAAAAGTGGGCTCAATATATGTAATATTTACTTGCAAAATTCACCGTTTTTTTCCGACAGTTTGCACGGAAATTTTAGATCTTATTTAGTTTTCCCCAAACTGCTTTCACTGCTTGCAGTGCAGAAAGAACATTTAAAGCAGTAAATATCCCTTATGCATAAATTCCCCCGCTTGGGGAAATAATTTTAGAACAAGAACTAAACAGTCTTCCGGTGTGAAAGCAGTAGAGCAACATTTCAGGGTCTAAATGGACATTTTTAGAAACTAAAAATGGTCCACGAAAATAATGAAGCAGCGCTTATACAATTAAAGCAGTAAAACCCAAATGGAATTTTGAGATTTAGGAAACGTTTAAATATTTTTATGTACATAAAGGTTTTAGTTTTACTCACAAAGAAGTTTTAAATTATTCGAATTATGTTTTTGACTTACCCTGAAAAGAATAAATTTAGGCGGTATTATATAAGAACAATACCTTCAAAATTCTGCAATCGTAAAAAAAATATTAATTTTAACTTAAAGAATTCGAAATGTCCAGCGACCGGTAACAATTGAAAAACTGCTTTGAATGTTCCCCTATCAACCCCTCCTTGGAACACAGGGAATTTCCCAATTTGCCGCAATGTGAACACTTTCGGAGTGCGCCTTCTCCATCCTGCTTGTCCCGTTCGTCCTGCTCGTGGTTTTCGGGACTCGGTTAACATCGGAACGGTTACTTCAGCGAAACGGCGGAAACAACAATACGGAAAAGCTCCGGCCTCGGTTGCCGCAGTCTCACATGAATTCCAAGTCGCGGCGCACGTGTTTGGTCCTTTGGCGGGGCTTCAACATCGAGTCCTTATCGCAGAGTGTAAACCAGCCATCGCATCGCATCGCAACGCAAGGATAACTCGTAGTTGCCGCTCTCGTTTGCGGTGTTGCGGTTTCTCGCGGAAGGCAACTTTTAAACGCCGTAGAACCACGTTTCGCACGTTTTTCCGAGTAGTGGGTGACACTGAAAAGGCAAAGGGGATCGATCGGGTTCGATTTCATTGAATGTAATGTGATTAAGGGAAAGTGAAGTTCTCAATTGGAGGCCGCTTTATGCGGCCAGTGAAAGATATTGTCCACAAGCCAGCCAGCAATTAAACAAATTCAATAAATTACTGACAAACTCAATTAATGAAAGTACAACCCAAAGTGAGTCAAACAACGCCTTAATTATCCCCAATGTTTTTATTCGCACCTTGAATCTGTTCACTTTTCTTTCCTTTGCGTGAATCAGAAATAAATCAGAGAAAGACATTTATTTTTCATCGGAAATGAACTTAAACTTGCGACGTGATTTAATGCCAATCGAAAATGCATTTGTTTCTCAGGTTTCTGCGAAATCCAACGCTTCGGGATGGCGGTGCTAAAAAAACAAAAAACACTTTTTCAGACCTCAGTTCAAATTCGTGTCAGTTGCATAAACAACAAAGTATTTTCTGCTTTTTTTGCACCCAAATCAAAGTTTTTCCATGTTAAGTTGGAAGTTTTTCAAAGTTCTTCGTCGTGTTGTCTGCTTTTGAAGTTCCTTCGCCATTTTTTTCGCCAAAGTCCAAGACAAAAAAATCAGAAGAACCTAATGAGCACGTGTGTTATGGATTGAAATGAGTCCTGATTTCTTTTGAGTTTTCGGTGGTGGTATAAATTGAGTACGGGTAATTAATTCCTGAAAGCAAGGAACAGGAGAACGGGAAGTTGGAAAGGTCAAAGTTTCGAAGCGTTTGGTAAATAAACTTTCAACAGCCAATAATAAGTGCAGTTTTGAACTTTTTGAAACTTTAACGGATATGTACATTTGATTCATGGATAATTTCCATGATGACTTTTCCCCAAGGATGAGCATATTCAATGGGGCTTAAATAATGTTAACAAAAGACCTGTTGGTCAAATGTATATATACAAAGTATATATATAATCCTGGGAATTATTAATTATTGTAAATATTTATTAATATTCATTTAAATCGTTTGTTTCTTATTAATTTACTTCTTGTATTTATGTATATCTTTAATTTAGGTGCTTTAAATTTACTTTTTTGTAGAAATGCTGATATACAAGACCCTTTTAATGAAGAAGGCTCTTTTGTCGCCCTATTTACTTAAACATGAACTCTTTAAAATTCACAAAAAATTAAATGAAACCGTCCTGAGGGCTTTAAAGGGACTCGACAGAGGCCAAGGACCTTCTAGGACTTTTTGCATACGCCCTTTGTTGGCCATTAAATTAAGTGCCGCTTGAAGGAATAGAAGTAGATGAGTTTGTCTCTCATTAATCTTATAACCTAATAAAGAAGGGCCTTCACAGGACATATGTCTAGGGACAATCTCAAAAAAATAAATGTATATATACATTGAAATCGAATCCAGGCCTTTTTCTCGGCTCTTCTTTTCATCTAATTGAATTTGCCTACAAGAGTTTTTGTTTGAATTTTCTTCTTTAAGATCAAGTGGTCTCCAGGTGCTGTTGAGGCTTTTTGGCCGATGTCCAGGTGATTAATGTGCAGCCAGGTTTGTTTAATTAACTTGTATTCATGTCTGAGGCACACAGACGAGGACAAAAGCCAGAGGCCAACATTGATAAGTGGCCTCACTTTTATTTAAGTGAGTCCAAACACACATAATTTGGTGACAGATTGCATTTGTGGCACTTTTAGTGTCCTGAGGAAATAACCCAAATGCAGTGGTAATTGGTATTTAATCATCTAATAAGCCGCCAAGCCTGTGAAAATCACTGAATTCAATTAACCATCGATGCCAGGAATATAACAATTACAGCATGAACTTTAAACTGATTCCACGTTCATTTGATGACCATTGTTTCACTGGCTACGCAAAAAACAGCTCATTACACAAAGATGAGGATGAAAAACATTTAATAGCTGTGATTACCTGAAGGGTCAGAGGGCAACAGTGTCGATTCGATTTGGTCTTTAGTATCGCATACAGTATCTTTTGGATCCAGTATCTATTGAATCCAGTATCTATAAAAGGGCTTAAATTTATACACACCAGGCCGCCTTTTGTGAAAAAATTACCATTTTAATTGGATTTTGGCCTTTACATGTAATATTTTTGAGTCATCAAGGCCACCACCGCATGCACACCTTTGAATTGCACAATTTGTGTATTTCATGGCCCAATAAAAAACTATTTGAGTGCTATCAGCGGGATGTAAATATTAATGCAGTGGTTAGCAATGGATAAGGACTCGCTGGACAGGAATACCATCCTTGTGAAATGCCAACAGACAAGCAATATTATATGGGGGCTCAACAAATACAAACACAAAATTCGAAGCAGAAAAAATAAATTAATGCGACAGCAATTTGATACGGGATAAATGATGCGAATGAGGGACATTTATTATGAAGGCCTACGTTTAAAAGCAATGTTCGCTGAAGTTAAATTGTGTGCGCACATTGAATTCGATGGAACCCAAAAAATTTAACCAGTTTGTGGCAGAAAGATTTTCATTTTGTATATGCTATATTATTAGCTTGAATTGTATTTATTTTGATGGAAGCTGTCACATTTAATTCATAATTTAACAATGCATAAAAAATCTATACATTTTTTTTAAATCGATAACAAAACAATTTGTTTTGTCTGACCAAAGCAGATTGCTGACCAGATTATAATAAATAAATGGATATTTTTTTCAAATAAAAATGGGCATCAATTATTTAATTGGATTAATAATAAAAGCCATGAATAATTGTGTGCTTAACTAATGTTGATATTTTGACAACAATGATTTATTTAGAAATATTTTGGTTTATTAAAAAAATAATGTGCATTAAAACTGAGCCACTCAGCAAAATAACATTAAAGGGGGATAAATTATTTAAATGGAATTAAGCGTCATAAATCCTTTTATTATTTGGCAGCATTTGCATTATTTATAACATTTCTAAATAACAAAAAACAAAAACAAATGCTCTGATCACAATAGAGTCAATTAATAAAGCAACTCAAATAAATTTCCAAAAATAATTGGATTAATTAAAATGTTTTCCTCCCATTACAGAATGCACTTCAAAGACGATTGAGATTGTTCTTTACCAAAACACTTGCAGTAATGTGAGCCAAAGTACCTGCAGTGAAGGTGCAAAATAACACTCAAGTAGTCCTTGAGGAGAATAATTATATATAAATAAAGTCAAGCACAACCAAATGGGCAAAAGTACGATGGCGATGGATGGGAAATCCTTCGGCTGCATCTGTACGCCAATCCTCGTCATAATGATAAGCATTTCGAGAGCCTGGACAATGCAGCAACAACACTTGAGTCCTGCCATCCAACAGCATCCTGGAGTTAAATCATTATGTAAGTTGCACACACGCTTATCCACACACACTCGTATCTTTAATTGAATTCCACAGGTAGGCAAACACTCTTGATTCTCTCCCTTGTGATATTAATAATGTGATGCTGCAATTATCTACTGCCAAGTGGCTATCGGAAGCTATGCCAGAGATTTAGATTACTTAAATTGTTGCTATCGCACATAGAATGGCCTCCCTTTTATCGATCAAACCTCAATTATCAATCAAACAAGGTCAACAAAGTGGATTAATTTCATTAGGGGAATAAATATATACATTGCAGTTGGTTTTGGATTATAAATTACAGCCTTAAGGTTTCTAAAAGAGTTTGCAAATTAAGTTAGTAACAGATTTTTATAAATTTTAAAAAAAAATATTAAGGGAAGTCTAAGAAATATTTCAGAGTACATAATAACTTTACCTAGATGACACAGATCACTTCCCCTAAAAAATCATAAACATGTGCTACCTATTCATTCCTTTACTGAATTCCTTGTGTATGGGGAACGTTTTTTCCAGCTTGGCTTGGCTTAATGCAGCGAATGCCTAAATCAATTATGGCCAGCAGGCGGAAAACGCACAGAGGACTCAAGCAAATAGGCAAATAAAGCAAATAAGCAAGCAAAGAATAAAATCTACTTAGCACATGTAGACTTTAATTAAATCATGGCCAAAAGGGGAGTGGCGCATAGACAGCGGCAGCGACGGTTTATGTTGGCCTTCATCCTAATCTGCAGACACCCAGCCGGAGCACATCCTTCAGATACTTTTTGGGGGGAACGAAGAAGAAGAAGAAGAAGAAGAAGTAGTAGAAGAAGAAGAAGAGTGCTGTGCCGTGAACTCTGTCGTGGTTGCGGCTTTCAGACGTCGGCAGTCAACGCGCCCCGACTTTTTATGATTATGCCTGGCGTTACTTGGTCATGTTGGCCCCTTCCCTCTTCTCGAGAAAAAACCACAACAATAATGCTCTGCAATTTGCGACGGGCTAAAAAGTGAATCCTGATACGCTGTTAGAAAAGATAAAGGTGTTGAGTTACTAATGTCTAGGAATTCTCGACTCACAAATGTGTTCATTTAAACGTGTGCTATCGAATTTAATTGAATTTGCCCAATATACTCTGCAGACAATTTTGCAGACAATTTCATTTGAAATATAAATAACAGCTTTAATATGGTTTGATATTGGTATACTAAATTAAAGCATTCACATATTTGTAAATAATTAACACAATTACTTAAAAGTTGTTTACTTAAGTTTTAATTGGAAATTTAGTTGATTATATGTAATTTATAGTGTAGATTATATATTATTAAATGTAATTTTATTTATGTATTACGTACTAAACGTTTAAGTCTATACAAACTAAAATTTAATTATTTCATGGGCCAAAAAGGTTTTTGACTAAATTACAAGTTCGCATTGTAAAGCTTGAAAACCTTAAATTTTGTATCCGAGTAAAATGTTTATCACACTGAACCGATTGATAGATCAATAAATGCATTGCAGATACTTTTCTTCTTGTCCTCACTTTTTCGCCTTGCGAGCATCCTCAAATATATTTGAATTGTATTGGAAAGTGTTTCACCTTCTTTCTATTGGATGTTCGCCTCACTTCTCCCTTTCAATCTGCCCAATAAGCCCAGAGAAAAAACAATTTACGAGTATTCTTGCAGCACTATTTGTGGACCACCTGCACTTGTACAGAGTTTTCTCTTTCTTGTCCACATTGTTCCCTCTATGTGGCTATTGACTTTTCTTGCCACTGACTTCGTGATGTGGGCAACAAGAGTCCGGAGTGGAGAAAGCACCCGTCATAAGGGAAACTCAGCCGGCTGTTTTCCACTTTTGGGCCAAAGTCAGCCACAAACAGCAGACAAGAAAGTCGTGGGAAATGCAAGTGATGTCCGGGAAACCCCACGGTTTCCCAGGGGATTTTCACTAGCCACCTGACTCAAGAGTCCGGAAAAATCAACTCAAGCTTTCCTTCTTCCCGCTTGTTTCCCTTAGGAAAAGTGGGGTGGCCGGAAAATGATCGTAAAATTATTTTATTGCCAGCCAGTCTGGCCGCACAATTAAACTCGAATTCGTGCGAAATCCTTAAACCATCAAAGGGAATTATTTAAAATTCAAAAATTCCGCACAAGCAGTTGTCGTGTCAATTAATAAAAGTTACGATTATTTTGTAGCAGTAAAAAAGATTGAATCGCGGCCATTCAGACTATAGTTGCCTCACTTACAAAGAGCCATTAAAACGTCCATAAAAAGGGTTTTCATGCAATATGCTTTTAAGTGGTTTTAAATATTTTCAAGAATCATTTTAAGGACCTCTTGTTATGGCTGTTCTTTGTATATACAAAAAAGGGCTTTTTAAACAGATGCCTAGGAAGTGCAGATAATTATTTTAATGCGGGGAATCGTTATTAATTTAATGACCTAAGGGATTAAGTAGTTAATTATTTTAATTTCAAGTGGAAATAACTTTTCATTTAACGTATTTAATGTAATTTTAATTATGTAGCAGTCGCAAATGAAATTCCTCTGCCAGGAGTACAATATGTTTTTTATTCAATAATCATAAATTCAATAATAAATGTTAAAGGCAAAAGCAAGACAAAAAAAACAAACATACATCTGTAGGACAAAGCCATTTTGCTTCCTATCCTATATTCCTATATTCCACTTTAGCTGGACTCTACTTTTTTTCCTTGCTGTTTGTGTGTTGTCCTAGAGTCCTGGCTGCAGGACCCTCGGCCATTACGGCCTGGGCATAAGGAAACCATATAAATACAAGCTCATAAAAATCATGGCTGCATGTCCTTTGTGTTGAATTGTGGGTTTTGGTCCTGCCTTAACAATTGTGTGTTTTTAGGTCAGTCCGTATGTCCACATGTTTGTTATTTTTATTTACAAATGTGCCGTGAAGTATTTACCAGATCATTTTATTATGAAATAAATATATATAAATGGTTAAAAAGAAATGTGTACAATTTATTGAACTTAAAGATGTCAGCTTATTTTAAAAAAGACTTTTCACCTTGCAGGAAAATAGGTTTTCACTTTTGATTCACAAGCAGCTAGACATTTACTACATTACGTCGTATTTTTTGATTTAAGCCATGATTTGCAATTCCAATAAATTTGTTGCAATTTTTAAATGCAGCCTGAATTTTTGTAGTGGCGAATAATATCCAGCCAGGGTCACAAAATAATCGAAAATGCCAAGCACGTTGGCCGAAATGCAATCTAATTTAAATGACTTAACGGGAGGGCCGAATTGGACAAACAAAAACAAACGGATGCCATGTTCCATTTTGGGAAAATATGAGAGTTGCACATGTGGCAGATGCCGAAATAAAACTCCTGCAGTCAGAGATCCAGCAGATAGGCCCATCATGGTATCCATGTGTAATTTTACTTTTAGTAGTTAGGTTTAAAAATTTATTAGAGGATTTCAAGAACAATACAGAATTCCGAATCAAACTTATATTTTAAAAGTTCATAAATATTTTATAATAAGAAATAGAGCAATTATTTGATTGGCAACATTCTTTTTTTGAAATTAATACCATAAAATACACCTCTTTTTAAAGCTAAACTTTACAAAAATATATCTTAAAACAAGTAAGCATCAACGCATGTTTTGGAAACGCAATATCTTCATTAAACCAATTTTTTTTGTAACATTTTCCAAATTACAATGAACTCTTGTAGAACTCGAGCACCGGGCTAGAAAACCAATTTCGGTACATGTGTAAATAATGATTTTGCTCTGCGGTCGTGGGAGTGAGTTGCAATCGTTCAACTGAAATAATCGTTACACATAAATTTGGCCTCCAAAAAATATTAGCTTTGGGTGCCTTTGGTTCACCTAAAGCATGTCTAAAACAAAAACCCAAACACTTTATTTGCTGTGCGTATTGTGACTTTTTTATACGCATGGGTATACTGAGTTGTAGGTGACTTTGACAGAAAAACAAATGTTTGAAGTACAAAAACTTATTAAAAAAATTATACAAAATTGTATATATATGATTTTGTTTTATTAAACTTAAGTCATTTGAAAGCGTCTTATTTTATTAGCCAGCTTGTAAGTGAGGATATCGGTTCATCGGTTTCAAAGTGCAAATTCAATAGCTTGGATGCTGAGTTTCTTTATTGGTGTGGCGAAATGTGTAACAAATCTTTTCCACTGTGAAAACATTACCCTTACGAGGCATAAAAGTTGACATATGTAGCAGACGACGCACATACATTCTGGGATTTCTGGGAACAAATCTACAATGGAAAAGTCTGTATTGGCTGTGACAATAAGCCAAAAAAGAAACATGAAATCAAAAAGCAAGGCACACATACATGGAAATAAATTTTCTGGAGGGGGGAGGGGTTTTCCCCGGAGTTTGTGGGGGGAGTTTCCCCTACGAAAACCCCTACTAAAGCCGTTCTGTTAGATTTATTTCCGTTTTTCTCACTTTTGTTGCAACTTTTTGTTTTGTTCTTGTTTCGAGTGTTTTTTTTTTATGCTTTTTGTACTTTAGGTTTATGTTTGCGGGAGGGTCTGGTATTAGTTTAGTGCTATGCATACCGATTTTGGGGCGTGGCAACTCGGTAGCAAAAGGTCGGTTTTTGTTGGCATCAATTTAAAAAGCATTTTTACCCCAAAAAGCAGATTAATAAAGTTTCAAACTAATAAAAACCATTAAATGGGTAAGCTCCTCATTTTTGGTTTCCTTAGAATCTTAAATTTTATTTAAATTAGTAATTATTCTGAGGAGATGAAAATAAAACAACTGGTAATAATTGTTGTTGTTTGTTTTTAAAACTTATGTTGTTATAGGGCCGCTCTGCAGAGAAAACTGTGATATGATACCCATAGCGAGTATATATACTTTTATGTAGATACAATTTACCCTATTAGGGAATTTTGCTGAAAGTATTTGAAACCAGCAGTTGCAATGTTCGCAACGATAACAAACGATGCTCGGCTTAAAACTAAAGGGGCA